TTGGCCCCAGCGGTCATGGAGAAGACCAAGTGGAACAAGAAAGAAATAAAAGTAAGCACGGGGCTTTCCTCTTTCGTATCCGCCGGCTCGTTGGTTTCGATAGATTGGCGTAGGTGCAGCGACAGGGCAAGGGAAGAAGGAAAACGAGGGAGGGCGTGGGGGGATTGGCGGCCGAGGGCTGGGGGAGGGGTGATCCGAGCGAAACAGCTACGGCTAACTCGGCTGCTTTTGGGTTTTTTAAGCATACATTTAAGCGTTGCAAGCCACTGGCCTTGGCATGGAAGCCCATTCCTGCCTGTTCAGTGGCCGCCGACCTGGGCGGGGGGGGGGGTGTGCCTAGGCGCAGATACGCAGGGGTCCAACGCGCCCACAGCGCCTGGGCCCGTACCGGTCTACAGGGCACGCGGCGCGCTGTGGCAGTCTGGGTACAGGGCACTCGGTGCGCCGTGGCCGTTTTGGCGGGCGGCAGATACGTGAGCGTCTTTGTTGATGCCCTCTCTCTCTGCAGAGAGGCATGCTTATCTCCATGGTGCATCAGGCTATGCATGTGGCCCATCCATCCATGGACCCAATACATGCGTCCGTCCCGTCCGAGCAAGACACAAAAGGCGTTTGCTTGGCGCTGTCGGGATGCCGTCGCAGCCGACTTGGCCGCAGGGGCCTCCCCTCGTCTCGACAGACTGTCTTGGTTGGCCCAAGACGGCCTGAGCTTATTCCCGGCCGCCGTCTGGTTGGTTGTTGTCGTTTGCTGCTGGACAGAACTCCGAGGAGACGGGCGAGGAGGCGGACGAGCAAGCTCATCCTAATCCTTTCGGCGTGCACCTCAACCCACCACACACTCACACTCCCCTCATCGGTGCATACAAAGGATCAAGCACGTAGGTATACCAAGCATTTGCATGTACAGTACAGGCAGGCAGACGGGACAGCTTTCCTCGAGAACCTGCCATGTTGACGATGGCTGCAAGCCGTCGTCGGTCGCCCAACAACAACCATTGCAACTACAACCACCACACGAGTATTCTCCTTAGTACAGTAGGGAGCGTTTCCCTCGGCCCCCGTCGACAAAGCCGGCTAATCGAGACACATGGCCAGGGTGACCTGGCAATAGACGGGTAAAAGGTGATCGGGGCCGCTCCCATCCCACTTGCGCTGCAACCCGTCGGCCCCCGGGTTTCATGCCCGGCTACAATCCGCGGATCGAGTCCGCCCCGACCGGTGCACGATTCACCGTCCCAAACCAGCTTCCTTAAAAGGACTGACAAGAAAGCACTCCATCTGCCGGTCCGGGGCTCGGCGGCTGAGTTCATGGCGTCACCGGGTCTGGACTTGGGTTGATGGATATGTACAAAAGAGGAGCAGTTAATTATAATTACGTCGGTACGCATAATAGCAACGTACATATATGCCAACACAATCTACATGGCTGGAGCCAAGCCCAAAGCACCAGCGAGTCCGGGCGCGTGTCCGGGAGCCGACTGGCTCAGAAGATGGGAGGGCCGAAATGGGCAGCAAACTAACATGTCGCGCATTGACAAGACCAGAAATAAAGTAAGAGAACAGCCCAAGTTAAAAGAGGGCGGGTATGGGGTTTGACACGCGAGACGTGGGGGTTTGGGGGCACTAGGATGGATGGATGGATGGGAGGGACACCCTGGACATGGAAGAGAGGAGGAGGGCCTTCTCCATTGGGTCTGGAGTTGACTCGTGAGCCAAAACAAAAATGGAAAGATTGATATAGAGGGGAAAGAGTGGGTTCGAGCAGCCGGCACTTGGTTGGAGGCCCGACTCAGCAAGGGAGGGGCGTCGATCGTGTTTCGTCTCGTCCCACGTAGAGGCAAAAGCGGGAGACACGAAGGAAGAGAGAGAGAGAGAGAGAGAGAGAGAGAGAGTAAGAGAGAGTAAGAGAGAGTAAGAGAGTAAGAGTGAGAGAGAGTGTGTGTGAGAGAGAGAGAGAGAGAGACAGAGAGAGAGAGAGAGCAGGGCTTGGCTGGCGTGAGTAAGGGGCTCAGAGTGACAACGCTTCACGCCAACACAATCCGTCACTGCAGAGTGTGAAACCAGACGTGTATGGATGGATACCAACTTCAGCCCGCTAACTATTCAACTTCCCGGTTTGTCCATCTGTTCTTGCTCGGCCGGCCTGCCAAACGGTACAAACACTAGCTGCAACGATGATGAGCCACGTCTCAAAACCAGCTGGTCGCGTCGACGGCAATCAGCCAACGTACAGATGACGGTATAACAAAAGCAAGTATGTGCGAGCTGGCTCTGAGCTTCCAGCCGGACAAGGCAGTGAATTCTTCCATTCCGACTTTGAATGAATGCGTGGCATGTGTAGCCGCCTCTTCGATTCCTGCCGTGATGGGCTCGCCTCGATCCGTCCAAGCATTTTCGCCGCGCCGCAACACGGCACCCTCTCACACGCGCCGCGGGGGCCGTTGCAGGACGCGAGGCTCTGCTCGGTGCTCACGGCACAATCCCATCCGTGGCGCGCAGCAAAGAGGCCGTGTCCGCAGTGCATGTGCATGATGCGTGCGAAATGCCATCGCTTTTGGAGCCCGTCTGTGTCGTCCCGACTGTGACACCCCCCCAAGCTATCCATTTTCGTCGCTCAATGTCACCTGTTGGATGGAACAGACAGTGATCCTTGTTCCGGTCCCAGGTCAATACGCTCCATGTCCAAGCCACCGTCCGTCCGGACGCCTCCCTCGGCCGCCGACACTGCGTCGGTTTGCATAAACCATTCATCACACGGGACGGTCTCGGATCTACTGTAACTGAAAACAAACTTTCCCTCTCTGTAACAACAGCAGAACTGCTTCACCAGGCCCTGCCAAGGCCGCCCGCCGTCTAATGCCATGCAAGGTGTGCTCCAGGCGCCACACCGAGCCCCCTTTGGATCGGGCTTTATTGGATGAGACAAGGGCATAGAAACAAGAAACATCGGCAATTGACCGAGTCATGCCGCAGCCGCGTAACACGGTCACTTATTTTTACTTTTTCTGACCCGCGCTGGCGACAGGACAAGATGAAGATGACGGGAAAGGGATGACGAAAAGAAGGATGGAAAGAGAAAAGCTTACTTTGTATCCGTACCTACGACAACGTTCCACAAGATGAGAGGATACATCCAACCAAGGCGGCTTGGGGGTGGAAAAGGGGGGGGAAGCATCAACCAGGCGGAGGAAAACGAGAGCGGGCGACGAGGCCTGCGGGGGAAGAAGGAAGCCAAGCAGGGAAAGAAATAGAACAAAACGGACATAAATACAAGACCGCCATTGTTCGCATTCACCCGTCCATGGCGGAGATTTTCCGGAGCCAGCCAGCCGGCCGGCCAGCCATCCATCCCTCCATCCATCATACGACAAGTGGCGCAGATGGAGCAAAGGGGAGGGGGCATGAAGGGATCCGGAGGATTGCCGAGGCCCAGCTGAATAAAGATTACTACATAGGCATAGGTTGACGGGTGTCCTTGTTCCTCAGCTTCATGCCGCCGTCAACTGTATATGCGAATACGAATGGGCATTCACGCACAAGCAACTGTCCAGTGTAGCAAAGCACAAGTTATGAGTGCCCGTCCGTCTACCCACACATGTACGTGCTCTCCACGGATGCCTCGTCGTAGCCCATTGCCCATCCGTACATGCCAAGGGCCCGAGCAAGAAGCTCAGTGTTTAGGCTCGGCAACGCTCCGACTCCGGGCCCCGACGCCATGATGCAATGCGCGTCTTCTGCCCTGCAACGGTGCGGGAAATAAAACTCCAAAGCAGGGCGCTCGTCCACTCCATCCACATGTACTGTATGTATTACTCCTGTACAGTGACTTACACGCCCTGACACGAAGCACTCGACTGCATCCAGCGTTGCATTCGAGTCCAGGCAACCAACTGCTCGGACAGATCGAGCAGGACGACGGCTGCTGGGTTGCGGCACGAAGCTTTGGACCGGGAAGATGTGGCCCCGTCCATCTGCTCCGGTCCATCTCTCCTCTCGACCACGCACTCGCCCTGGCCCATGTCTCCATGCACTCAATATAAACCCAGTCGTCGACCACGGTATGTACTCCGTCGAGGCGGTAATAAGCAACCCAGAGGCGGCGATGGAGACGAGGGAGGGGTGCGCGTGCAGGTGCGAGGGCGAGGCGTATTGTGCATGCATGCATCCGCCGACACGCACGCCGAGCATGTACGGATACAGAGGGCACAGTAGACAGGCAAAGCTGCTGCCGTGTATCCGTACCTCGTTCGATGTGTACGTTTGTGTGTGTGCGCGCTGATCCTCGCCCGCGTTTCTGTCTGACGGGAATGCTCGATGCGCCATGGATAAGTCGGCACGGGAGAGCCGGGCACTTTACAGCACCTTGTCCCCTTTTCTTTTTCTGCTCCCCTTCTTACTGTCTTGTCCCCTACAGACTCGAGCATTGTACATACAACGGTACTGTATGTATCCGTATCTAAACTTACCATTCAAGCTTTCCCGCACCCCCTTGCCTTCTCGTCACTCGCTTACGCCTCCCACCCCCCCTTCCCAAGAGAAGGCTTGATGATCTGCGGTCCGCAGCGTTTGGGCCGGGTTCTCTCTCTCTCGACCAAACGTCAGGGTTTGTCGAGGGGAACCAGCTTCCTCGGTCTGGGACAATGGCGGTTTGCAGAGCATGGATGGTCGAAGAACAAGTCGGGGGAGGTTGCTGTTGCTGGTGCCCAGGCCGTGACGGCAAACCACTCTCACGCCCTTCTCGTACATGCCGTCTCGAATCGACCCCACGGCGAGCATGAGGTGTGTGTGTGTGTGTGTGTATGTGTGTGTGTGTAATTATGTGTGTGTGTGTGCGCGCGTGCGTGTGTGCATGTGCATGTGGAGAGTACATATGCCAAGTGAAGAGCCCATGCTGAATCAACGACTCAGGCAAGTCGCATAGGTAACAACGCGTTCATCTCCAAAGTATCCATTCACATCCGTATTTGGTTCGACGTCGAGAGGGCGCCCGCCTGCAACGACTACGGCTCCTCGCCCCCTCGGCCACCCTCCCCTGTCGTCAGTGCCAGCGCAATCTCCCTAAACTCGCTGGCAAACTGCAGCTTCACCGCCCACTCGGCGGGCACGGCCTCGACGCCGTCCCTCGCCCCCAGCAAGCCCCCGGCCACGGCCGCGTTGGTGTCGGTGTCGCCGCCGATGCGGACCACGTCGACGAGCACGTCGCGCAGGCTGCGCCCGTCCAGCACCGCCGCCACGGCCACGGCCAGCGTCTCGAGCACGTAGCCGGTGGCTCGGCCCTTCATCGCCGCCGGCGGGCCGTCGCGCGCCATGGCTGCCACCGACACCCGCCTGCCCAGCTTGACGGCGTCGAGGACGGGGCCGCCGCCGCCGCCGCCGCCGCCGCCGTTGTTGTTGTTGCTGTTGTTGTTGCTACTGTTGTTGCTGTTGTTGCTGTTGCCCTCGAGCCGCGCCGCCACGGCCTCCCCCGCTGCCACGGCGGCGTCGGCGGGCCTGCCGTCGACCAGCTCGGCCACCATGGCGTTGTAGACGGCGCACGAGACGGTGCAGCGGTCGTCGTCGTGCGTCACCCTGCTGATGCGCACGCTCTCGTCGACCAGCCTGTCGCGGTCCGGCTGGAAGAGCCCCGTAGCCAGGCACCGCATCAGGCTCCCGTTGCCCGCGCTGCCGCGTCCCGCCCCGGCGCGGTCCGGGTCGCGCGACCGGCGATAGCGCTCCAGCCCCTGCTGCGTCGCGAGCCCAATGTCCACCGGCCGGCTCGCGGGCGCGCGGCCGGGCCAGTCGTCGCCCTCCAGCCAGCGCACAAAGTGGTCGCCCGCCAGCCGCGCCACGTCGTCGCCCGGCCCGCGGTCCCGGTAGGCCAGCAGCACGCCGCGCGCCATGTCGCTGTCGTCGGTGGCGTGGCCGGCCGGCCAGCCAAAGGGCCCGCCGCCGACCATGTGGCCAATGGCGTCGGGCTGCCGCGACGCCATGGCCGCGTGGCTGGCAAATTCGAACGTCGCCCCGAGGCTGTCGCCGGCGTGCAGGCCCAGCAGGGCGCCCACGATGCGAGCCTGGCGCGGCGTCATGCCGTCGTAGCAAATTGCCCGTGAGGACGGCAAGGCCTGGTCCTGGTCTCCCATGTCCCCTCCCTCACCGACACGCTCCGAAGCTCCGTCTGCGGGCCGTTCGGGGGGCCAGTTTCTGCCAGAGATTTCGACTGGTGGGTTTTCTTGCTTGCTTTCCCGGGTATTGGCAGAGAAAATATCAATTTCTTTTCCACCGACGTCGCATCGTTGCTACTGTGCTATGCCCTTCGCCCCCTAAAGCCTTGCCTTAGTCATACAAGCCTCGACCTCGCACCTCCTCGACTCCGGCATCATCACAGCAAACGGCCATCGCCAGGCTTCATGACGCGCCGGCTCACCTCTCATCACCCAGACCCGACGGCACCGAGAGCAGATGCCAAGCATACGGATCCAGGGTACCGGCTCCGAGCTATCCAAGCTATCCATTTACCCTCACATACATCCCCCGAGTCCACCCCCCAACCCCCGGGCGAGTCAGACAGACCCTTGATAGTCATACCCCTATATCTCGAGCTGGCCAGATGACGATAGCCACTGTCGGTGTGTATTATCATGCATGGATCTTGGCTTCCCACCGCATGGCAGCCCCAGCCCCACCAGCGACTGGCGGAGCAGCTCCAGAAGTTCTTGACCCGGACAGGCAGGCACACGCGCGTCACCAGCTCGGAAACTCAATATTAGCCTTATTCGCTCGCGTGCCATGATCCTTTCGGCCGAGAGGCCGGCTTTAACCCTCAACCATGAGTCAAAAGTCGGCCATGTGCCGCCAAGTGGCGACTTATACATACAAATGACGGTCCTATCTTGGTCAAAGGACCGTCCGCCACGTATAGTCCTATGATTTGCATAAACGAGACAGGGGGCTCATCCGGCTTCGGATGGAGAATCCCGCCTCGCTTTCGTGAGGCAGTCGCAAGGAGATGGTTTGATTTTCGCCTGCCATGGCGGCTCCGGACATGCTCCTACCCCTTGTTTCTGTATGCATGTATGTATGGATAGTAGGGGGTCTGTGCCCATGCCGGGATTTGATGACCGCTGAGACGCACAACGTGGAACTATTGAACTCTGGACTGAAGAGCCAAGTAATTTTGCTTCTTCTCCCTCGGTGCCAGAACATACCGAGCGCTCCCGCCCTCGTCAAGGGAGCGTTCGGCTCTCTCTAGAATACTTCGGTAACCGCTGATCAACTCAGCCGGCCCGTCATCGCCCGAGGCTACCACAAGATGAGTGTGTCGGGAAGCCCATTTGACGCCCATGCGGCCGTCTCCTATTCATGTGGGAACTTCCGTGACACGCCCCGACCCCAGCGTGTCTGTTTCTGCGCCCTCTCTCTTGTTGTGAGGCAATTAAGCACGAATGCGCGCCTGAGATTAGTATATCATCCGAGCCAGCAGGCTATACGTGGCGATTCGTAGAAGAAGTCGTGGCATACGTGGCTTATAATCAAGGGGTTCCAATCTTGGACATGAGGCCATACATACAGTATTGCCCACTTTGATACCCGCACTGACAGGTGAGATTCAGGGTCATCTCGCTTGGAGTGGGAGCGTGAGTTGAGGAATAGTCCATGACTTCGAAATATTGCACGCCATAGGCCTCGAACAGCTGCCTGACTCAAGAGACTAGGAATAATGGAGTTGCTTGGAGACCAAAGTGCAGAACAAACAACCCGCTCGCAAAGAACCTCTCGACTCCCTTGCCAAGCAACCGCTCATGCCTTGGCCTTGGTCTCCCCCCCCCGGACGAGAATCCCGCCCATAGGAGCTGAACACATATGGGCCGCGATGAGTCATGGGAAGCCAAAGCCGGAGGATGGCCGTCAAGCCTCGTTCTTCTACCAATCGGAATCGAGTATTCCGAGCTCCCCATCCTGCCCAGCCGCCATGGCCGCTTGATAGATAGCCCGTCTTCCCAACTCCACCACCTAGCACTTTGCTCGAAAAGCATAATCCTGGACGGAATTCGTACCCGCCTCGCAACCTACGTCTCACCCACGTGCGTCGTTACCCCGTAAACCTAGACTTCAGATACCTCAACGGTGAGCCGCCAGCCCCCATGGCGTGATCTCTATAGCCTCAGGACCGGCGGAGTCACCGCATTTCAAGAACCCAGGCCCTGCTTCAAGTACCGGTCCAAGCGGGCTTGGCGATGCGCCTTCTACAACTGACGGAAGGCAAGATTCAGACCTTTCTCCAATTCTTCGGCTGTTGTGGTGTGTGCGTAGAGACTCAAACTAACGGCCGAGGCGGGAATGTGAGCACCTGTAGCTTCGCAAGCGGCGTCGACGATTCATGCAGGATTCATCATCTTACGCTCCTTGTGGCAAGGCAGAAATTATACTGTCGAGCACCAGCCTCAGTCATGTGCCCTGGATAAGTCCGCATCCGTACATGGGGTGCCCTGGCCTATGCAGCAACCGGTCCGAAGCAGCAGTGGCCGGCGCAATGAACGACAAGCCCCGGAGGGACCCATGGGTGAAGGAATCCATGTTACTCGGTTGCAAAAACAATCAGCCAGACGCGTGCTGCTCCACGTCGTGTCCATTTGTATCAGTCCACGAGTAAGGCCGGGGCAAGCTTTGAAAAAAATCAAGTCTCGTGCCAAGTCATCCTGGAGTGACTCACGCAGTCTTATGGCTTTTCAACAACCGAGAGCATATTGTTCAAAGACGGGGTCCAGTCTGGCTGTGATATTGTAACAGACCAACTCTCGAGAGACTTGTCCTTCAAGGAGCATGTCCTGTGACACACGCCTTTTTGTCGTTCTTCTGCTTAAAAGCCACTTGCGAGGACTCAAAGCAAGGCGAATTTCAAACTCTGCCTTGTCCTGGGCAGATTCCATTTGCAAGTGTTGAAGGGGTTGCTTGGTCGCATCTTCAGGGATTCCGTAGTCGGCAAGAGTTATTATTCAACTGTAGAGCCCTGGCCTCGTCATGGAGAGGCGCCGCTCATTAAGCTTTGACAGTGATTTGGCCGCCTTGGTTCGACGCGTAACGGGTTGCAGAATGGTGCAAATGGTGCTGGATTGCCTGGCGTTTCTTTCGTTGCCAGACGGGCACCTCTTAACTTTCACTGCAAGCACTGCTCATTGACCAGACGCAAAGTGCTTTCCAGCAGGGCTGGAACTTTCCAAGGAGTGTCGCTCACGGCGCAACCTGTTAGCCGTATTTCCTATTATGCTAGCTATAGGGAGGACATAACTTGTGCTGTCACGCACAAATCATTCTATGAGCAATATGATCTCTATACCACCGGAAAGAAAATCTTAAAAGGCGTTTCCCTAGCTACCCTTCGAGACATGAGAACTGCAATCGCCCCGCGATTATCGAACAGATGTACATGATGTGCATAGCCCTTCTCGTCGTCCAAATCGTCCGTGTTCTTATAGTCGGCTCCAAAAGCACATTGCGCGAAATCAATCATGTAGGCCTCGAAATTCCCAAGGCTCGTCTCGGATACTAGAATATTCCGAGGCTGACAGTCTAAGTGAATGACCCCCGCCTGGTTGACTTGCTTGGCGACTTCAATAGCGCCCCTGACTATTTTACTCCAAATGCTAGGTGAATTTGGAATTTTTAGGATAAGGTCTGATAGGGGAAAGCCATGAATATGCTGGAGTAATATGCCTGGAATCTGAAAGTAGCTAGCAGGTAGATCTATAGGTGCTGCGACGGAGTCGTTGATGACTGACTCGATAAAGCTAGGAATGCATCGGCCCTGAAGTGATGATAATTGAGTGTAGGCTCGGACCTCGTTCGTATAGCCTTCTTGAGTTCCGTAGTAAATAATAGCTTCTTGCTCTTGAAGCTGCTGCTCCTCGTCGTCTTCTTCCTCCTCCTCCTCTTCTTCGTCACTCTCCTTCTCGTTGTTATTGTCGTCGTCCTCTTGGAGGCGTGCCATCTTAATCATTTCATCATCGTGTCGGAGGGATTCAAGGAGACTCTGAGCCAAACCGGAGCGAACACAATTTTGCCATGCCGCTTCAGCTTGCTGGTCGTGCGGGTGCTTCCGGCGGGGCTCCCCAAAGCGTCGATCAAAAAATTTCAGGAACAGCTTGCGGTATCCGTCGGGCGTTGTCATTTGAACCTCCATAACAGGCGATGTAGTGATAGGGTAGACGTGCGTAATGGTGACTCGGATGTCTTTACCGCTTGTCGTCTTTAATTCCATTTGTCGACCTACGACGTAGGGGAACGGTGTGTTGCCAGCGTCTGTCGTTGAGCTAATGGCATGTCAGTGACGAGATACAGAGTATGTTTCAAAGGCCTACCTCATTGTCAAGAAGAAAGCAGGAAGACGTCGTGAAAGATCGAAGGGCTCTTAATCTTGTCTATTGATGTTTTAGACGAGTTCACGGCGTTTGGTAGATGCCCCGGCTGTACGCCGGCAGAATAGCACACACCGACTGCCTAGGCAGGCAAGAACCCCAAGCGCTCACGGATCGGCACAATCAACAGTCCGTCTGGTTGCCGAAAATAAACCCGGCGCTTATTAGACATGTACAACGGCCCCAACTCTTGAAGGGCCGACCGAGCTGGGTAGGCATTGGCGAGCACAGCATGGGGCGCACCATTTTAGCCGTCCGAAACGTCGGGTCGACATTTGGTTGAAACAGCGGAGATGCGACGAGATGCCAATATGTTGTGCTACCCCGGCTAGCAGTCGCAACGCCCGAAATGCCGTGGGAACGGGACGACGTCGCGAACATTCGGCACGCCCGTCAAGTAACTCAGCAGCCTGTCGAAGCCGAGCCCGAAGCCACCATGGGGGGGACAGCCCCAGCGCCTCAGGTCCAGATACCACGTCATGTCGTTTCCTGTTGCCTTGCGGCGGGACGGCACCGGCAGCCCTTGGAGTCTCATGTTGTCTTCGAGCTGTGACAGCCGGTGCTCGCGCATGGAACCGCCCGCAAGCTCGCCAAGGCTGGGTACCAAGAGATCGAAGCAATCGACCGTCTCCCCATGGGATGGACGCGAATCTGACCGTATCATGTAGAAGGCCTTGATCTCTTGAGGAAAGTGCGTGACAAAGACGGGTACGTAGGCGTCCTCGGCCTTGTCGTACCCAATCTGTTCGGCCAGGTACTTTTCGTGCTCTGACTGCAGACCACGACCCCAGATAGGCTCGTGCTCAAATTGGCCGGCAGCGGGCTGCAGCCTCTCCACAGCTTCGGTGTAGGTGATTCGCGGCCACTTTCTCGGCAAGAGGAGCCCTCTCCACCGCCGCCCAAGCTCCTCCGGGTCCACGAGATCGGCCAAGGCCAAGTTTTCCGCGGGATCGCGGGAATCAAGCCTGTTCTTGTCGAGCTCTTTGGCGGCGTCAAGCTGCTTCAGCTCGCCGGCCAAAAAGGCCATCATGCTCTGTACCAGATCCATGACTTGGTTCATGTCTTGAACAAAACTCATCTCCGCCTCGAGCATGTAGAACTCGCTCAAGTGCCGAGAGGTGTCACTTTTCTCCGCTCGAAATGTAGGCGAAAGAGTCCACACGTTACCGAGAGCCTGAGCCAGGGCCTCGAGATGAAGCTGGGTTGAGACAGTGAGATACTTGGGGTCTCTGAAAAAGTCGGCACGCCCACCAGCCCCAACAGCGAAGGCCTCGCCGGCGCCCTCGCAATCGGATGAGGTGATGATGGGTGGGTGAGTTTGCTGAAACTTTTCTTGGGAGAAGAACCGTGTCAGCGCGGCCATGGCGTCGGATCGCAGACGGAGCAGGGTGGCGTTGACAGGCGTCCGCGAGCGAAGATGCGTAACGGCGCGCAGGCTCTCGGGTGTCTGGTACTTGTTCTGGATGGGGTACGTCTTGGAGACGGAAGAGTTAGTGGCGGCCCACGGAATGACGAAAGCAAACGAGGCTCACCTCGGGATCGGATGATGCCAAGACCTCAACATGGTTCACCTGCAGCTCGTGCATGGGTTGTGAGGTTTCGGGATCCGGAGGGACGGCATGGTTGTTGCTGGCGTGAGAGGTCGGCTCGCCTGGTTCTGATGATGGAGCATTTGAGACATTGGCCTCGGAGCCAGGCAGGTTCTTCGCATTGTACCAGGTGCCTCTCAGGCGAACGGCCGCGCCGAGTCGCAGGCTGCAGCATGGTCAGCCACGTGCCTGTGCTGGAGAGAGCCGAGGGGGGTGGATGCGCACTCGCTCGACTGTTTCTTGTCGACAACGGCCTGCACCGGCCTCATGGAGGAGCCGTCGGTGATGTCGACGAAGCGGACCCCTGAGCTCTTGCGAACAGACCTCACCCAGCCGCAGACCTCGACATCAGGGACATTGGCCTGAGGCGACCAAGCCCTCAGGTCGGCCACGGTCTTGATGGACGGGTGCGATTCGCCCGGGATGCGGACTGAGTAGCGCCTCGCGGGTGACCAGGGAAGCAGACGAGAAGCCCGGCACGGTGCAGGCGGCATGACGGAGGGCAATCTCTATCTCAAGCTGCATGTGTGCGTGACGGGCCGGGCAAGGCGGCAGCGAGTGGCTCGTGACAGGCCAATTGGTCGTTGGCAGGCAGAGTAGGATTGGATGAGGTGAGGCGGGATTAAGGAAAAGCCGCGGCGCCGCTCCGAAGAACCGCGCGCCGGCGGCAGAGGCGTCCACTAGGAGGGCTCCGATTTAGCGGTCTAACGCGCTGCAGCCACAAATGCCTGCTGCAACCTCATGCGACCCGCTGCCTCGCTTGGGCCATGTGCACCTACCCAGTGCACCTACCTTGGCACCTACCCTGGAGAGCGTGCCGGGTGGAATCATCTGGGAAAGAAGGTCGCGTCCGCTTCCTGCCGGTCCGAGCACCGTGTTTGCTTTGAATGTCTCTACAGTGTGACGAGACCCGAGGGCTCATCCTGCGTACAGTGCGGGCTCATCCCATCGTCCCGCCTTGGACTCACGCGCGCATTCTTCAACGCCAACAATACCGTCATCCATCACCCTCATTGTCGCCTTCGCCATCGACCTCTCTCATCACGGTCTCATTGTTCCCCCCGCTTACTGATGGCCCTCGTTGCTGGAACTCGATCCCGCCTGTGCTCTGTCGTCGCCGCCCTCCGTCTCCTTCTCGTGACGGGACGCGGCGCTTTTCATTGGCAGCCCATGTTTCTCTCCCAGACCTCTAATGCCAGCCGTCCCGAGATGGCCCACGCTCGACAGTCTTTCGTCTATTCCCCTTGCTGTCTTGCCCGGTCTCGGATCATTGCTCGAATCGGCCACCCCGGCCTGCGGTATCTCGCTCACCTCCGTGCCAGGCCAATTCCATGACCGAGCAAGGATGATGGGAGGGACTGAGGCGAGTGGGGGTGCGCCAAGAGAGCGAGCGAGAGCAAGAGAGAGAGGCTTGCCCTTCTGGGCGGCATGCACGCCTCCACGTTGGACCAAGGCGAGATGAGGTACCACAGATCTGAGCCCCCAGCTCAGGGCAATGTTCCGGGGCGGCAGATTGTCTATCAAGCATCGCGCTGCTGACCTCTGGCTGTTGGATGTCGACGTGGCCAGTGCCTAGATGCCAGGAACTCTGCCAAGGGTCCATGTCTGAGATGTCGACACGCCCCCCCAATACCGTTAGATCTGCCAGCAGGATGGCAGCCCGCAGTTCCGTGCCACCACTCGCTGTCCCGCCATCTTGGAAGCTAGATACTCTCGGGCTCTTGGGCATTTCATTTGTCTCTCGCCAAAGAGCCTCATCCGTCCAGACATGGGCTTTTGCACCATCACCTGTTCCCGCTCTCGACTCTCGAGACGGCCATCCATATCTGGACCTGCTCGCCTCTCGCCTCGAGAGAGAAGTCTGTTCCAAACAAGTGATTCAGATCCTGGACATATTGGGTCGCACAACTCGTCGAGCATCCCTACACCTCGCTTCTCCGCCCTGGATGGTAGGAATCCGAATGACTGTTCTTCTCTTCGCTCAACAGCCGTCGACAAGACAGGAAAGCATATAAAAGTCGGCTCCGCTCGTCCATGTATCCGCTTATCCCCTCTTTGCATCGCTCTCTGCCTGACGTCGTCGAGCTGCCTGCCTCCACGCCTTCTGCCGTTCCCGTGGAAGCGCAACAAGCATCGACATGGCTCCGGGAGCAAAGTCCAGCAGGGTGAAGCCGTCCGAGGTGGCGGCAGACACCAAGAGAAACTTTATACCCATGATCAACGCAGGCTACGCCGAAGACTTCCCCCCTTTCTCAGTCCTGTATCGGCAGCCGACGGCCCAGCTGGATATTCGACGCCACACCCTGAGCACGCGCCCGCCCGTCTTCCACTTCGTCACAGAGGACCCGGTCATGACAGCCATTTCTTCGGGCGCAGCTGCCAGCAGGGCCAGCGAGGCGGCTGGAGGGCCCAGGGTCCGCATGCCCTTCATCTGCGCCGCAAACGAGCGCCGCCCGGGGGGTGACTGGGAAACTGGCTGTGCTGGCTACGAGGAGAAGCTCTGTCGTCGAAGTAACCTCTCGGCCACTCTCAGCAACCCCTGGCCCAACACAGGTGAGGCGTCAAACTACCCCATCCCGTCCACGGGGGGTATACTGTCCGATGCCGTCGTCGTCTGTAGAGGCCCCCACGACCGCTACGAGAAGCTGGAGAGCTGGTACGACCTGCCCGTCGTCTCTGTGCCTCCGACACGGTGGCCCAAACTCAAGGACAATGGGTCCAGATACTCCTTTTCGGAAGAACGCGACATGATGAGGGAGAAGATACGAGGCGCGTTGCGCATATGTCTCTACAACAACTACAACCAGATTGTCATTGGGGATTTCGGCCTGGGCAACAGCTGTCGCAACCCCCCACAGGAGGTGGCCGAGATTTGGCGCGACGTCTTCCTCTTTGACCCGGACTTGCGCGGCCAATTCCGCTACGTCATCTTTGCGTTCGAAGACCCTGCGCAAAGCACGACGCGCCTGATCCTGGACGAGATAGCCAAGAAGGACAAGAAGGGGGGCTCCAAGGGGCGATCGCGCGACGGGTCCGGCTCCTCGGGCTCTGCCTCGAGCCGAAGCTACGCGCCCACAGACATTGCCATCTTCCAGCGAGTCTTTGATACCGGCGAGATTGAGCGTGTTCTCAGCCGACCCGATCCGCGCTACGGCTTAAGCATGATCACGTCATGAAGCAACGACGTTTCCGAGGAGATGGCGTTCGATCTCGGCGCTCCGGGACGGGAGTTCAGAAGAACTAAACTCGCCAGGCTCCTCCCTTGACCCGTCGCCTCGTCCTGGTCTGCCCCCATCTCCTAGTTCCGCCGCTGCTCATTCCTCGACCTTGCGCGCCGCCCAACAATGGTCGGCGCTTCAGCCCACGCGCACCCCCGCATCGCCAGGAAGACAAGAGGCGCTACCGGCGGGGGCCGCTCTCAATAACTCCGGGAGGATGCTGCGGAAGGCCTTTACGGCTGTGAGAGTGGAGCAGTCATGTATTAGCATGGCGTTGGCTGCTGCATTCCGTCTCACCTCGACGCTCCGGGTGAAGTCTTATTTGTCGTGTGTTTGCTTTTTCTCATGTCCCAGGCCCCCTGCCCGGCCCCCCCGAGCGGCGTTCCGCATAGGGCACATGGTGTTAGTGTGTATTGGTTGACGGCGAGGATCGGGGTTGCATGCTGTGGATCACGGGGAAGTGAGAGACTGGTGGTTGCTGGGCTCTCTGGTGTGACAAGGCTCTTGCGGGTGGGCGAAGAGGTATGAGCTGTCAGAGCAGGTGATGCGGCTGGCGTGTTTTAGCCAGGACCGCCCAAGGCCCAGATCCGGTAACGAGGGGGCGGGAGCCGTTCAAGGGCGGGGAGGGTGTGGTAGAGTAGCATTGCATCGAAGACGTCGGTGCCAGCACACTGCACGTCCCGGTCAAGTCTCGACACAACGCGCACAGTGACATCTTCATTTTTTCTGATTTGAACATCTCACTGCAACCTGACTCATCCCCGTCACCTCGTCACGGTTGGTCTACTCTCCGCCGCCGCAGCTGAACCAAGGGTCTCCTCCGTCTGCCCGCCGGAAGGGGGAAAAAAAGGGGGAAAAAAGGGGGGGGGGGGTTCATCGTGGAGCGAAGAGCAGATCGAGTTACCGCCCTCGCGGGCCTGCGTCCTGTCTACATATACGCATACATACGCACTCTCCACCTGTGCCCCCTGTTGGACGAGGTAATATATGTGTCTAGCTAGGTAGGGAGGCATAAGCATCGGCATCGAGCCACCCGACCCGAGCAGGTCGTACATATGTACGCGCGCACAGTCGCCATGGGGAGTGAGAATTGACTACGGGGGAGCATGCAAAGCCGGGCGTTGTGGCAGGGTCGGTCCCCCAAGGGAGGGTTGGTAGCATGTACGAGTGAGTAGTCGGAGAGCCAAAGCAGCTCGTTCTCCCTCCCTCCGGCCGGGCAGCCTTCTCTCTCTCTCTTTCTCGCCCCCCCCCTTCCCTGGCCCGGCCGGCAAGACGCACATTCCCGCGCCGCGCCGGACCAAGACCACCCCCCCTTTTCCCCTTGGAGGCAAAATGGGCAACGCCGGGGGAAACGGGGGGACGAGAGGACAGACAAGATGGCGCATGACTTACCTTTTCTACATGTAATAGGTATTCCATGGCTTGCTCTTGTCCTCCCCCCCCCCCCCCTATCTTCTACTATACTGTCACTGTCACAATGTACATTACTTACACTACCAGATATAGTATCCTCTAGCCTGAATCTCTCTAAGACAAAGGCAAACCCGTCTTGGCTTATACGTAGATGTTGCTTCCCCCACCTTTCTGGTCTGCCACTGCCGGCGGATCGGCAGACTCGTTCGCCTCTTTTTTTGGGCCCGCCTGGGACGGACCCGCTGTGTGCGGCCCGGTCCCGGGTCGTTGGGGATCTGCTTTGCCCCGTGCTTAAGCGTGCCATGCACGTGTCTGGATGTGGAAGCGATAGAGGAACGCCCGACGAAAGAAGGGGGGCGTGAAAGAGGAGGGGGCGTGAGTGACGGGACTTCTTTTTTATGTTTAATTTTTTCCCCTCTACGGAGCTGTTCCTTTCCGGCTTAGAGACAGGGACGGGAAGGCCGGAAGAGGGAAGAGGGCACTAAGCAAGACGAGCTTTTCATCCCGTCGGCGACTCGATTTCCCTTTCTGGACTTTTGTCTGTGCCATTGGTTGCTTGGATCGTGCTACAAGGCCTGCAAGGCAGCTTATGCTGACCCCTCTCTGCCCCCCCCCCCTAACACTCCCCGCCTTGCCTTGACCTCTCTCCTCTCCTCTCACTGTCTTCCGTCGGCACGACAAGTCGCGCGGGCGAGGCCGGTCGTCGAGTACAATACCGAATCGTCTCATCACCCCGTCATTTTGTGCAGATGACAGGTGCCGTGGCACAGCATGGTCCGGTCGACAGACCACGCCTACCAGTACGCCGGTCTCAGCCCCGTAAAGTTAGCCAACGTCTGCGCCGCCTCGCTCTCAGCTTCTTTTTTGCGCTGTCCGCTCAACTACAACCGCCGGTTAGCTCGCTCCTGGTGAGAGGCCAGGGGGTGACATGTCCGAGTCAACTCACCTCCAGCTGCACACCCTTGTGCACGTGAACCAGCCAGTCAACATAACTCTGCGCCTCGTTGTTCCGGTCCTCGACCAACATCCGTGCGAATTCGTACTCGGCGCCGTCAATCCCACGCCGTGCGAGCTGTATCGTCAAGCCCTTGGACCCCCTCATCGTCTTGAGGAACTCGATGATATTGCGGACCTGGCAGTTCAGGTGCGTCTCCAACACGGGCAGGGATGATGTGTACGCGTCCAGGCTCGTGAGCGAGTCCTTCCCCTCGCCAAAGAGGTCCGTGACAAGGTTTGGCGACGTTTGCTCGTGGAACCAGAGCAGGCACTGTTGTCCGTTCTCCACGAGGTAGACACCGCCAGGCTCCACGCGGCCAAACGATGCGCGGACCGACGGCGGCATCTTCAGATGCCCTGTTTCGGCGTCGGCGAAACCTTCATCGGGCTGAAGGTTGTGGATGGGGATGATACGAGGATACAGGTACAGGCTCAGCTCAGTGGAGCCCATGGAGCGCACCATTCGCATCTCTTGGACTCTCCGGTCCGAGTTCTCAATGCCGCCCTTGAAAGCCCGCGACTTGATGAGACACAGGATGTACATGCAGAACTCCTTCAGCCGCTCGGGCATGACCAGCTGGCCAGCGGGGTGTTGCTGGGCCGAGTGTTTCCGGTAGCAGGCCATGACGTCGATTGTTCGTTCGCTGAGCCAGTTTCGGACGTCCTTGAGGTTACTCGACGTCGTTGCGAGCTTCGTGCTGGCTTCCTTGGCCAGCAGGGCGACGACCGCATCTTGGTCGACGAATTTCATGCAGCCGCGGATGCTCTGATCTCTCATGCTAGCTTCCTTTGACGTCTCGCTGACACTAGCAATCACGTTGCAGCATCGCACTCTACGCTGGCCAGAGGCCGTTGTGTAGAGGAGGGCCGACTGGAAATGGGCATCCAGCTTGGAGTCGAGCTTGCCATCGTAGCTGAACGACACCGCAAGCGCCTTGTCCGCGTCGATGACTCCTATTTCCAAGTCGGCGCCAAAGGTATGCTGCACAAAGTTGCCGTGGTACGCGCCAACCTGCAGGCCGTTGGAGCATCGGACCTTCATCAAAGCTTGGAAGCCGGTTTCTCGCGTGACGGTGTGCGCAATCTCTGCAGACAGTTTGGGGCTGTCTCGTGGGGCAATGAAATTCGGGTAGTAAAAGGTCTCGCCGCCCGTCGTGGCAGCAACATGTCCTGCACGAAGCGTCAACCCTTGAGCCTCCTCTCCGCACATCAAGCCAGGCGTTCTTACCGATGGTGGCAACGTCAAGGTAGCCCCCAGATGGAGCCGCGAGGAAGAAGTCAGTACCAACACCAGATGCCGCCATCTTCTCGGCAACCTTCTTCCACGCCGGGTGCTCAGTCGTGTACAGCTTCTTGTCCATCTCGCCGCCGGGATGATTGCCATCGTCCCGCATGAAAAGTCGTCCAGGGCCCCATGTAGGCAGCGCAGAGCATGAGCAGACAATCTTGCCTCCCGTCTTCTCCAGGGCTGCCAGGGCCGAGTTCAGGCCCGCGAGCAGGGCCGGCTCCGGGTTCTTGATGTCCGAGAACATCTCGGGCAGACGAGTTAGCAGAGAGGAGATGAGCGCCTTGGACTCGTACGGATCAACGAATAAGCCCTCGCCCAGTGGCACGAAGGGGTCCTCCAGATCAGGCATTATCATCATCTGAGCCTGTTCCAATCGGGGCTGCAGCACCGTCAGTCAGCCATCACCCGCCAGAGCCGCAGACATTTCGACGCCCGAGTGGAACTTACGTTGATATTGTAGAAATGAATATCCTTGTCATATGTCATGAATCCAACCTTGGCGCCTTCGGGTAGCCTTGGCTTCGGCTCGCCACCGACGTCGGCCTCGCCCCCGTAAAGAGCGTTCAGGATGCCATCGCAGAATGTCTCCATGAAGCCCTTGTTATATGACTCCTGTGTCGCGTCGATGACAAAGAGCCAGCGTAAGCCAACCGGCTCTCTTGTCCAGTACTCTTTTGGCACCACAAACTCCACGGTGCCACGGTGAAGCTCCGGCCGCTGATCGCGATCCACCCGCACACCCTGCGGGCTCGTGGCACAGAAATACTCGGGCGAGGTGTCGTTGGGATGAGTACAGAGGTTGCAAACAAACTTGTTGCCTCCTGATCGAAACATCATAAAGGGGTTGATATAGGCGCGGCATCTGCGGCATCGTGGCGGCCCGGTGTCTCCAAAGTCTAGAACAGGAATGGCCGCTTCTCCTGCTTGAACAGGTGCAAGGGGTTGTAGGAGCAGACCAAGGGGAAGGCCCGTGGCCTGTAGGCCGTCGGGTGTGGCGGGAATGTTGTTCATCGTAAGGCGAGCAAACTTGGGCGAGGCGTTGCCTTGGTCGTACGCCACAAAGGAGATGGTCGTGGGAGGCGGGACGTGACGTTCAAATGTAGGATACACGTTCTTGAGGAAGTGCTGCTGAGCCGAGTCTCGCGATACGGGCACGCTGGGCATGTCGTCGAGGGATATCTTGGAGGCGCCCGTGGGCGCAATGGTCGCAGCCGCGTCGGCAGAACCATTGCCGGCCACGAAACCAGCGGGAGCCATCGCGTTAGCGGGGCTAAAGGGTGTGCCGGCCGGAGCCGGGAACTGGTTTGGGTTCATGATGCCAGGAATGCCCTGCTGTTCGCCAAAGTGGCCGCCAAAGCCCGGGCTTGTCGGCCCAGCGGCAGAGGGCATGAACGGGCTACTCGCGAGGCCGGTAGGCGGCATGCCGTTGAAAGCCTGGGACGAGCCCGTTGGCTCGACTGTGTGATAGGCATGGCGATCCTTCTTCTTCTTGCGTATTGTTCCCTGGCCGTCGGCGGGACCCAGGTTCATCCCCCCCATTTGCGCTGCGAGGGAAGCGTCGTCTGGCTGCGAGGGAGGATGGGCGTGAAAGCTTTGGCCTTGTGGGTGACCAAAGCCCGGCGGTGGCTGCCCGCCCATGGATGGTTGCTGGGACGCACCACCATAGGGAGCTGCTCCCGGGGCATGGGATGGCGATTGGGCGTATGCGTTGTTTCGATTGCGATCGTTGGGGTCGGCGCCTACGCCTTGGCCGAGGGCGTGGTATTGGGAGTAGTCGGACATTGCGGGAGAGGAGGCGAAGCTCGGCGTTGCTGGAGTCGAGGGCCGGTCGAGAGAGCGCGCCAAGCGGGGAGAAGGAGGCGGTTGGCGAGGTGCCTTGGCAAGGACGGCGGGAAGAAACGAGGAAGAAACAATCACAGGCTCAGGCGCTCTTCCATGATCCTCGTGTCCCCGTTGCGCAGCACGTCGGACAGCTGGCGGGGCTGGGGTTTTGCAGGCTGAAATTCGCACGTTCCTCTACTACCGAGAGGTGCAGTCGTCGTGCCTCGCTGGCCTTTTTGCCTGATTGGCAGGGTTCGGCCGGCCGCCGTTGGCCGTGCTCCTGCCTCCTCATTGGCAGGGGAGGCGGGGGGGTTATCGGATCGGGTATTGTGTTCTCCGTGGCAGCTTCTGAAGAAGTCCCCCTATTTTGGAGCAAGTGCCTCGGTCTCGGAGCTCTTGACTAATCCGTACTGGGCGGCAGACTCTTCCAGCGCAGATACCTGGTTGGCTGACGTACGATCCAGTCGTTCGGAGCGTGAGCTTTCTCTTCATCACGTGGATCTGCCTTGGTGCTGTCTCGAGTCAGCGCCCCACTTCTAGCCACTTACACGCTGCCCTCGTCGTGTAAGTCGTCGTCGATGTGCTCGGACGAATGCTGTGCCAACAAACGGACAGCGAAGCGCATACAGAGATGGAGCCGTAACCATTCTTTCTTCTCGTCCGAGTATCATTCCATATCATATCATGTAATTGAGCTGGCGGGCCTGCCCGCTAAACACCCGCCTCGGCGAAGTACAGGTGACCCAGAAAGCCTAGGTGTTCGCTAGAATCAAAGTCCAAATGGTCCGGATTGTCCGAGAGACGCGCTACTCTGCCTGCCCATGCTGAGAACCGCTCAAAAGCGGACAGGCCGAGGGCTTGTGCTTTGTAGCCATGCTTCCAGGGGGACGTGGCGACACGGTGCTCGGAAAGCCGACCATGGAGGCGGTGGTGCCCTCTTCAGCCAAGCGCCTCTAAGAGTGGCTCAAACTTGGGAAATATTCCATGGGACAGCCCTCGAAGCTATTCAAGGCCAAGCTTTGCTTTCTACATGACATCTATGGCAGTTGGTGACCGCGCAAGAGATGTACATGAGCCCCTCGGACGTGATGAGTCGCGTCGAGCATCCCTCTCGCGTCTTTGCGGGCCACGCGTGATGTTGCATAAACATGACGGCGCAGCTCGGCATAGAGCGAAATGTAAGCATTCAGAGGACACATTGAGGAAAGAACTTGGACCTGTTTTCTCCGTCTTGACCGTTTTACCGTCCCGTTACTCGGCCCCGCTGGTCTATGGATTCCAGGCGGCGTGGATGGCGGACATGGAGAGCAAACTCGACGCCACGTCCCCTTTAAGCACTATATTCAATCGCTCAGCGCAGTACCCAACCAAGGGATGATTTTACACCAGCACCTCATATTGCGGTACAACGTGCTCATTGAATTTGAATGTGCAAGTCATGCATCAGTGCCGGTGGTGGCGAGCCATGCGAAATGGCCAGTGTCCGACAGTGTGACCTTCAGGCCACGCATCAGGTCCGGCAGAGCACTCGGTCGCGGCAGCTGGGTATTACGGGCAGCTGAGGCGCAGAAAAGGAGTCGTTTAAATTTTCGAACAGCACGCACGCTTTGAGTCAAGGGCGAGCGCGTTCTGGTGATGCGATGGCGATTCATTGGGGCAGCAATGTGCAGGTGCGAGAGGTGCGGATAGCTTCAGGCTGTGTCGGGAATGCGCGGGGCGGCTGGCCTTTGAAGCCTGGGAGCGTCCCGCCACCGCAAGAGCCGCACGGCTAAGCTCGAGATTTCGGCAAACAATCGAACGCAGCCGGTAGCTAGGCGCAAATCACCTCGGGTCCACGTCAGATGATTGAAGCGGCAGGGAAAGGCAGGCGGGCGCCCATTCGGATATCAAAACCATTCAAAACACAACACGTCTCGCAGCGAAGGAAAAAACAAGGCGACAGCAGCGGCACGGCAGCAAGATATCACCTTGATAAATGCACTCTTCGCTTTTCCTGCGGCATCCCATCCTAGGGCAAAACCTAGAGGGCCAGGCGGAATGACTCATCGAGACCTCGACTGCACAAGGAGAGAAAGAGGGAGAGGCAGAGGAAAGCAAAGTCGGGGGAGGTGGGCGGTCGAGGCTCTACCCATGCCAGATCAGACGTGTGAGGGGCGGCGAGGTGAGGTTGAAGGGCTGCAGCCAATCAGAAAATTGGTCCCTCTCGAGGTATGATTTTGGAGGAATTGGCACCCATTTTTACCTCGAGCCATAACACGGGGACACGGGGGGCTGATGGCATGTCACGCGGGAGGACTTGGCCTCTCTGGGTGCTCACGCACGGCTTGGGATGTGGCTGAAGCTGTCAGTTTCTCATCCCGTCCGTCATGGCACAAGGTGCTGCAGACAGTGTCGCAGAGCGTCCATCCCGGGCAGGACAGGACGGCCTTTCGAATCATGCGCTCGGGGGGGGAGCCTGTCTTGCGCTCGGCCCCGGGGAGCGGAACCTGGACTATGTTATAGGTTTTGATCTCGGTCCCTGGCGGTCACACAGCGAGTCGAAGCCAACGGGGGTTTTGGTTGGAGGGGCAGGGCGAGGCAGGGCGAAAGACACGTGCGCGTGTATGGATTCACGTCGCCCACATGTTGCCAGCGTCACCATCTCGAGGCACAAAAAGGGGGGGGGAGAGGTGACGAGAGAGTGAGGTAGACGCCGAGAGAGGGGGGATGGAGGGGAGGCAAGTGGTGGCAGAGATGCGAGGCACCAGGGGAAGAGAGGGGGGCCCAGGAGCGGGCGCCGCGTGGCTCGCGAATAAACCCTCTCCCCGTCTCTCTCTCTCTCTCTCTCCCTCTAGGCAAGGCACCGGTAGCTCAGCTGCGCCGAGACCCAAGGCTTGTCTCGTTACCCCCGGCCGGGAACGGTAGCGGGTGGGTTCCACGGCTCGCACTAGGGGGAGGAAGGAAGGAAAGAAGCGTGGACGTGGTGGACGGCCGCACGCACAACAGCAGCCAGGAGCTCCCGCGGTACTGATTGCGGTCTTGCCCCCGCCCGATATATAAACAAGCCCCATCCCCTCCACGCGCCCGCCGATCCTGCTCGTCTGCTCTCCCCCATTTGATCAAGCACAAAAGCCTCGCCCGATTTCTTCTTGATTCTCGTCGCCCTTCCATCCCGCTGTCGATCAAAGCCTCGTCTGCCTTTTTTTTTGCCACCTCGCGTCCGTCCCCGCTCGCACGAATCCCCCCCCCCTCAATCCCCAGCCATGCCTCCCAAGAAGGCCGAAGCCGCTGCCCCGAAGGCAAAGGCTGGCGCAACCCACGCCAGTTACCAGGTTCGTCGCAATCCGGCTTTTACTCGAGGCAACTCGTCTTCTGACACACCGCAGGACATGATCATTGACGCCATTGTCAACGTGAGTTTTATGCGCCCCGTGCTTCCGGCGCATTGGCCGTGCCGCCTCTCCCCGTCGCTTGGTCCCGACCGTGTCGCGCCATGGGGAGCGCATGGTCGCCCGTGGATGGCCCTTTTCCCCCCAACGCGTATCGCATGCGAGAGCGCCCTTTGCTAACGCGCCCGCCCCCAACAGCTCAAGGACCGCAATGGCTCCAGGTGAGACTCCTCACTGTCCCCGCCCAGCGGGACGCGCCTTGCTGCTACCCGTGGAGGATGCTGACGACCCTGTACAGCCGCCAGTCCCTGAAGAAGTACGTCAAGGCCAACAACCAGCTCAATGTGTCGGACAACATGTTCGATTCTCTCTTCAACAAGGCCCTGAAGAACGGCGTCGACAAGGGTGTTTTCGCTCAGCCCAAGGGTCCCTCCGGCGGCACCAAACTGGCCAAGAAGAAGGCCGAACCTAAGAAGCCCGCCGTGAAGAAGGACCCTGCTCCTCCTCCGAAGAAGCCCGTCGCCGCCCCCGCCGCCAAGAAGGCTGCCCCCAAGAAGGCTGCCCCCGCCAAGAGCGAGCCCAAGGCCGCTGCTTCAACCACTGCCAAGAAGCCTGCTGCTCCCAAAAAGGCACCCGCCACCAAGAAGGCTCCTGCCGCCGCTGCCCCTGTCGCCAAGGTACTTGTTTTGTCTGTCGCTCGTGCACGGGGATGCGTCTTCTAACGCCCTTAATTCGATAGCCTGAAAAGCCTGAAACTGTCTTGACCAAGACGAAATCGGGACGCGTCACCAAGGCCCAGAAGCCTGTAGCAAAGAAGGCGACACCAAAGAGGGCTGCGCCCAAGAAGGCGGCTGCCACTCCTGCTTCCGCCAAGGCATAGGCCACTTTGCTACGTTCTTTTTTTTTCCTTTCCCTTCAATGATGTCTACGGCGTTCCGGGTTTCGATTGGAATGGCACGGCAAGGAGACGCAGGCTGAACTCGGATTTGTGAATTGGTTGGGCGGGAGCGCTGGGAAATGGGTCTTGTGTTGTTTTGTGCGCGCGCATGGGCATGATGGCCTTTTCCTTCGCATCTGCCAGGTTGTCAGATGTTGGGGGAACAAGGCTGAGTCTGAAAGGGCCGTGGCCGAGCTTTTCTTCTTTTTTGATTCCACTTTTCACGGCAGGAGGGTCTGCGCGACGTTGGAGGGCGAGTTTCACGTCGCAGAACTGGGGACGTACGCGCGACTTGGAGCCGGAGAGGGCGCACGTCTCACGAGACTTGGCCGCGGAAAGGCACTTGTACAGTGCTGGCACGAATTGTAATTATACCACTTGGGATCCGGGGGGTGAGGAATGATATGCTATGAAGATTGGCTTGCCTGTGCCTGCTGTTCCATCTCGGAGCGCCCGTGAGCTTGTTTGCGCAAGAGCTGTTTGAGTGTTGCGACGCGCCTGGAAGCCCGCCTTGTTTACTTCGCCGATAATTAAGCTCGTGTCTTTATCCGTCGGGGACATGCCAGCGCTGGGACTGTCAAGTGGGCTGACGGGTGAGTGGAATGGTCATTCAAAAGTGACTGATGGCGAGATGACGACGGTGTAGATGTACTGCACCGTCGATCGTGGTCGAAAACAGCATAGCAATATCATTCCTGTTCCCTTTCTCGCCATCTTTTCGCAGCTCATCGCATGATAAACAATATGCCCTCAAGTATAGGGTAGCAAGGGGTAATGACGGTTGAATGTACCGTGAAAAATCATGTCCTCATCGCTAGATCAGCGAGGTAAAGATACAGTGCCAGAGCGCCAGAGTGCCAAACACCATGTTCATGAGTGCGAGGAACCGTGACGGAACAGGCAGTCTCATGCCTGACTTCAAGTTCTCACATGGCACTATCTCGAGAGAAGCCGTCTCTTATCTCAGGCACGCCGAACGGTTGCTAGCCTCTCAATAGCCCCTCACTGCGCATCCGCAAACGCGGCGGCGTGGCAGCCTCAGTTAGCAAGATACATGCCTATCGGCAGAGAAGCGTCGCCTGGGGCTCAGTACCCTGTTAATGGAAACGAATCAGCCCCCACTAGCAGCTAACGTGCCTCCACGCCAACAGTCATGGCTGACAGCCCTCCGAGATGGCCTCCCCAAGGTCCGAAGTCCCGAGGATTCCCAGGAGACGATTTCCCATGTGACGGATTGTCGTCGACGAGACTGTGACGGCCCGTCTGGTACCAAGTGCACCCTCTTACGCCTCCGCCCAAGAGGCACAGCCTGGCTGCAGGCCGAAAATGACGGCCCTGCGTCATCAACTCCGCGTTCCGTGACTCCCGTCCTCGAGCTAAGACAGCTCTGCCTCGGCGCCCTACCAGCCTTTGCTGGCTGTCCTCTCTACTCGTCCGATCCGGTTCGATCCGACCCCAGAAACAAACACAGGGCCGCCCCCCTCCACCAAGTCCAGGGTCCGCGATTGTTTGTCTGCTTGCTGTTGCGACGACGACGTGTGTGCTTGCGCAAGCCTGCGTAAGACCACCCGCCGCTGCCGACCCGACCTCTGAACGAACCGTCACCATGTCGTCGAACCCGTTCCGGAAAAAGGCGCTCGAGGCCATTGACACGACCCGCGTGCAGTCGCCCGTCAAGTCGAGCCTCCGCAGCGACTCGCCCCTCGGCGGCGATGGCGCCATCCTCGACAAGCCCAGGACCGTCAAGAAGGTCCGCGTGCTGTCGCCGCCGCCCCTCTCCCCCGACTCGCCAGAATGGCCAGCCAACGTGAGCCGCAGCGGCTACGCTGAGTCGCTCTACCGCGACCCCTTTGGCGTCTCGTGGTCGACAGACGAGAGCGATCCCGACACCCCAGCGACCGCGCCAGCTCCGGCGCCGCCGGCCGTCGTGCCAACCGGGAACGCCGCGTCGCCGGCCAACCCTTTCAGCAAGACGTTGCAGGCCCCAGAGGACTCCGAGCATCTGGAAAACCAGAGGAAGAGCGAGGGGGCTGCGCTCAAGGCGGGGAACCTGGCGAGGCAGTCGCTCAACGTGGATTCGTTCAAGAGGCTGCTTCTCACGGGCAAGGTCAACGACACAGAGCCCCTCCTGGCAACGGACTCCCCGGCAAGCAACGACTCCGCAGCAAAGAGAGCGGCGCCTGCTAACAACCTCCACGCCGGGGGAACTACGGCAGAGGGGAGCGAGGAGGAAGAGGAGTCGTCAAACTCGGAAACCTCATCAGCCGACAACTCGGACAACCATGCCAGGCCGGTATCCACAACCAGCCCCGATGGACACTCTGGCAAGGAGAAGAAAGCCCCGCCACCGCCTCCGAGTTCTCGGCGAGGCAGATCACTACGGGACGACGGCAGCGACGCGCTGGGTATTGGCCTGCCCACCGATGTCAACAAGCCCCTCCCCCCTTCACCCGTGCGCACAAGTGTAGACGACGGAGCCGATTCTCCATTCGACCGCGAATCAGCAGGCAGGGTTCCGGAGCAGCCGCCGGGGCGGGAGCCGGATGCTGGAGCGGCAGAGCCACAGCGCGATTCCGCAACGCAGCCCAGCGGCGGCAAGAAGTCGGCCCCGGCGCCTCCGCCACGAAGGGGCCACGCTCGGGGAGAGAGCAGGGGGCATCTGCCTGCTGCTGAATCGACTCCCTCGAGGCGGCGCGGCGACGAGGTGCCTGTTGGTACGTCTGGCGACGAGACGCCCACTCGATCCGACGAGCCCCGACACGCAGGCCATGCTCCAACTCCTCCGCCGCCACGAAGACCGCACGCAGCGTCGCGGCAGATAACGCCGACATCATCGCAAGTCACCTCAGTCCCACCGTCGCCCACGCCTCAGTCCGATTCGGACCATTCCGCCCCCCTCGATGCCTCGGCCGCTACCGCACATGACGAAGCGCACCCCGCAGGCTCGAAACTCGTGTCGCCACCACCCCGCCCGCCGACGCGTAAGCCCTCCGTCAAGCGTCCCGCGAGCGTCATCAGTGTCGAGGGCCTCAGCCGACGCGTCTCGGTGGAAAGCAGGGCCCGAGACGGGCCTGCCCGGCCACCACCTCCGCCGCCGAGACAGCGGGGCAGCAGCTCCGGCAGCCTAGATGCCCTGCCGCGGCGAACTAGCGGAGAGGCGGCATCGGCGCACTCGGGGCAGAGGCTACTTGTGTCGAGCTCTGGCGGGACGGCGACTTTGGGGGAAGAGCAGGCTCCGGATCCTGGGAAGGGTGACGATATACTGGCGGATCTGGACGCCCTGCAGAGGGAGGTGGATGCTCTGCGAGGTCAGATTGGTTGATGGAGACCGCGATTCTTGGCGATTTTCACGTACAACCACGTCTCCAGGAGACAAGGCACTCACGGCCCCGTTTCCACTGAGGATATGGGATTTGCTACGAAGTATTCGTACCCTGTAGAGGAGAGGGGCCTGGGCCCGGGTGAGTGCTTCTTAGCAGCCTTATATGGAGGGCGGATGACGATTCTAGATGGAGCAGAGTCTACAGAGTGCGGCGCAGGCCAACACTCGAGCTGGATCAGGCGAGGCCTGTGGGCAGGCTAGCTAGCTGGTGGTGAAGGTGTGCTATCGTGTAACTGGGTTTGTTCGCCGGCTGAGACCCGCCAGGTTGGTCAAGGGATCCTTGCGTGGGTGGGTGGATGACGCGTTGCGCGCCTTTTTTCGGCTCTCCGTTTGCATAGGGTAGCTCTGCGCGTTGACGGTTCTTTGGATAAAGAGGCTCAAGTAAAATGTCTTGTTCATCCTGCATGCGCCTCTTGCTTGACCGGTAGTTCTGAGCCGCCGATGCCATGGAGCCAGCTGGAGTCGTTGCCGGCACAACTGTTCGTCTTGGATGCACAGAGCTCGCACCGCATCCAACGCGCCCCGAAACAGTAATCCGATGATGTGGCGCCCGCAGCGTTGGAGAGTGAGACGGGTTTTGAGTCAAAACAAATACGTACCATGTTGCTTGCCCTGCACATACTGTAATGCCACCAGGCGATCCATGGTCGGCAGCAACGCGGGTGAATGTACATACCGTGACATTGCACGCCGGCCAATAGTTGCGATCCGTGGGATCGTCGTTCTTCCGTGGCAGAGAAAGGCTCCCATCTGCCTCGTCGGCGAGATCCGGTTGTGTCACTCCTGGGGTCAGAAGCTACGAGACAGCTGACAGGCAAGCCTGCGATTGGGCTAAGGCTAAGGGAACCAGAGGCCCCAGAACAATAAGATGCAGATGACAATGACGCTCACATACGGTGCGGAAACGTACAGTATACTTTGTGGGCGAGTTCCCAATGGAGCGCGTGGCCGTACACGGAGGATCATCTGGGGTTATTAGCCGATTCGCATTCAGCGCCCCGCGAGCGCCAACGCTGGCGTGAGCAGGCAGAACAGCGCGTGAGGCGGCGACATCCGTCCATTAGAGCAGGGCTCATGGCTCGGGATGTCCTCTGCTGTACTCTGTAGCTGCATGTACAGTATGTACTTGACGCCTAACCTCACAACCTGCGCTCGAGTATGGCCTATGTCCGGTTTCAGCAGCCGGAGGTTCCGTCTAGCTTGTACTTCGTACTGTACTTGCTCCTCCTTCCTCTTTGGGGCTTTAGCAGCCTCGTGCACAATCTTTGGCGCCTGCTCCGCTCTCGGCTAGGGGCGACAGGGCAAGCTTCCGCCCCCGACGTTACCTCTAAGTACATACTCTACTTCCAGGCCTGCCTTAGAGGGTACCTGAAATTCAAGTATCCGCCTCAGCCGCGAGCACCGTGATCCACCCAGCACGTCCGGCCCGCAGCACGGGGGGTACTTTGGTACTTCGTACCTTACATCACGTTAAGGTACAGTCCCTTAGGTACCCCAGGAGTTTCCTGCTAGAGCTCCCCCCGTCCAACCGCCGATGTTCCCCGGCAGGAGGCAGTTTCGTCATTGAGCGCTGTACGAAGTCTGTACGAGGAGAGGTACATACCTCGGCGGCCGAACATGAACGCCAGCACGCCAGCACGCCACCGGCGCTGGGGCGCTTTGTCGGCCAAAACATGGCAGCCATCCCTCCACGCAGCTCCAGGGCCTAAGCTCTTGCCTCCTGTCCTTCCTTCTCCTCCCTCCCCTCTCCCTCCTCCCCAATACCCACCCATACTTTCCTTGCTTCCACTCTCTGATATCGTCGGTATTTATCGTTCGCGTCTTCCTTGGCCTCTCGCATCGCCCGAAGGCCATCAGCACCATCCGTCTCGCCTTTTCTAGCCGTCGTCGCCTGCGGCCATCGTACCACAGCCTACTCTCTAGACTCTCAGCTCACTTCCCCGAGGTGTCGCCATCATGAAGAGCGCCCTCGTCGTCGCGGCCGCCCTGGCGGGGTCTGCCCAGGCCGGCATCCACAAGATGAAGCTGCAAAAGGTTCACCTGGAGGAGCAGCTGGTATGCCCCCCCGCTCGCTGAAAGAAGCCGACTGCATAGCGGCGGATGCTGACGCAACCCTCTACAGGCTGGCGCCTCCTTGATGGATCACGCCGAGCACCTCCGCAACAAGTATCTGGGCGCTCGATCCGAAGCCCAAAAGTTCCTGGGCTCGCGCCCCAAGACCCATGCCGACGCCATGTTCAACTCTGCGCCTCCTGTGGTGCAAGGCGATCACCCCGTCCCCGTTACCAACTTCATGAATGCTCAGTGTAAGGCTCCCAGTCCGTTATCCCCGCAGGCTGCGTGCGCTGACGATGCCTAGACTTCTCCGAGATCACTGTTGGCACGCCGCCACAGACTTTCAAGGTCGTGCTGGACACGGGAAGCTCCAATCTTTGGGTGCCCTCAACCCAGTGCAGCAGCATTGCCTGCTTCCTCCACTCGAAATACGACTCATCGTCGTCGTCAACATTCAAGAAGAACGGGTCTAGCTTTGAGATCCGCTACGGGTCTGGAAGCCTGTCTGGCTTCGTTTCCAACGATGTCATGTCCATCGGCAACCTGAAGATAAAAAACCAGGACTTTGCCGAGGCCACCAGTGAGCCTGGCCTCGCCTTCGCCTTCGGTCGATTTGATGGCATTCTTGGTCTCGGCTTCGACACCATTTCCGTCAACAAAATCGTCCCTCCCTTCTACAACATGATCAAGCAGAAGCTTCTGGACAAGGCCGTCTTCGCATTCTATCTCTCAAACAACGACGAGAAAGGCAGCGAGGCCGTCTTTGGCGGAGTTGACAAGGATCACTACAAGGGCGATATCGAGTACATTCCCCTCCGTCGCAAGGCGTACTGGGAGGTCGATTTCAAGTCTATTGCATATGGCCATGACGTGGCCGAGCTTGATAATACGGGCGTCATCCTGGACACTGGCACTTCGCTCAACATGCTCCCCAGCTCCATTGCCGAGATGCTGAACGCGCAAATGGGGGCCAAGAAGGGCTGGAACGGACAGTACACGATTGACTGTGCCAAGCGCGACAAGCTGCCCGACATCACCTTTGCGCTCGGCGGTGCCAACTACAGCCTGCCCGCCTCGCATTACATCCTCGAAGTCTCCGGGTCCTGCATCTCCACATTCCAGGGCATGGACTTTCCCGAACCCGTCGGCCCGTTGGCCATCCTGGGCGATGCCTTTCTCCGAAAGTACTACTCTGTGTACGACCTCGAAAGGGGCGCTGTCGGCTTGGCTTTGGCCAGTTAGTGAGGGACGGGCAGGGACGAGGTTATGGTGTACCATTCAGGGCGTAGCAGCACGCACTTTTTGAACAGGTGAGACCGTGTCTTCTTTGTAATGCACGCAGAACACATACTGGATGCAAGCCATACATGTTGGTGTGTACCGTGGCCTTGAGGCACTGGCTCGCTGCCGTGACGAGGACATTGAAGTCTGGATAGGTAATTGGAGCAACCCTTTTGCCCAAGAATGGGGTTTGGTTCGACAACGGAATGGGACTGTTTGTCTGCTTGAATTGGGACGCAACTTGTAGCACCAGGCAGCTTGATGCTGTGTAAACAAGAATCACACATGGCGAGCGGGCAAGACGAACAGCACTGGTGATGGACGTCGGTGATGCTATGATGTTGCTTAAGGACAGCCACTTCTCTGAGGGGCGAGTGAAGTCGACGGGTCTTATGGGCCTGTAAATGTTTCATCCGAATTTCCAGTGTTTTGTTTGAGCGAGCAGGCGCCAGTCAACAGCCATTCCCATTGTCTCCCTACGTGGTGCGGGAGGGGGGTGAGTCAGCAGTGAATTCAGGCACTGGCCGTAGAGGCAGATAGGCTTCTGCTAGGCAGATAGGCGTGTGCTGCTAGGCAGACAGGCGTGCGGTAGGCGGATGCCTTAGGTAAGGTAGGCAGGTTTCACGGCATCGTGCAGCGGAAAGGCCGAGTGCGAAAATGGGAGGTGCAGGGGGCAATCAAAGGCAGTAAAATGAGGCCGTCATGGCAGTGGGAGAGGCGGTGGTGGGAGCGGCGAGAGGGCATCGACAAATCACGTGCTGCCAATTTTAGACTTTTCCTCGACAAGCCTTAGCGTTGGTGCCGCTGGAGGACGAGTACCTTCCTGCTCGGCGATCTAGGACAACATCCGTTTTCTTCCCTCTGGCCGCCCATCCGGTTGCATTACGCCTCTGCGCAGCCCGTGAGACGACAAAAAAACGGTCCCCTCTTGCCCGAGGACGCCTGGCTGCCTTGTACTCAGGCGCTGCCCTCGATTGCACGGCAAACGCTGGATGCAGCCGTTGTGTCGGCGCGGCCTCGACAAACGGGCTTAGGTTGGGAGTCGCACCAATCTGCCAATCCACCGCGTATCGCGACACGGCGCGGCCACCATCATCACCACGACAAGTCCGCCCGACTCGCGCCCCGAGATTGAAAAAATGGCGCACGCAACCGCCCCCGAGCCAAATGGCGCCATGACCCCGGACAGCGACTCCAACGACCAGCTCGCCGTCCCCAGCAAGCGGAAACGTGACTCCGGAGACGAGCCGCCCGCCGAGGCCAAGCATCAGGTCGAGCAGAAGCCCACTGCACCCCGCCGGTGGCCTGCAGGCAACCAAAGGGACTTGATCAAGTCGTATTTTGACGTTTTGACAAGGTAGCCCGCGTCTCTTCCTTCCTTTGCCTTGCCCTCCGCCATCATGCTGCGGCCCTCCCTCGACCGAGCCAGCTAACCGTCCCCGTCAAGCCTCGATGTCGAACACTCCATCCTCAAACGCCCGCTGTCCGAAGCGTCGCCCGATCTTGAGCCCGATGCGAAACGGCAAAAGTCGTCGGAGCCGCCTTCGCGTTCCAGCGTCTCGGACAAGGTGGTGGCCGGCGAGTACGCAGACATGGAGGACATGGCCAATGATGTCCTCTCCGCCGTCAAGGCCGCGCTGTCCGACTTGGACTCCAAGCCATCCGAGGACGCCGACAAGACGATGACCGCCAAGGCGGCGCTTCGGATACGTGACTTCAAGAACAAGGCCATGCAGATTCTTAATCGTGAAAAGGCATACCCCAACGTGGCAGCCGCGCATTCATCGGGCGACGCGGCCGCTGAAGCTGCCTCGGACGCCGGCGAGACGGTGCTCTCCGTCGTTGGCTACGCGCCACAGGAGAGGCGTCTGTTTTCGAGCCTTCCCCTTGCCCGCGGCACCGACCTTTTCAAGCTCACCCTGCCTCCGGGCGTTTCCATCTCCCGAGTCGCGCCCTCGACGCCTCGGGAGATGACGCAAACTCTCGGCGAGCTGTTTGCGCCGCCTCGGTCGCTGCCGCCGCTACAGCCCCCGAAGCAGCCCAAGACCCAGGCCAAGGGCAACATTTTGGACTTTTATCATCCGGAACTCACCGACACTTCCAAGTACCGGACCAACTGCTACTACACCACGAAGCTCACGGCCGGCCACTATCTCGACTACAGTAATGCGACTCCATCGTCCCAAACAAAAACGAAGCAGCGTGAACGGGCCCAGAGCCTGGCGGGCAAGAAGCCGTCTGCGTCGGAGCTGGAGATGACGGAGATGGAGGCCCTGTTCCGAGGCGCCTTTTCCAGCTTTGCACCGTGTAAGGACGACGCTGCTGCCGTGGTTCCGTCCAGCGTCGCCGGGCGAATGTGGTGGCAAAAGTCTGGCCAGCGCAGCTTCCAACGGTTGATTGAGATTGAATGCTACGGCGACGTCGACGATGCCGACGCGCAAAGTACAAAACTGGCTGAACTGGATGAGGCGGCCGTCCAAGAGGCCATCGACAACTGGGATGAATCTGTCGTCGATCCCACCCTCGAAGACGTCATGGGCAGCGGACGGGACGAAGGCGAGAAGGAGGCCGATGAAATCCTCGACGAAGTGAGCGACATGATCGAGACGCTCGCCTCGTACCAGCGCATCCGAAATCTCACGCTTCCCAACTCTCAAAACCGCCAGTCGAGCGACCCGGTGACGGGAGACATGCTCGCTACCGCTGGTCCCCAGCCGTCCGAAGAAGAGCATGCGACCTACCAAATGCTCAAGGCGCAGTTGGCGCTCATCATCAAGACGCTGCCGCCGTATGCGGTGGCCAAGCTGAACGGCGACCAGCTGGACGATCTCTTGATCAGCACCAGGGTCCAGGTCCAGACCGACCAGTACCGGGGCGTCATGGAAGAAGACGATGTCGGTCTTCAAGCCCGGTTGCGAGCCCAGCAGCAGGCTCAGCAGGCTCAGCAAGCTCAGCAGGCTCAGCAACAGGCCGCACATGTCGCTGGTCGTCCTGGCAGTCAGCGCACCCCAAGCATCTCGACGCCTTACGGGACCAAGTACCAGGCGCCGAACCAGTACGCAACGCCGACGCGGCCTCCCTCGCACCCGCAGCAGTACTACCGGCCAAGCCCTGCGCCCAACTATCAACAGCCGCGGAACATACCCCCCTCTGCCCATCAAGCTCGGCCCCCGCAGCCGAACCAGTACACCCGTCCCAACGGCTACCCGAACCAGTACGCCACCCAGCTGGCCAAGGCGCAGACGCCCTACGGACATCAAAACATGCCCCTGTATGCAGGTCAACAGCGGCCAGGCTACGCGCAAATGCCTCTGCAGCCGCAACAGCAGCCTCTGCAGCAGCAGCCGGCGCCGGCGCCGCCCCAGCATCAGCTTCCGCCTCAGCAACCGATCCAGCCCCAACAGGGCAACCCAAACGCGCGCTATGCTTTCCCTCAAGGCTATCCGCAACAGCAAGGAACCCCTGGTCAACCCAACTATGGGGCAGCCTACACCAACGGCTCGGGCGCGCCACCTAGGACCATGTCTCCCCAAGTCCCCCAGAGACCACCGTACAGCCCCTCGCCTAACTTGCAGCAGAATCAGCGATTCCCCAGCCAAGGGAATGCGCCGATGAACAGGTACCCGGGCAGTGCCGCGGGCCAGCCTGGATCGAACCAGAACCCGGGCCTGACGGGATATCACACCGTGATCCCCGAAGCCCAGCAGCAGCGGATACTTGACCAGGCCAAGGCCCGCGTGGCGGCTCAAGAACGCACCGCCATGTTTGCGGATAAGATTGCCCAGCCAGGAGCCTCTCCCGGCATGGGCTATGGCACCCCAGGGGGTGAAGGCAACAGACTGGCAGCCGCGCGTGTAAGCGTGATGGATCAGCAGAAGCCATCGACACCAGTCGGCCAGCGGCAGGGGTCGAATGGGACGCCAGGGGCAGCGTTTGTGCCGCCGCAAAAGGTGACTCCAGTTCCCGTCCCCGTTATCCCCGGAGCAGGGCAGCAACAGCAGCAACGAAAGTCTGATGCGTGATGCAAGAACCTGCCGACTTGGCAAGTTGTAGAGCGCGCATGAGCTCCTAACGCCTGTTACTTTACAGTGAAGAACCTATTCAGAACCGCGAAGCTGGCTGTCTATGGGCCGATTGCTTTCTCACCACGGTGATGCGATGCGAGGAGAAGAGTCAGCCACAGCATAGATGCCCGACGGCCATGCTGTTGGTTGGTCCTCCAGGGGGCTGAACTGTCGCAGAGGGGAGGCAACTGATGGAGAGGGCTGTCTCGGATGTTGTTCGCCTGCGTTGGGCGGGGCAGCTTGCTTGCAGGGGTGGCAGAGAAGAGAAAAATGGACAGAGGGCAAAATTCGGGGAGCGACAGGCAGCATACTGTTGGCCAAGGAGGGAAGTCTTATTCAGGGGGCGAACACGGACTCTTTGGTCGAGACGCACCACCCGACAGGGCGTGTAATTTACGGCGAAGGCGTTGCGGCACGGACGGGCGGGCTTGGCGGCCGAGTTAGAGCCCGTGAAGAAGGGCCGGGGCTTGTTGAATGTGGTATCAAGTTATGGTTGGACAAAGGCGCGGTTGGGGCCTCGTGCTGGTGTCTTTCTTGGCGTCGGGGTGTCACTCGGTTGTCATTGTGAGCCGGAGCAGATGGCTCTCGGGGGTTTGATACGGAGGATTTCGCCTCGTGTACCGTGATGAGGAGAAGAGCAAGATCTCACTCAGGTCCAGCTGCCGTTGAGTGGCGCCAGCCTCGAGACGCGCGATGCATCTCGCTGGACGCCTTAGATACAAGCGAGCGGCCAACAACTGTTTTCACGCCTTGCCTCGCCCTTTGTCGTCCTCGCCTGGGTCTGCTGCTTACATTGGCCAAGACTGACGGTCCATGCCGGGACTTGGCCGTCGTGTTAGCCGACTACGAAACATGCATCTGCTGTACGACTACGTCCATGCGCTGCATGTCCTTGATAAAGACTGCGGCCAGACGGCAAAGGATGATTTATACTCATCTGTACCTTGGAAACCACCAGTCTCAGGGTGCAAATTGTGACGTACACAAGACATGATGTCATCATGTCCACTAGCAAGAGCAAACCCCGTTGTGCCGTCTTGTTTAGTGAGCCAGGCCTGTTGCATCCTCGGCCGCGGCCCCATGCCATGGATAGACGTTACACGAAAGACGCCTATCCCCTGTGCGGCCCCCTCAGCGCCTCGGGCAGCTGCGCAACCTTTTCGTTGAAGAGCTTCTCGGCATCCACCCAGACGCGCGACGTCTTGAGGTCCTTGAGCTGGAGCAGCGACTCGCGCAGGCCCTCGCTAAAGGCCTCGCTGGCCTCGCGCGGCAGCATCGAGGGCAGGTGGTCGATGCTGATGACGGACAGCGGGCCCGTGTTCTGGTCGCCCTTGATCTCGGCGGGCACCGTGGGGTCGTCAAAGGTGGTGTTGATGCTGTAGATGGGGATGGGGTTGTGCGGGTTGGTCGTGTCGCACGACACGTCGACGACCACGGACAGCTTGCGGCCTGCCCGGGTGAGGAGGTCGCCGTTGACAAAGGGAGGGATGGGCTTGGAAAGGTATATCTGCATGCCTCGTCAGCCCAACTCGAAAGGGGAGAAGAGGAAATCTTACGGCGTTGAGGAAGATGTCGTGTTGGACAATCTCCTCATATGGGCCGTCCCGGTCCTTGGTCTCGGCCAGGTCCCATCTGGTAATGTTCTCCGCGGGGATGCCGGCCTTGAGGAACAAGTCGCAGGCCCCCTTTCCACACCGGCCCAGGGCGCCCAGCACCATGGCCGTGGGCTTGCGGCCCAACGCCTTCTCGCCCGCCTCGACGTCCTTGCGGATCTGGTCGACCAGCTCGTCCTCGTTGCGGTAGTAGCCCCGGCCGTCGGTAAAGCTGCCGACCGAGGGGAGCTTCTCGCCGGGGTGGGACAGCTGGCGCGCCCACGCCTTGACGCCGAGAGCGGCGCCGGTGAAGCCGGCGTGGTAGCCAAAGGCGCTCACGCGGCGGCCCTGCTCGTCGACGAGGAACTCGAGGTCGTACAGGACGGAGCCGCCGCGCGGGAAGCGGGCGAGGACCTTTTCCCAGCCGCCCTGGTTCTTGTAGCAGTGGGCAAAGGCGATGTGGTCATTGGCCAGGGCAAAGTCGTCCTCGGGGATCTCCTTGAGGCCGAGGACCAGGGTGCCGGGGGCGGCATTGGGCCATCCGCCGGCGGGGACGAGGGTGGCCCCCGCAGCCGCGTACTCGGCGTCGTCAAAGATGCGCCGGAAGTCGGGGTCGGTCGAGGAGCGCTCGACCGAGACGGGGTAGCCGGCGTCGACGAGGGAGCGGATGACGGCGGGGGAAAAGGAGCGGTGCTCGAGGGGCTTCTGCTCCGCTCGGAGGAGGATGGCGGGGTGTTGTTGTTGGCCCATCTTGCTGCGAGACCACCGGGAGAGGTGGTTTATCGGATCAATGATGGGTGGAAAGATGCTTGGTATGACGACGGAAACTCGGCGTCCTGCGGCGCGGGTGGGTTAGATGTTGGACGCGGGGATGAATTATTTTGGGGGCGGTGTGTCTGACGCACAATATGAATGGCTCTGGCTAGTGGTGCCCGGCGTGGCTGCAATTGAACAGAGCAGGCGAGGACGGAAGGGCGCGTGCAAGATGTTGCAGAGCTTCATTCGGTGTATGTTTGTCTGGCGATGCCAATTTTTTTTGTTGCTTCGACTTCATCTTGAGTCACCGAGATGCCGGCTCCGATACCGCAATCGAGGCCAGCCAACAACGGCCGGCTACACGTGGTAAGAGGTTGCGGCTTACCTCATCAGTGGAGCTTACTGATACCTGTACGTATCTATCAGCTGGAGCACGTGGATTGCCTTTAGTAACCCAGGCATGTACCTACCAGCGATCAAAGCAAGGAAGGTATTATTCCACTTCGGTCGAATCCAGGATGGAAGACGAGATGGCAGACATTTTAACCTTTGATCCCCACATATTTGCCTTGGTCCTCTCTTTGATTGCTTGTCCGATATATTGCGGTTGACCGGGTGTCGATATATGTCTCGACGAACACGTACGAATGCGTCGGCGTCAGGCATTCCGGACGCGCGCGCGCTTCACCTGGCCGGAGCGAGCGCGGTGCCTCTGCATCATCTCGTTGGCATGCCAGCAAGACGATGCGTGCTCCGGCGCCGACAAATTTGTAAGCCTATTTCATTCTCTGTATCCTGTAGAATGTCTCGCTCGGGAACCCTGCCGAGCAATTCTGGGTTATTATTAGAATCAAGGTAATTGCGCATGGGCAGTGGTGAGTAGTACAGTACATCCGTCCACGGCCATTGGGACAAAGAGGCTGAGCCAAGGCTCCCGGGATCATCCAGAGAGACGCGGAGTGAGGAGAAAAAAAAGCCAATCTCCACTCGCGTCTGCTCATGCGTGTGTACAGTACACAGCTCAAATGCCTGCTCCCTTGCGAGATGCGCTGTAGTTTATCCAAGGCCGTACACCGCATAAACAGCCAAGAAGGTATGGCGAGTTTGGTCTCCACGCAACGCAAGAGAACCCACTCCCAACAGTGTAGAAGCGTCGATACACGAGTGCAGCACTTGGACGCTGCCTGCGACGCCCTGCCTGCCATGCGTATGGTGTCGGGGGGTTTCCGTCGGGGGCTGCGCTGCACGGCCCTTGCATTTGCGCCTCGCTGGTGGCCTCGAGCCGTCGTTGGTGCTAGGAGCCGAAACCGAAACCGCGCGAACCCAAAGGAAACGAGAAAAAAGGGGGCGAGGGAGCAAGGGACGAGAAGAAAGGAAACCAAGTTATGTCTTCGCCCGGCGACTTGTGCAACCTTGAGCAGCATGTCGATGTTGTTGTTGTACATACTGTAACCCACAATGCCAGGCCGCGTCTACAAAGGCGGTACGCAACGGTGTGCCCCGGCAGCATCGTGCTTCAGGTAGCGATCAGTACTCGGCTCATGCGCGGAGATGGGACCACAAAGTACCTGCAGGACCTTGCATTATCGTTCACGCACCCCCATTTTTGATACGGGCCCAACAGCAACCGCGTGGCCTCGTTCCGTCGTCCATGCCTGTCGTCGTCAGGATGCAAGAGGGCAAGGGTCAGGTCAGTTGGCCATGTGAGTCCGCGGAAACGACACCATCGCGTTCGTGATTTTCGTCCCTTTCTCCTCCGGACACGTGCCCGTCGGTCGGCCTCGGGCACAATGGAGGCGCCATTTGTGCAGTGTCGCATCGCTCGCGCCCATTTCATCCACCGGGTGGGCCGGCCACTACGTACCTAGCACAGTCACATTATGCACTGGCCAACCCTAACACAAGAGCACAATCGATCCGTCCTAGCACTCCGTAGGCATTGATGCGTCGACGCCGAGGGCACGACGCTCTTTTCCATTGTCGGTGGAGCCCCTTGTTGTTGCGGAGAAAGACATGTGCTCGCACTAGCGCGGTAATTACCACCCAGCGAATGGGGGCCGAGCTGGAATCCTAGCTCAAGTACACGGGACATTGATGCCTTGGCCGACGCATGTGGTCCGTTAGGGAAGTGGCCGAGCGGGCCCGCTGCCCGCCTAGCAGGCCCGTCGCCGCGCCCAGTACCCGATACGGCGTCTGCGTGGCTGACGCGCAGCCCGGCCAATAGGCGCCCGCCATTCCAGCCCGCCGACAGACTGCGCCGGTGTGATGGGCGAGAGAATCCTGAGCCCCCTGCGCAAATGCCCTGCGCAAATGCCCTGCGCAAATGCCCTGACTTTACCCAGAACACTGTTCCTGTCTGCTCGTCGGCGCTTCGCTCCCCTTCCGGCATCTGGGCGCTCTCAAATACGCACGCCATCGTCCGCTACGTGCAGTAGCCGTCTGCCGTAATGGTGGTCCTGTGCGGTCATCCACCATCAACGTCTGCCAACCAGCGCTCGTCGACGCCCACACCTTGGGTCCGTGAGTAATTTCCTCCTCGCAGGCAAGCCTCGTATGGCCCTCTGCCTTGGGTTGCCTTGGTTGCTCCGGCCCCTGACCAGCTTGGTCAAGCTAGCGACTGGCCACGCGCCTCCAAGTACTCCCCGTTTGCGGGATACTGTCCAGGTACATGTGTCATTGTGTCCTGAGACCCCAGCATCCCTCGTACCTTAGCAGTCTGTGGGCCCTCGAATCCCCATGTTCAGATAGCCGGAGGACCCTTTGTTCTTTGTCCTGCCCAGGTACTCAAAGGTTTCTGACTATCCCCGCCCACTCGTGTCGGATACCTGCGTGTTCCACTGTTCCCCTGGCCCCTGGCCTGATTAGGTGGTCATTTCCTAATTATCCATACCCCCCTCCACCCCCGGGCGTTCCCACTCATTCTGCCATCCTCCAGCTCCCTCCTATTCTTTCCCGCCCACTCCCACTCTCCCTCTCTCGTCGCTCGCTCTCTCGCCCAGCAGTCAACGCCGACTTTCAACCAAAACACCTCGTCGCTCGTTCCAGTCCCTCCTTCCCCCCCTTCCCCCCCGAGTCCACTGCCTCAACTCCATTCAGGCCACCCGTCCATATCGCCAACCTTTTGGTCACCAAACGCGCGGGTTGTGCTGTCCTTCCCCCCCTCGAGGCACTTCCGAACCGTGTACGGCCACGAATCAACCCTTCTCCCCGGATAGACTGCCTTCGACGCGGCATCGGGCCACGGTGCCTTGGCAAGTACAGGTCACCAAACCGCCCTCTCATGCCCGTTTCGCCATCGAATTTGGGCTTCTGGCTGTCCCTCTCCTGACTGGACGCCTTTTCGACTGGGCAGGTTCAGCTGCCTTTTCACGTTCTTCACGTCGACGACCGACGACAGCGACGGCAAATCTACTTCTCGTGGCCTGGGTGTCGACCGACGAAGCCGGTCAATTTCTTTTCCCATTGCCAGGGGAAAGAAAAGAGGACAGACTTTTCTCTACAATACTCGCTCCATCGTACGGCTGCCACTAAAAACCAAAGTCATGAAGACGTCAACAATCGCCTGCGCGGCCATGCTGGTTGCATCGAGAGTCTGTGGCGCACTCGATCCGCCCACGCTCGTCGTCCGTGACGAAATGGGCACGTTAGCCGGCCGCCAGACGTCAAAGGCCAAACAGGAGCCCTCGACCTTTCCACTACCGAACTCGCCCACCCCCCATGGGTGCTACAAATCGGGAGGTAACATGACCACTCACACTGTTGAAAACATGTCATCGGGGTCCTGCAACGAAGTCTGCAAGAAAGGCAAGTTCCCAGTTTCGGGATTACAAGGCCCGCAGTGCTATTGCGGCTTTGTCTATCCGCCCGCGTCCGATGTTGTCGAGGACGGGAACTGCAACTACCCGTGCCCTTCCTACCCCTTGGAGGCCTGTGGTGGACTCGGCAACCCCGGCCATTGGTCCGTCTACAACACCGGTGTCACAGTCAACGTCGGAGACTACGAGCCGGCCTCTTCGTCTTCCTCGAGCTCGTCGTCCGATCCCACCCGCTCATCGACGACCGACTCGGATTCTACGGCACCAGCTATTGTCACTCAAACCCGAACCGCGAGGCCGTCAGCTGCCGGTGACGAAGTCAAGAGCGGCCCCAACACAGCTCCCATCGTTGCGGGCTCAGTCGCTGGTGTGGTCGCTGCTGCCTTGTTAATCGGCGGCATCTTCTTCTTCATTCGGCGGAGACGTAACTCGGAGATAGAGGAGGAACACCGCCGGAATGCTGCAGTCAACGCCTTCATCAACGGGTCCAAGCCGCCCGGCAGCAGTGGAAGCATGTCCATGACTGATTCGCGTCTGGATCCCGTTCTGGCCCACCGCCGAATGAGTGACGGCAGCATCGCAGACAATGAAGATTACTCGCGCAGGATCCTTCGGGTATGTCGATCCCCCCAACACCCGCAGGCCCTCGGCTCCGAGACCGTTTTCTAACTTGCCGTCACAGGTCACCAATGCATGAGCTCAAAACTAGCCCAGTGACACGACAAGCGGAATCTGTCAATATATAAACCGAGCCTCTTCTTCTTTTGTCTCTGAAAAATACCACCACTCGGGCATTCACGGCGTTTTGGGATGAAGCTCAGCCCATTGGTAGGCAACCGACCAATGGCCTGGCGGCGTTTGACTCGTTTTGCTTCCAGGCGTAGGGTTGTGCATTTATTTGCCCAGAGGAGACGGCCGAATTCGACGGCACGTGCGATACACCTCCGCTGACCCCTATGCCATCCGCTCTTTACTTCTCACTTCACCTTCGAAGCTCGGCTCTGGCGACTTCAGATCAGTGTCATCACTTCAGCTGCTTCACTGACCTGTGCCTCCCGCTGGCAGCCGAAGCATGGGCCAATCTGGCCATCCGCCCCAGTGATGTCTATCAGAGTCACTGTGGGCGACGGCTCTACCGATTTTGGCATTCTCGACTTTCGATCTTGGGCGAGGTCGATTAACACGATGACACTTCGCCCCGCACCTCACGCGAGAAGATCGACGCCGAGACTCGGCCATGAAACTCCCGCAACGTAAGGCGCGTCGAACGAGCCCATTGTCGGACAATATTTTGACGACATGTCTGATGGTCGCCGACCGAGCTTTCTTTTTTCACCTATTCTTATATTTCTTCGGACGAGGAGCGAAGGACATTTTCCTGGTAGGGTCTGGGGAGGAATGTACGTATGGATTGCGCCATAGTAAAACTAAGTATAGTCATATCGCGTCGCCATGACCGTCTCAGGGTGATGGACTGGGGAAATGCTCGGGACTGCCATGTCGGCTCGTGGACAGATCTGCATGTGTAGACGGATCTCTTGAGTCGCCGACGGGTATTCGAAAAGCTTCATTAATTTTAGGTAGCACCATCTTAACATGGTCGTTGATGGATTAGTTGGGAAGATTGCCTGGTAGGCAATGTTTTCCGTGAAGGCGTGACACGTCGCTGGCACAACTGTTCGTCAACCTACTCCGTAGATTGCGTGATGTTAGTGGCCTTGTCCCAGCGTCATTGGACAATGCGTCTCATGTCTTTACCTGACATCAAGTCAGCCGTGTGTGCAGTACTGCAGTCGATAACTGATGGAAGCAGAGGCCAAAAACACGTGACGCGTTCTGCTCAAATGCTTTGCGTACGAAATACGGAGTAACGAGCGTGGACATTGGAGAGCATGCTGCGAGGGGGTTACGCGCATCACGTGACAGCCAACCAAAGCTCGTAGCTGCGCGACACGGTACGCCAGGCCGGTGCGCTGAAAAGTTTCCAACGGGCGACAAACACCGCTAGCGACTTGCAAAGCTTCCAAGGCATTTCGCCGACCTCCCACCTCACCATCGCCTAACCTCCCCATCCGCCAGATACCATGAGATAAAGCTTCGAGAGCAACATTTTGGAGCTCACGAGAGTCTCACTCGCCCCGGAGTGCTCCGGCACAACCTGCACGATGAGCTCGGCTACGACGCCTCGTATCCGTCGCACGGCCCAGAACTGGCAATTCACGTGGGTCAAGACATCTGAATTCAGATAAACAAGTGCACGGGAGAACTAATTTTTGTGTCAAAGCTACAACCTGTCGCGTCGCATCAATGACGTCCAGACATATCCCGTCCAGTCTCCCCAAGGCGCTACCATCTTGATATTCGCCCACGAGAATGGCGTCACGCTCGTGTGGCGAGGCGGTCGACGACTCAAACCGGCAGAAAAACAAGCGCCCAAGGAGAAGCGAAACGGGGCTTCTGAAGATGTCATCATGATAATCGATTCCGACGACGACGACCAGCCGCCTGCCAAGGCGCAGGCGACGCCAACTTTCGAGGACAAGCCGCGTTTCGAGGACGTCGCAGAGCGCACCCCGTATCCCCAAATTATCCAGACGCTTGACCTGGCCCTGGGTACGAGCGTGTTGAATGTGGCAGTGATACCCATGGCCCCGTGTGCTGCTCAAGACGTCTCCGCGGCTGGAGATGCCCCTCTTTTGGCGGAGAAGATGGTCTTCGCCGTGTCTTGTGTCACCAACGACGTCTACCTCATCACCCTGCCACTGACGCCCCCGTCGCCGGAGAGCAAGGCGAGGGCGGAGCTGAGGACCGACCTTCTGGCCGGAACAGCCGGTTCTGGGGCTTGGGGCGAGTCGTTGGTTCTCCTCGGTGGACAGACGAGGCATAGCGACGGACTCGCCATGAATCTGATCAAGTCCAAGCACTCACCAGAGTCACAGGTCAAGCAGGGTAGAGTTGTGGTAGCGGCGCACTCCATGCAAGCTTCCGGCACACTGCTGCTGTGGGATGTTCCGCTGGGCTGGAGATCCAAGCCACAGCGGCCGCTGGAGCCGTTCCAGACCGAGTTCTTGCCGCATCCCCTCACCAGCATCTCGTTCAACCCGACGCACACCACGCAGCTTCTCACCGTTTCCTCGCGTCAGGCAGTCCGAATCTATGATCTCGCTGCCTCGTCCTTGCCGCCCGAACCCGAAGCAGTCGGCCCCTTTCCGCCACAAGGGTCCTGGCTATTGTCCCTGTACCAGCCGTTTGCCAGACCTTCGGCGTCTAGGAAGCCCATCTTGGATGCTGTGTGGATATCGCATGGGCGTGCAGTTTTCGCCCTCCTGGCCGACGGCATGTGGGGGATCTGGGATGTCGACGGCGTCAGCCCCTCTCCGCCCAGCGCTGCCATTTCCAACAAACTCAAGCCTGGCGTTCAAGGCGCGGCGTTGACGGTCTTTAGCGTATCTGGACATGTCGAAGGGACTGGCTCGCTGCGTAGCATCGCCACACAACCAAAAGAGAACTCGTTGGGAGAGTTCGCACCGATGACCCCTCACACACGACGCCAGGCCACTGCATCCCTGAGCACGGCGGCAACGCTTGACCGCCTCTCCAGCGTCCGGGGCGGCATCAGGACAGTTGCGCTGCCCTCGGCGGGTCGGGTTCTCCAGGACGAGAGCCTGGTCCTCTGGATCGGTGGCCAGGAGCATGTCTGCGTCATCCCGGCGATTTCCAAGTTCTGGGACTCGCAGCTGCGGAGAGGGCACGGTGGCGGTGTCAACCTGTTCAGCGGAGCGCAGCCAACGAGAATGGTCAAGCTCCTTGACTTATCCACGGGCCTTCTCGGCGAACGCTGCTGTGGCGCCAGCCTCGTGGCAGACCCCACCAGCAGCAGTGGGCAGATTGACCCGGACGGCGGTCTCCCCGTCGACGTCCTGATCCAAGGCGAGTCGCGGATTGTTGTTGTGCGACAGGGAGAGGATGGCCCTGGGACGAAGATTGGCGGTGTGGTGGACAGGCGAAGGAGACGGCCGTTTTCAAAGGGCGAACGATCGGACGCAATCATTGTGCGCGGACAGAATGACAGGATTGCCAGCATGTCGTACAATCTCGGCACGTCCAAATCTGGAGTTTTGAGGCGGCGGTCTATCTCGAAGAATCAAGACGACACGCCTGATGGCAAGGATCCCTTGGCACAATTACCATCTCGCCCGCGCGTTGGATTCGACTTTATGAACACGCTGAATGCGGCAGCCGATGTCAGCGCCGACCTGACGCGTGACGTCGAGGCCGAAATGCTGGACATCATGGAAATCGACCAGGCGCTGGACAGCATGGAAGACAGCCGGGGCAGCGGGAGGAAGAAGGTATTTTTCGAGGACGGGTGAGAAGCTTGCTGATGCCACCCTCCAGAGCCGACACTGAGACTATCTGCAGCCACTTTGGGGACCATCTCGGAGAGAGACGAATGTACGATACCCAGACATAGTGGATATAGACCAGGCAGTGCTGGGCATTCTCCATGATCCCCCAGCAGACCCAGTGGCTCTGCACGACGACGACGCCTTTGCCAAGGCAAGGCCCGAGGGGCACTTGACAATTCCGCACGGCAAGGTGGAGCGCAAGGCTAGATTCCTCCTTGACTGCTCTGTATTCCGAGCGGTAGATTAAACAGAACCCGATGGCATCTGCAAAGGAGGGCAGAGGAGGAGCAACTCGTCTCACTGAACTACTGCTCTCCCTGCGCGAGCAGCGACCTGCCATCTTCCACCCCGGCCTGGCCAGCACGATGCGGCGCCGTGCCTCAGAGGACTGCTGGCGGTCGTCGGATGGAGGGGGAGGTGGTGACCTCGGGACATGACTTTGGCGTGAATGATGATGGATGATTTGCCTGTTGGAAAGATGGAATGGGAGAGTATCGCATGTCGAATCATGGGCTCTGGATCTGGATACTCCGCAGAGGCTGGTCATCTTCTTGTCGTGCCTATTCGGGCTTCCGGCTGTGCGGTAATAAAAGTGGGACCACTTAAAGTCCTGTTCGCGTCACGACCCTCTTTTTTTGGCGCGTCTCTTGTTCATAGCATTCACCCAATACATTTCGGCCTTCGCATCGCAACAGACGGCATCGTCAAACCCGCCAGCCTTTGTATTGTCAGATAGCTTGCGAGGAGCACGAAGTCCTGCCGCGGAGCAGGCATACAGCAACCATGGGCATCAAGCAGCTGTTCCAGATCATCAAGGAGGAGGCGCCCGACTCGATCAAGGAGGGCGAGATCAAGAACCACTTTGGTCGCAAAGTTGCCATTGTGCGTTGAATCACCGGTAATGCCGATTTAGTCGAGGCGCTGACCAGGCTGGCGACCAGGACGCGTCCATGAGCATCTACAGTTTCCTGATTGCCGTGCGGTCCGACGGGCAGCAGCTCATGAACGAGAGCGGCGAGACGACGTCGCATCTCATGGGCATGTTCTACCGCACCCTGCGCATGGTGGACAACGGCATCAAACCCCTCTACGTGTTTGACGGCGCGCCGCCCAAGCTCAAGTCGGGCGAGCTGGCGAAGCGGTTCCAGCGCAAGCAAGAGGCGACCGAGGGCCTCGAGGAGGCCAAGGAGACGGGCACGGCCGAGGACGTGGAAAAGTTTTCGAGGCGGACGGTGCGCGTGACGCGAGAACACAACGAGGAGTGCCGGCGCCTGCTGAAGCTCATGGGCATCCCCTACATTGTGGCGCCGACAGAGGCCGAGGCGCAGTGCGCGGTGCTGGCGCAGGCCGGCAAGGTGTACGCGGCGGCGAGCGAGGACATGGACACGCTGTGCTTCAACACGCCCATTCTGCTACGCCATCTCACCTTTAGTGAGCAGCGCAAGGAGCCGATCCAGGAGATCCGGCTCGACAAGGTCCTCGAGGGCCTCAACATGGAGCGGAAGCAGGTGGGTTGCCTTGGCGTGGCCGCCAATGATTCAAAACCAACTGACCGTTGCAGTTTGTCGATCTCTGCATCCTCCTCGGCTGCGACTACCTCGACCCGATTCCCAAGATTGGGCCGACGACGGCGCTCAAGCTGATCCGCGAGCACGGGTCGCTGGAAAAGGTGGTCGAGGCCATCGAAAAGGACTCGAAGAAAAAGTACACGCTGCCCGAGGACTGGCCGTTCAAGGACGCGCGGGATCTCTTCTTTGAGCCCGACGTGCGCAAGGCCGACGACGCGCTGTGCGACTTCAAGTGGGAGAAGCCCGACATTGAGGGGCTGGTGACGTTTCTGGTGACGGAAAAGGGCTTCTCGGAGGACCGGGTGCGCAGCGGCGGGGCGCGGCTGGAGAAGAACCTCAAGTCGTCGCAGCAGGCGCGGCTCGAGGGCTTCTTCAAGCCGGTGGCCAAGACGGAGGAGGAGAGGGCGGCGCACAAGCGCAAGCTGGAGGAGAAGAATGAGGAGAAGAAGAAGAAGCTGAGGCAGGACAAGAAGGAGAAGGCGGCTGCAAAGGCCAAGCCGCGCGCAGGAGGTGCTTAGCGCTTAGCCGTGGCACCTCGGCGTCTGAGGAGGGCTTTGGGATAGGGGTGAGGCTCTGGCGTTTGGAGAAAGGGGCTTGGACCAAGCATATCACGGGATGTGAAGACGACACTACTTTTCGTCTTTTTCTACAGGTGCATACATGATCGTGGGAGGGCGCAGTGACACGGACAGACCGTCTAGTCGTCTACCTACTTTTCCGTCTTTTCGTCGCGTCTCTTGTCTCAATGGAAACCGGTAGTCCGGAGAGTGGGTTCAAGCCTGGGGCCGGCCGGATATTGGCAACGCTGACGCTCTGACTGGTGGCCGTCCCGGTACGGATCTAGTTACCTCGGCTGTCCTCTGGCGCCCCCCCACATGGGCTCGCCCCCACCAGCGAGGCTCCGGGGCTCGACGAGGGCGGTGACATCAGCACCAGCGCATTCACATGCTTGACAGGTACCGAGAGGCAAGCGTCGCGTGACGGATCAAACGGTGGACATGCGTGTGTATGCCTAGGCAAGGCACCAAGGAGGAGGGTAGAAGGCTGAGGCAGGTCATGTGCTGCATGATAATAAGGTGCATTTGCAGGGCCGGTGCCGCATCTTGTGGGGGAGAAAGAATCTGGGGACACTTTGGGGCTGCACCGGGTCTATATTCGCTTAATGGCAACAAGGTAATCAAGCATGTATCCGTAGGTAATTAAGTAGGCATGTGATAGTCTCCATTGCCGATTGGCTTCAAGCTAAGCTTTCCATCGAGCAACGGCCCAAGCCCATCTCTTCCCTCCGTCCCCCCCTTCTCCTCCCTTCTTCTCTTCCCTTGCCCAAAACCCCCAACCCTCTCTCTCTCTCCGTTCGCTTCCACACCCACCACCCATCTGACCTCTTCACAACCTACCCAACCCACCCAGCCACCATGTCCAAGGTCTTTGCGACCAGCGACGTTGCGTCGCACAACAAGCCCGACGACCTGTACATTATTGTCGATGGCGACGTCTACGACCTGACCAAGTTCCAGGACGACCATCCCGGTACCAACCTTCCCCTGGAGTCTCCCGGCCTTGACGCAAGTGACTGACGGCGCAACCATGCAGGCGGCAAAAAGATCCTCCAGCGCGTGGCCGGCAAGGACGCGTCCAAGCAGTTTTGGAAATACCACAACGAGGGCATCCTCAAAAAGTACCAGGCCAAGCTCCAGGTCGGCTCGCTCGACTCCAAGCCCAAGCCCAAGCCCAAGGCCGAGCACAGCCCCGCGCCCGCCAAGGCTCCCGCCGCCCCCAAGAAGCAGGCGACGTCGAGCCACGACGACGACTCGGAGCCCCTCGAGCCCTTTGGCCACCAGATTCCCTTTGCCGACCCTGCCTGGTACCAGAGCGTAAGTGGCCTCTCTTCTCTCGTTGCGCCGTGGCTGAACCCCCGACCAGTACCACTCTCCCTACTTTGATGAGACGCACGCTGCCCTGCGCGCCGAGGTGCGCGAGTGGGTGGAAACCGAAATCGAGCCCAATGTGACCGAGTGGGACGAGGCCAAGCGCGTGCCCGAGGAAATCTACAAGGAAATGGGCCGCCGCGGATACCTGGCCGGCCTGCTGGGCATCAAGTTCCCGACCCAGTACGCGGCCGCCGTCAAGTCGGTGCCGCCCGAGAAGTGGGATCTGTTCCACGAGATGCTGCTGACGGACGAGCTGTCGCGCACCGGCTCGGGCGGCTTCGTCTGGAACATCATTGGCGGCTTCGGCATCGGCTGCCCGCCCGTCATGAAGTTTGGCAGCCAGGCCCTCAAGGACCGCATCATGCCGGGCATCCTCAGCGGCGACAAGCGCATCTGCCTGGCCATTACCGAGCCCGACGCCGGCAGCGACGTGGCCAACCTGACGTGCGAGGCGCGCCTGAGCGACGACGGCAAGCACTTCATCGTCAACGGCGAGAAGAAGTGGATCACAAACGGCATCTGGTGCGACTACTTCACCACGGCCGTGCGCACCGGCGGGCCCGGCATGAACGGCGTCAGCCTGCTCCTCATTGAGCGCGGCGAGGGCGTCAGCACCCGTCGCATGGACTGCCAGGGCGTGTGGTCGTCGGGCACCACGTACATTACCTTTGAGGATGTCAAGGTGCCCGTGGATAATCTGCTGGGCAAGAAGAACCAGGGCTTCCGAGGTACGGCTCTCCCGGGGACGTGGGGCATATCGTGGGCTGACATTCTTTTCCCAGTCATCATGACAAACTTCAACCACGAGCGCATGGGCATCATCATCCAGTCGCTCCGCTTCTCGCGCGTCTGCTACGAAGAGTCGGTCAAGTACGCCAACAAGCGGCGCACCTTTGACAAGAAGCTCATCGAGCACCCCGTTATCCGCATGAAGCTGGCGCACATGGCGCGGCAGATTGAGGCGTCGTACAACTGGCTCGAGAACCTGGTGTACCAGTGCAAGAAGATGGGCGAGACCGAGGCCATGCTGCGACTGGGCGGACCCATTGCCAGCCTCAAGGCGCAGTCGACGTTGACGTTTGAGTTCTGCGCGCGCGAGGCCAGCCAGATCTTTGGCGGGCTGAGCTACTCGCGCGGCGGCCAGGGCGGCAAGGTGGAGAGGCTGTACCGCGACGTCAGGGCGTACGCCATCCCCGGCGGCAGCGAGGAGATTATGCTGGACCTGAGCATGAGGCAGAGCCTGAGGGTGGCCAAGGCCATGGGCATGAAGCTATAGGCCGCAAGTTGGAGTGGCGTGTGCCGTCTTTGGATAAACATGAAGATGGGTCTTGTATTTTGTCTTGTTTTCCTTTTGGGAGACTCTCTGGTAGACGGTTCCGCGGCAATAGAGGCCGAGGCAGACTCTCGACTCTCGAGGAGAGATGTAAGAATGGGACTCGATCGTTGGCTTTGGCACCCGGTTGAAGCATGTTGATTATGGCCTGCACACTGCTTGGGCTCCAAAGTCGACAATGGTGAGAAGAGGCAAGCAGCCATGGCAGCCATGATGCTGCAATGCAACGCAGTGGACGGTACCTGAACAGCGGCAGGAGGAGGAGGAGCCCCCTTGGGTCACGTGCCCTGGCCAAGAGCAAGCACACATCGCGTTGCTCGGCCCGCCTTGAACTGGAACTTCGCCCAATTCATCCATCAAATCCCTTCCCCTCCGGCGCAGAAAAACCACCACGATCCAAACAAACCTCCTCTCCCGCGAACCCTCGAGGCCTTTTGTGCCACGCCCAGCAGTTACGTCCCCTCGAAGCTCCCCAACGGCGGGCCACTACCTCGCCGATTAGCTCCGCCGCCTCCGCCCAGTAAAAAACCAAAAGCAGCGGCTCCTTGGACCCGTCGTTTGACCGGTCGAGGACAGGCAAAGCGAATAGCCTCGTGGCTCTCACTGTCTGCGCACGGGCAGACGAGGCACAAACAATGTCGGAACAGCTGGCAGATCAGCTGAGAAGCACGCAGCTCAGGTCCGTGGCAGCCGTGTCGGCTCCCCGTAGCTCTCTGCTTGCTGACGCACGTCGTAGCGAAGGAGCTCAGAACGACGACTGGAAGCGGAGCCTCAAACTTCCCGCAAAGGACAACCGGCATCAAACAGAAGTACGTGCTCTCCGGTTGTTCCTTTCGCTGCTTCATCCCCACTATCTGATCTGCACCAGCGACTGACGCAAACCACCTGCAGGATGTTACCAAAACAAAAGGCCTCGAGTTCGAAAACTTTGCGCTCAAGCGAGACTTGCTCATGGGCATCTTCGAAGCCGGTTTCGAGAAGCCATCGCCCATCCAAGAAGAGGCCATCCCCGTCGCCTTGACTGGCCGCGACATCCTGGCAAGAGCAAAGAACGGCACCGGCAAGACTGCCGCCTTCGTCATCCCCATCCTCGAGCGCATTAACCCCAAGGTTTCCAAGATTCAATGCCTCATCCTCGTCCCCACGCGCGAGCTCGCCATGCAGACGTCACAAGTCTGCAAGACTCTGGGCAAGCACCTCGGCGTCAACATCATGGTCACCACAGGCGGCACTGGCCTGCGCGACGACATCATGCGGCTCCAGGAGCCCGTCCACATTGTCGTCGGAACCCCCGGCAGAATCCTCGACCTGGCAGGCAAGAACGTCGCCGACCTGAGCGAGTGCCCCATGTTTATCATGGACGAAGCTGACAAGCTTCTGTCCGTCGAATTCACCCCCGTCATCGAGCAGCTGCTGCAGTTCCATCCCAAGGACCGCCAGGTGATGCTCTTCTCCGCCACCTTCCCCGTCTCCGTAAAAGACTTCTCCGACCGCAACATGACAAGCCCCTACGAAATCAACCTCATGGATGAGCTCACCCTGCGGGGCATCACGCAATACTACGCCTTTGTCGAGGAAAAGCAAAAGGTCCACTGCCTCAACACCCTCTTCTCCAAGCTCCAGATCAACCAATCCATCATCTTCTGCAACTCGACCAACCGCGTCGAGCTGCTCGCCAAGAAAATCACCGAGCTGGGCTACTCGTGCTTCTACAGCCACGCCCGCATGGCCCAGCAGGCCCGCAACCGCGTCTTCCACGACTTCCGCAACGGTGTGTGCCGAAACCTCGTCTGCTCTGATCTCCTTACCCGCGGCATTGACATCCAGGCCGTCAATGTCGTCATCAACTTTGACTTTCCCAAGAACGCCGAAACCTACCTCCACCGAATTGGCCGGTCCGGACGCTACGGCCACCTTGGTCTCGCCATCAACCTCATCAACTGGGACGACCGCTTCAATCTCTACAACATTGAGCGGGATCTCGGAACCGAAATCCAGCCCATCCCCCCAAGCATCGACAAGAGCCTCTATGTCTATGAAAATCCCGACTCCATCCCCCGCCCCATCTCCAGTCTCCCCAAGAATGCGCAGCCGGGCACCCAAGCCATGCCTCAACAGGCCCTCCACCAAGGCCAGCCTCAGAGCAACTGGCAAAGCCAGAACGGCCAGCATAACGGCTACCCCAGCGGACGTGGACGGGGCCGAGGCCGCGGCGGCTTCCGCGGTCGTGGCGGCGGCGGTCGTGGCCGAGGCCCGCCCCGCGATCCGCAGTCCTAACCTTGTCGTCTCGCTCGAGACCTCGGGTAAGCGGCGGTGCAGGTGAGGACGGACGGCGTTTTGGAGCTCAACATGGATTATTTTTATCGCCAGCACAGGGACTGATGTTGATTTTAATGTTGGATGTACATTATTCGCCCATTTTGGCGAATCGGCGGGGCGGCGAATCGGACTCGAATACTCACGGACGATGACCACACGCCGCCCCTCGCTCCCTCCTGGTCCCGGAAGCGGACCATTTCCCTCGGGTCCCAGGATGGGATCATTCACTCATCGACAGGCGAGAGGACACGACAGGACTCTGTCTTGGAGGACAGTCTCGCCTACCTTTTTTCTTCCTACTTCTATCTTACCCCGAGTTGCATTGGCGCAGAAGGCTGTCACTTGTAACATACCCTCGTTGGCGCTGGATCGGCGTCCGAGCCCGCTCTAAGCAAAATCCTAATGCGATGAAAGGATAGAGAGGGAGTCGAGAGGATGCGCAGACTCCGAGCGGGAGGAAGCGGATGGGGAACGGCTACTCGTTATGACAGCGGCGGTTGCACTACAAGGAGGGGCGTTGGCGTGGCTTTTGCATGGAGTGATCTACGGGACGAGGTGCGGCGCAAAAGGCTCGACCAGGCTCGTTTTTCTGCATGCTCCTCGCCCGCAAGGGGGGCCTTGGCAAAGGGTGTTGGGAACAGACCAGACGATTGCCTTGCAATGGGCGGGTTCGACGATACCACTCACGATACGACTACGTTGGACGAATGGGCCAGTGGGGCCGAAGTGTTGCGGAGGATGCCTCTTGCACCCATCGAAGATGCTTGGGAGTCGACTTTTGCTCCCTAGCCGCGGCTGGCCGGACTCGCCAGGGCCCTGCCAAGAAGCGTCGACGTTTGGGCACCTCGCGTGCTTTCCTATGAAACATTACCCATTTCTTGGGCGAGTAACACGTCGACGTCAAACTTTTGGTGTTTGCGGCTGGCAGGTTTGAAAGGGCAGAGAGGCATCGCTATGAAGAAGAAAAAACCGAAAAAAAACTTTTGAGACGGACGCTGGACGGGGTCGGATAACTTTCGGACTGGCTGGGGACTCTGGCTCTGGGCTGGGGCATGGGGGCATATCTCCCGTGTTTTTGTCGGGCTTTGAGCATCTAGAGCTAGTGAGGTAGACGGCCTTGTCTGAGCAATCAATTCTGTCTCATCTTGATGTGTCCACTTGCGTGCTTGATGCTGTGGGTTGCGGAGCGCTGGAAACACGTCGAGTAATATCCAGAGAGAAGCTGACGAGCGAAGCCGAGATGGTCAGCAAGGAGAAGTAGAAGAGCTATCACCGATGTCGGTACGAGAATGCAGGCCATGCTACTGTATCCGTGGCATCAAGAGCGGGGGCTCCCGACTGGTCAGGGTGGGAAGAGTCGGCGACGTGAGAAGGGCGAGGTTGGATACAAACCAGGTACCAAGCCCAGAAAGATTCTTTCGGGCGGTGCGTGGTTGGGAGACTGGCGCGGCCGCCGTCGACTCGAGGACCAGGGCTTCTACGACCAGACACAGTTTACGGGATGATTTTATCGGGATCTGGCACAAAGAGCGGTGGAGGGGTTGAAGAGATGGGTATCCTTTGTTTCGAGAAATCTAGAATGCTATGCAACGGCAATGGCGAAAAGGTGGGCGCTGTGGCCAGAAGCGGCGCCAACCAGCCAAACGTATAATACAATGCCACGAAGCAAGACAGACCTCCCATGGCAGAGCGCAAAAGGGGCGTGCGAGAAATGGGCCGCCGAGGCACTCACTGCGGCGGGCGGAGCTGCTCGACTACTACAGCCTTTGCAGTGGTCTTTTCCTGGCCCCACTCGAGGACGATGCGGCGCAGCTCAAAGACGACCTCGACGGCGATGAGGAGGATGATGATGAGCTCGAGGCGGGTGCCGTGCTGCTCGCTCGACATTTCGCGCAGGACCGTGGCAATCTCCTGGGCGTAGTCCATCTTCTGGTTGAGGGTGCGGATGCGGACGTTGACGTCGAGGGCGCGGCCGACCTGGTCGTAGTAGCCCTCGAGGCCGAGCTCGGCGCGGCTGTCCCAGAAGATGTCGGGCAGGGAGTCGGTGAGCTCCGAGTAGTGGTTGAGGCGGGCGCGGAGGCTGAGCAGCTCGCCCGTCTTCTGCAGGATGAAGCGGCGGCCGAGGGGCACGCCGGCGCCGCGGGAGAGGAGGTCGGGGATGTTCCTGGTGCTTTCAAAGTACGACGTCAGCGCACTCTCGAGCACGGCCAGCTTTGTGCTGCGCGCCAGGCCCGAGGAAAAGGCAATCTTTGCGAGCGTCGTGTCGAGCGTGTCGCCCTCCTTGTGCTCCCTGCGCGTGCCGAGTACGACGAGGTCGCCCTTCATGGTGCTCTCAGCCTTGTTGGTATCGACGACGAAGTCGAGGTCCTCGACCTCTCGCAGCTGCGGCGGGTGGGCGTCCTCGGCGGCGCGCAGCAGCTGCTTGGTGACCACGTCCGGCGGCAGCGACCAGGTGACGATGGTGCCCGAGGGGAAGACGAAGATGTCGCCGCCGTTGACACCCTTTGCGTGCACCACCTCGCCGGCGTCGAAGCCGGTACGGTCGGGGTCGATGGCGAAGCCGTGCGACGCCAGGATCTCGAGCACCATGGGCATGTTGAACGACTCGGCCACGCAGGCGGCGCTCATGGTGGTCGAGGGGTCCAGCTCCGAGCCCTCGGGCGACGGGGGCTGGGGCTTGTGGGCAGCGGCGGCGGCGGCGTCGCGCTTGGGCTGCTGGGCGATGATGGCGACGCGGCGCAACGAGTTCTTGGCCGTCGTGGCGCGCGGGGGCTTCCTCTTTGCGGGGGCGGGGGCGGCGGCCGTTGACGTGGACGCATGCTCGGCGGCGAGGGCGGATTCAGACGGGGGCGGCGAGAGCGGCGGTTTGGACTCGTCAGCCGGGTTTCTGGAGAGAAAGGGGTTCGAGGTGAAGAAGTAGCGCTTCCGCGGCAGGCCGGCGGGCGCGGTGAGGTGGAGGCATCGCCGCGGCCGGGGGCTGGTGACGACTTGTCGCGAGACGTTGACGAGGCCGATCCTCTGCGGGACAGCCCTCATGACGAGCCGTCGGTCTCGGCCACCATGTGCATGTGTCGGAAGCTGTGGATTCGTCGTCTGTCGATTGGAGGTCGGTCGACATTGCACTTGAAATCCGGTGCAGAAAAAAAGGTGTGGCGCACGTTGAGCAACGCAAGGGCCTCTTACCCGTTATCTAATCGGCATGTGATGCTGCACGTGAGTGCCCCGCAGCGGGATGCCCCGGCCGAATGGAGAACGGCAGGCGGTACGGAGGAGGCGTGAAAATTACATGCACGTTTTCCGTATATAATACTTGCCTTGCGCAGCTTCAAGGCACTGGACAGGGAGTACCAGTACTTCGATCCCCACTGAAAGCGCCCAGAAAGAAAGACCACCGTTGATACCGTCACTGGCTCCGCCTCGATCTGGTTTGCCCACCATCCAGGCTCTATCGTCTGCCACCTCCTATTTATATAGCGGGGACTCTTGCCTCTGCCGATCTCGCTTCTTCATCTCTTGCTCTCTCTCCTCCTGACCCCCCCCCACCCCTTCTGACTTCGGCTTCCCTCCTCACCAGCCCAGCTACTCGCTCACCATGGATCTCAACTCCAAGTACGACGACTACGACTTCCCGCACACGGCGGCCGAGGCCCAGGATGGCCACGCCGGCCACCTCAAGGAGCAGCAGATTGCTCAGGTCCACCAGCTCAGGATGATGCTCGAGGCCGAGGGGTACACGGATCGCCTGGACACGCTGACCATGGTACCTCCGCCCCTCCAACTCAATGGAGAGGATTCTCCGGAGGACCGACTAACTCTGCATCTCACAGCTGCGGTTCCTGCGAGCGCGCAAGTTTGACGTTTCCCTGGCCAAGCAAATGTGAGCAGACAGACGTGGAATCCCCCGGCGCGAGGTTCCGGACGTTGACAGGCCCGCCTCCCAGGTTCGTCGACTGCGAGAAGTGGCGAAAGGACACCAAGCTTGACGAGACGGTGCCCATCTGGGACTACCCCGAGAAGACCGAGGTGGCCAAGTACTACAAGCAGTTCTACCACAAGACGGACAAGGTGAGAAATGGTTGTGGCCCCAGAGACAGCCATGCTCTCTGCTGACACTTGTCCTTTCCGCTCAGGATGGACGCCCCATCTACATCGAGACGCTCGGCGGTATCGACCTGAACGCCATGTACAAGATCACTACGGCCGAGCGCATGCTCACCAACCTCGCCGTCGAGTATGAGCGCCTCGCTGACCCGCGTCTCCCCGCCTGCTCGCGCAAGGCCGGCAAGCTCCTCGAGACGTGCTGCACCGTCATGGACCTCAAGGGCGTGACCCTTACCAAGGTGCCCCAGGTCTACTCATATGTCCGCCAGGCATCGGTCATCTCCCAGAACTACTACCCCGAGCGCCTGGGCAAGCTGTACATGATCAACGCCCCGTGGGGCTTCTCCACCGTCTGGAGCGTCGTCAAGGGCTGGCTCGACCCCGTCACCGTCGCCAAGATCAACATCCTCGGCTCCGGCTACCAGAGCGAGCTCCTGAAACAGGTCCCCGCCGAGAGCCTGCCCAAGGCGTTTGGCGGTACCTGCGAGTGCCCCGGGGGCTGCGAGAACAGCGACGCCGGCCCGTGGCACGAGGCCGAGTGGGCCAAGCCCGCCAAGTGGGAGAAGAAGAAGGGAGAGGCGGACGGCAGGACCATTGAGAACAAGGGCTCTGAGATTGAGACCCCTGTGGTGACCACTGGTGTTGCATCGGCCCCTGTGCCGGAGAAGGACGTCGCCAAGGAGACTGCCGCGGCATAGAAGCTGGTATTACAGCCACAACAAGACGTCGGGCGTGAATGGCTTTCACGCGGAGTTGGGAGAGAGAAGCAAAGGGTTTGAGACAATTGGGACAAAAAATAAAAAGCCGACGTGAAAAGAAGGGGAAAGCTCGGCAACAATGGCATTAGAGGGTGGCGCGTACGAAGTAGAGTAGTATGGGAGATTGTATCGAGAGTGAGCGGTATTTCCCCGCCGGCAGACGTACGAAGGTTCCCATGGATGGTTCTCGCCGGCCGTGTTATCAAGACGTGTGCATTCGAGAGTGACGAAGAACATGGTCGCCTAGGCCAACAAAGTATGATGAATCAAGTGCCACGCCCGCCGTGATGGAGCAGCTTGGGCGTGGCTTCAACCAAGCGGATATCATGGAGTTATTTAACCCTGCCTCCCCATTTCCAGACGCCTCAACTCCTTCCTTTGTCCTTACGGGCATCGGAGCGCTTCCCCCGTGAATGTTCCTACAAACGGCGCCTGTCACCTACCTCCCCTCGGTAATGACATATTCCCCCGCGACCCGGGCCCTCTCCATCTTGGCGACAACGGCGGGCATGTCCCTCTTCAACCTCCCGAGGACATCGACGGCGCCGCGAAAGCCGGCCTCGACAGCATGCTGCCTCTCGAGGTCCGGCACGGACAGGGCGGCGGCGGCGGCGGCGGCATCGGCAGCCTCGCGGGCGAGGCGCTGGTCGACGAGGGCGTCGTCGCGGGCGGTGGCGTCGCGGACGCGGGCGGCGTGGTCGGCGGCGGCGGCGGCGGGGACGGCGCGCTTCAGGGCGGCCACCTCCTCGAGCAGCTTCTCCTCGGCGGCGATGAGGTCTGCGACGCGGTGGCGCTTGCGCGCGTCAAAGGGCTCGTAGACGGCTGAGGGGGGTGAGGGGCCGGATGAGGAGGTGGTGGTGCGGAGCTGGTGGTCGGGCACGGCGAGGCCGTTTATGGAGAGGTTTGGGGCGGCGAGGGTGAAGGTCTTGTCAATGTACTGCGAGTGCGCAAGGAAGCAACGTCAGCGACAGGAATCGTCTCCCTCTCTCTCTCTCTTCTTCTCGTCAGGCAGGGGGGTTCCAATGCGATCCCACCTCGTCGACCAGGGCGGCGATTTGGTTGCGCAGCCCATCGTCGTCGTCGCCGTCGCCGCCGTCGACGTGGGGGAAGGCCTCGTCGAGGCGCGCGGCGGCGGCGCGGCGCACGTTGGCGAGCAGGTAGGCCAGGTCGTCGGGGGACTGGAGCTCGATCCTGCGCTGGACCTGCGAGACGATGGACTCGGCGTCCATGGCCGGCGGCGGCGCGTGTGGGACGGCGGTGCTGATCCGCGTGTGTGCGCGCGCGCGCGCGATGGGGCTGTAGTTGCTGTTGTTCGGACAGGCGCGTGTGCCTTTCTGGGGCTTTGGGTGCCCACGGCCCCGGGTCGCCCTGTGCAAGGGGAGTGAGTGAGTGCGCGTTGCGTGGCGGGTGTTGGACGATGGCCGGCTTTGTTGGGTCGGTTGGTTGGTTGGTGGTCCCCCGCGCTGGCACTTGCTGCTTGTTTACTTGGACGGGTTTAGGGTTGCGCGGCAGATGCGGTGGAAGGCGTGCATGGGCTTTCTGCTCGGCAAGCTGTCAACTTGGACAAATGATGCCACCGTCATCGTTCGAACCCTTTGCGTCTCTGGATTTTCGTAAACGAAACGCTGGCTATTCGGTACCCGTAGCTTGGTGGCGAGCAAACCGTCTGATGCTTGATGACGGCCCGCCCTCGTTGACGCTACATATGTACAGTGTCCCAAAGGGAGAAAACACGGTAACTTACCACGCAGGCCAGCTCACCCCATCGCCCAGCCGCCAGCCAGCCCGCAAGCCCGGGCGGCGAGTATCCGCACTGTGGACAAAGCACCTTGACGCCGGCTTCTCGGTCGGGGGGGCCACGGAGTACCGGGACGAGGTACCGCCGGCTCTCGCTCTCTGCACCGCGCGCGCCGCCCGGTGGTGCAGAGTAGGCAGGTACGTACCCGGCATCTCGACGACATTGGCCATTGTTGCCCGGCCTTGCGCGACAATCCTCCTCCAACGCCGTCAGACAGCGCACGCGCGCCTCCCCAAGCTAGGCTGCATGTGCATGTCTTACCCGGCCGTGGGCCAACGTTGCCGGCGACCTAACACATCCATGGAATTATGTTGTACCAGTACGAATAGGGAACCTGAGAAATAATGGCTGATAAAGAAGCCTGTCGGACCGGGTGAAAGTCAGCTTACCTAAGGTTTCTACCAGGTCTACCAACGTGCCCCGTGCCTTGTGCAGAGTCACGTGCCCTGCAGACATGAACAGACCCCAAGATTTCCCTTGCGCATGTGGGGAATCGTCAATCCATAAGCGTCCTGTAGCGCCCACAACCGAAGCGGGGACTGGTCCAGCATGTACCGGTACCACGCCCCAGCTGCTCTCACGGCAGCTCCATGCACTTGAGGTACCTCCCCGGCTGCACTAGCCAACAAGCAGGCTGACACTCGACTCTTGGGCTCGTGAAGGCGTCATGTCATGCAATCTTCAAGGCGCCCTCGCTACCCCTGTTTGTCTCGTCAACGTCATTGGATTATCCTACTTTTCACCTCTCTTCTGCAACGAGTGGCATTCAGGACATCTGATCGTCTCCCTTCACTCTGCTACCGCGTCCGAACCCTACAGATACACGTCTTCAACAAGTCGGCATGGCCATGCTTCAAGTCCATCCTCAGGCAGTCGCATTCTAAAATCAGCGCCAGGCAAGAGAGAAAAAGACCGGGGGAATACGAGACTCCTCGCCCTCAACCGCCGCTTCCAGCCATACAACATGTCATAATCCTACTAACCACCGTATCGTGCGCCTTGCCAACAAAGGCGGCCCAAACCGAGCCTCCTCCAACCCAAGCAGTCCCGTATTAGCCATGTGCAGGCCACTTCTGTGCCGCCGCAACAGTCTTGAGCTTCCGTGCCAAAACTCCCGCCCGTATCAAAAGAAAAAACACCCCTTCGAGTCCAAATTGCCATGACATGTGGAGAGGAGACAACAAAGACAGCCCTGAGCGCCGAGCTTTTCGTGAGAACAACGAGTCTAACTTGCGACTCCGGTTCTTGGGGAACCAAGCCGTCCCCCAACCGCCGGATCGACGGGCTCGGCTATTGCGGCAGCAGGTCCCTCGACTCTTCGTCGCTGAGCACGATTTCGTGTACGGGTTCGCATTGGTTCTCGAGCGGTTTGTAGTCGCAGTCGACGTAGGAGGGCAGAAAGATTTCTGGGTACTCGAGTCAGAAACTAGGGGACAAAGGGCGTTCGGGTTCGCTTACCTGGGTTCCAGGCAAATCCTTGGCTGGAGGAAAGATACGAGATCTGTGGACAGGCTGGTCAGCATTTGGAGTGGACCACACGGGCAGGTTTCATACCAGGCGGGGGGGACCATCAGGGTCACCGATGTTGATGACGGTGCATTCTTGCTTGGAGATGGCGGAGCCTAGACATGTATCTGGGTCAGTTTACGCTTGGTAGGTTGCCGCTATCCCCGGCCAGCGACCATGGGCGGGAGTGGGGGAACACCAGCCACATTGGCGGTGAGGGCTTCAGGAGTATGGCGTACCAAGGAGACTCGGGCGGCGGGCGTGCAGCATCTTTGCGTTGGGTGTCGAAGAGGGCGACGAGGGCGACGACAAGCTGGAGTAGGAGCTCGCCGACGAGCTGCCCATGGCCTTTGGAGAATCGTGGTACCCTGGCCCGACTGCTGGGCGGCCGGCGGGGATGCTGATGACCGACGACATTGGTGCAGCGGGCGGAGGAAAGCGGCAAAGGGTCGGATTGCAGCTAAGAGAAGCCGATGCGTGTCGGCTGAGGCAGATGAGGAACGGACGAGATGGGCGGAAGAGAGACGACGGTGTTGATGCCTGTCAGCCGACAAGAGAGGGTGGTGACACACTCGATCCACCGAAATATCGGGGGCACGGCGGAGAGGGGCGGATGGCCGGTGCGTTGGCGAGAGAGGGGAAAAGGCGGAATCCTGGTGGTTGCGAGTGCTGGAGCGCCTTGGGTGGTGGTGGTTGGGCTGGAGAGAAGCGGCGAGGGCAGGGTGGAAAGGAGGTGAGGAGGAGAGAAATATGGAAAGGTTAGCAGCGGTTGGAGAAGTGGTGAGAGGAGAGGAGGAGGAGAGGAGACGGACGAGGTACTTGGGGCCAGGTACCCACCTTTTTGGCCATGTACAGTACATCAGGCACACACGAGGCCGGGTACCTCTGGTATTAAGGTTGCCAGACGCAGCCGGGCAGGTGCCGGAGTAAGTGGCCCGCCTTGGAACCTGTTCGGGCCTTGAGCAGGTACCGGGCCAGCAGAGAGTACAAGCCTGCCGCACTCAGGGTACCGAGAAGCCGAGTACCTCACGGACCGCCGACACACAGTATGCACGGAGCGAGTACCTGCCCATCGGGCTTTTGATGGGGCTTCATGTACTCCGTACGGAGTACAGTCAGTCGGCTTCCGGTCAACGGAGGGGGTGACGCACCCGACGATGCTCTGCTGCTGGCGGCACTGTGCGCTGCGCGTCCAAGTACTACTGGCCAGCCCGTCCTTTCTGGCAGCCTGGAAGCCGGGTTGACAGCAATGGCCGGGCAGACTTTTCGCCTTGCTCAGAATACGGGCACCGTCACCAGCTGTGGACGGGCACCTGAAGAATGTCTTGCACCTCAGAGACCCAACAGCTCAGCTGCCATCGTCAACCGTGGGCGAGGCCCCAGCAGCCGCCATGCGCTACGAGGTGGCTGCCTGCGCCGAGACGCTCGCCAGAGTCCCCGTCTGTCGTGACAACTCATATCCAGGGTCCCGTGGCCCAGTCGGAGCATCTCTCGAGCCCGCTTCTGCCTCGCATCGCAGATGGACAAGTTTTCCCCTTCCCCCTCCCCCCGACCTGCCGAGCTCGGACATGGCTGCCGCTCTCGAAACTGCATTTTTGTTTTCTTGCAGCTGTAGCCCAAGGCAGGCCCTCGTGCTGCAAGCCTCAAGCTACCAGCGCGGGCACCTGCTTCAAGTGCTACCCTTTTGATGTCTCGTCTATATCGCTTGTTGCGCCACAAAGCAGACGGAGAGGGAGGGAGACCAAGACAGTCTAGGTTACTCGGCCTCGGTCACGTGCGCATGTCTCACTCTGACTATTCTGACTAAGCGCTTCGCCGCCGGAAGCTATCAGCTACCTGACAATGGCCAACAAAGACGTCGTCGCCCTCTGTCGCCTGCTCACCAGCATCCTTCACATCACTACCACCACCATCATCACCACAGCCATCGCCGCCGCCCAATCCCGCCACCGGCTCCTCGCAGCCTACTCGTTGCGATAATCCAAGAGCCGGGCAACATCGCATCGCCCCCCGCAGTCTCTGCGCCGCCTCATCCGACACAACACCCAAACCATCAACCGTCCCGGCAAAGCGCCACAAGATGGGCGATATCGCTGTCGAGAACCCGGCTAATCACGTCCCGCCGCACAAAAAGGCCGCGCCCTCGACCATACCCACCATAGACCACTTTGAGGGCCTACCCGTCGACGGAGGGGACGACTATGCCACGCTGAAGAAGCTCCAGCGGCAGTTGGAGTATGTTGCGGCGCTATCTCCTTGCATCCGGCTCTCTACCCATGGCCAGGACTGACGGCCAGCCCAGGTATATCCAGCTGCAAGAGGAATACATCAAGGATGAGCAGAGGTACGCCCCCCCTTCAATCCTGCTCTGTGCAACGCCCTGACCACCTGCTCAGGAGCCTGAAGCGCGAGCTTGTTCGAGCCCAGGAGGAGATCAAGCGCATCCAGAGCGTGCCCCTAGTCATCGGCCAATTCATGGAAGCCATCGATCAAAAGTAAATTACACCTCATCTGTCCCTAACACCGGACTCTAACCCATCCTCCCAGCACTGGCATCGTGCAATCCAGCACCGGTTCCAACTATGTCGTCCGCATCCTGTCAACGCTCGACCGCGAGAAGCTCAAGCCCTCGTCCTCGGTCGCCCTCCACCGACACTCCAATGCCCTTGTCGACATCCTCCCCCCCGAAGCCGACTCCTCCATTGCCATGCTCGGCGCCGACGAGAAGCCCGACGTGACGTACGCCGACGTCGGTGGCCTTGACATGCAGAAGCAGGAGATTCGCGAGGCCGTCGAACTGCCCCTGACGCACTTTGACCTATACAAGCAGATTGGCATTGACCCCCCGCGCGGCGTCCTGCTCTACGGCCCCCCCGGAACGGGCAAGACGATGCTCGTAAAGGCCGTTGCAAACTCGACAACGGCCAGCTTCATCCGCGTCGTGGGCTCCGAATTTGTGCAAAAGTATCTCGGCGAGGGCCCGCGCATGGTGCGTGACGTGTTCCGCATGGCCCGCGAAAACTCCCCCGCCATCATCTTCATCGACGAGATCGACGCCATTGCCACCAAGCGCTTCGACGCGCAAACCGGCGCCGACCGCGAGGTCCAGCGCATCCTGCTCGAGCTGCTCAACCAGATGGACGGCTTCGACCAGACGTCCAACGTCAAGGTCATCATGGCCACCAACCGCGCCGACACGCTGGACCCGGCCCTGCTACGTCCGGGGCGCCTGGACCGCAAGATTGAGTTTCCCTCGCTGCGCGACCGCCGCGAGCGCCGCCTCATCTTCTCCACCATTGCCAGCAAGATGAGCCTCGCGCCCGAGGTCGACCTCGACAGCCTCATTGTCCGCAACGACCCCCTGTCGGGCGCCATCATCGCCGCCATCATGCAGGAGGCCGGCCTGCGCGCCGTCCGCAAGAACAGGTACAACATCATCCAGAGCGACCTGGAGGATGCCTACTCGAGCCAGGTCAAGGGCACCAGCGACGACAACAAGTTTGACTTTTACAAGTGAGCGCGGGCTGCAGGCAAGGGTTGGACAGGCTTGGGGCGTGCCGTCGTGCATCGAAGTTGGTGCTGGAGGGGAAGGGCAGTGCAGAGCGGAGCGGTGCGAAGCGGAGACTACGGACGTTGTCCTCGGGACGGTGGTTTTGCGCACGTCTGGCTTCGATGCTGCTGATGGACAGCTACGGGGTAATTGTTGCAGCCACACGGCCACCTTGAGCTTGGCCGCGCCCATGTGCAGAGGTGAATATACATATACATTACATTGGCAGCAGATCGCTACAACATGTCGCCCTACAAATCATGGGTAAAGAATATACTACACAAAATCTCCTCGCTTGATGCCACGAGGACATTTCCATTGCTGCCGCGGCTCATCGTGGTGTCCCTTTCCCTCCCCCGCTGTGGTAAAAGAGCCGCGCGCCCCATGCGCGCGGCAAGACAAAGACACGTCTCAGTCTAGTTAGTTATTCGATACGTAGGTAGTACAAACGGTCTTGTCCCTTGGTTGCTCGCCCAAGCGTGGCCGGCGAACCGAGCCGCACTCCTTCGCCTTGAGGTCACGCCCTTCAGGAGTCAGCGCACTGGATAATACTTTACAAACAATTCTCAGAAATGTGGTCAAACAGCAATCGCTTCAAGGACCTCAAAACAAGTCAAAGACAAAATCAAAGAGACAGAAAAATATAAGCAACATGACGAGGGCGATTAGACGTTAAGCGTAAAGCGAAAACCGAGGCCGGTGAAACGCCAGTGCTATGCTGCTGACGAAAGGTCCCAAACGCAAAACTGCACTCTGCCGGCGCAAAAGGAGGCCAGCCCCCGGATTGCACAAGCAACCTGGGGGCCTCAAAGAGGTTGAAACTCTAGGAACTCAACGCGACCCCGACCTCCAACAGAAGCCGGATGAACTTTCCGTGGAGCTCGATGAAAAAGTCGGGTTGGCCAACGAGTTCGGCGAGCCCGCGGGCCTTGAGTGACGAGGTGCCGCCTGGGCCGCCCATGCGCCTTGCGAAACCGCTTCCGCCCGTGAGAAAGCTACTCCCACAACGGTCCGCGGCCGCCGACACGTCCAAGGCAGACATTGTTGGTGGGGGAATCCACGCTCCATTGTGCAAGACACTGCCGATGGGCGACGACTCTCTCGTCCGCTCTGCCTCGGCCTCTGCAAGCTGCTGGATCCAAGTTGCCAGATCGCGAAAAGCTGCCGAAACCATGGCAAACGTCTTCATGGCGAGTCTCTCCTTGTACGTGCTCAGAGCCAAGAAGGCATAGACGCGCTTGTGACCACGAGCGTGGAGGTCGGGGATGCGAAAGATGTATGCGGTCGTGTAGCCTGCCATGGCGTCGCCGAAGAAGATGGCGCCTCCCGTAGCTGCCGACCCGGGACTTTGTGTCGTTACGAAGGAGGGCGAATGGTTCAGCTGCGGAGAAGAGGCGGGCGTCGAGGTTGAAGGGGCTCTTGGAAGAGTCTCAAAGGACAGAGCTCGTAGACACGAGGCTCGGACGAGAGAAAAGGAGTCTGCCTGGATGGGCTCGTGGGTGGACGTGTAATTAATGTAGTGGAAGTGATACGCCGATCTGTCCGACGACGTCGACATGCTGGAGCACGACGTGGTTCGTGAGCTGACCATTGCCGCCCTCCTATTGCGCACGCGCCGCGTGGCCTCGTCTCCATCGGTATCGCTCGAGGACTGCGAGCTTGGAGGCGAGGCTTGGTCGGCAGCCCCAAAGACTCGCTCGATGGGCGTTCGGGTCCGCAGCGTCGGCCTTTGTGTATCGGTCGCGTGTTCGCGACTGCTGCCGGCGCTAGTCTGTCGCCGCGGGAGCGTCATGGCACAATTATCGCAGGGGCCTTGTTTCTTGGTGACCGTCTCATCGTATGTTCGTCGGAAGCTGGAATCGCGGCGCGAGTGTTGTGGAAAGCCGGGCCTTAGGCTGTCCAAGACGCTTTCGAGAGCCGAAGTGGAGGCGGCGCCAACGCCGGCCGCTGCGGCAGTGTGCCGCAAGGCAGCGCGCTTCGCTTGAGCGTCCTGCTCCGAGGCCGGGACGGAGGCGCTTCGGGCAATGTGCAGCTCGCGGAGGGCGTCATTGAGGGCAGCGGCCGGGCTCTGGGAGTCTGGCGCCGAAGTCGGGGCGCTAGATCGAGGGCGCCCGTCGACGGCCGACTTGGGCTGGGCGTTGGGAGTCGACGAGGAATCGTCGAAGCAGACGGAGCATGGGTTTCCCAAGCCCTCGGTAACCATCAAGGGCGTCGGGCCATGCGTGTCGCAGTAGTGAGCCAGGCAGAGCTGTAGGCGTCGCGTCAGCCACATATCCGCGCCAAAACCAAGAGCGAGAAGGGGCTAGATGTCAATTGCAGAAGCGCATGTCAGGGTGGCAATGGATTGATGGGAGCATAGCGGGCCAATAGCAGGGAGAAGCAGGGAGCGAAGGGACAAATGAGGGACATGTTGCTCTCTTGGCAGAGAATCGTGGCGCATCTCATCCAGACGGGCGACGGAATGGGCGACATGGCGAGCCAACAGAGAGGCTCAGCAAATGTGTTGCGCGATTGATTGATGATCGGTGAGAGGATTAGTGCCGACCAAGGGCCGAAGAGAACGGAGCGGTGTGTATAAGAGGGCGGGAGAGTAGGGATTGGGCAGATGGTGGTGGGAAGAAGGGTAGCAATGCCGTCTCGCACGTCGTGGTAAGCACGACGATAGGTTGCTTGTCGACACATGTGGTGGCAGGCAAGGCTCGAATCCTTGAAGATGTGGTCGGGGGAATGCACGTCTGCTCAGATGGCTGCATGCATGGCGCTTCGGAGAGCAGGCATGTGATGCTCGAGGACCGGGATATTCCAAGGGGGAGAGGGGAGGGGGCAAAGGAGGGGTGTCAAGGGAAGGAGGGGCGGCTCACAATGTATGTCATGGCGCATCGGCGGGCTGGTGTCGATATCTTATCGCGCGAGGTCGAGTGTAAGGAGGATGGGAGGGCCGGAAGAAGATTCGCATTCGCGAGCTGCGGCTGGACGGAACCCGAGGGATCTGAGGGAGGGTGCAGCTGCTGTGGAAGCGCGAGGTGGTGGGCGAAGGTAGGCGGCTGGTTTGCGCTGCAAGCAACAGTCGGGCGCCGAGAGAAGTATGGGCGTTGTTTGTCGCGTGGGCTAGGTGCGTGTGTGTGAAGCCATTCGGCGAGGGAGACGGATGCTCAGTCAAGTGTCGGTGCTTGACGACGAGCTTCCGGCGGCGGCGGCGACGACGACGACGGAAATGGAACAGGCGGCGGCGGATGACGAGGGGGACGAGGAGGAAGAGGAAGGAGAAGAGGAAGGAGAAAAGGAAGTGGAAGAAGAAGAGGGAGTTGACAGGAGGGGCGAGGATGGGAGACGGGCGAAAAGGGCGCGCGACTCGTCGGCGGAGAGGAGAAAGAAGAAGAGTCGTGTCTGGCGATGGGGGAGACAGAGAGAGAGAGAGAGAGAGAGAGAGAGAAGAGAGAGAGAAAAAAAGAGACAGAGGGAGAGAGAGAGAGAGAGAGAGAGAGAGAGAAGAAAGTCGGCGAGACGGGGATGGCACGGAATTCACGGAAGTCAAAATGGGCTTGATTGGGCCCGGGACAGGAAGGCGCTGACTAGAAGGACGGGCAGGTGGCTTAGGCAGTAGCTCAGGACCGCTTGGCCGAGTACGGAGACGGACAGGGAGACGTGCCGTTGGGTAGAGGACGCGGGTCGGCAAGCCGCATTGTACGCGCAACGGTTCTTCGTACTGGGCGGTAATTATAAGCGACTTTGCTCTCGACGGTGGGTTTTTTGTCGAGACAGATTTGCCATTTATTATTACGTTGGTGGAGGGGCCAGTCAGGCTGCGACACTGACAAAGCCGAGTTGGGAGACTGGCTGGCCTTCAGCCTTCAGGCCTTCTAGAACAAAGTACGTACAACAGCTCGATCCACTCTCGCGGTTCATTCGCCTATTACTATTATTATGCACTCATTCACTCACTTACGCTCACGCACTCTCACCCACCCTCTCACCCACCCTCTCACCCACCCTCTCACCCACCCACTCACTCACTCAGCAACCACGACGTACTAATTACTGTACGACGTCCGTCGGTGGCTATTGCTGCGTGTCCTTGCCCAGCGATTTGAACGGGTGCTGGCAACCAGCCTGCAGTCTGTACAGTAAGGTTGTATTTCGTACGCCACGGCGGCAGGAAAACACATTTACGGTGTCCCGCTGTGGCACGTAGCACCGCGGCCTAAGGAGGTAGTAAGTAGTAACTTACAGCCACTTGCTAGTACAGTGCTTAATTAATACTTACCTCTAATAATTAGGGGTCCATGTGGGAACCCCCCCCCCCCCCTTCCCCTCTCCTGGGCGCTGGAGTCCCCCAGGCATCCATCCAAGCGAGCTGAACCGACCGTTTTTTCAAGACCCCTGCCGGCCGGCCCGCCTCCAGGCAGCACCACTCTTGCTCCCCTAACACTTGGTCCCCTAAGTTAGCCTCGACTCGACTTGCATCTCTCTCTCGAACCGACACCGAACTGCTTTCGGATTCTTGCATCTCGCGTCAACAACAGCTCCCCTCCAACCCCCCAACACCGGCAATTCTCGTTGGCCGCGTCGCCGCCTTGTCCAACTCTTCTTTCCCCTCCTCCCCGCATCTCAACCACCTACTTGTCTCTCTCTCTCCCTCTCTCTCTCTCCCCCTTCCCCCTCCACCCCCCCAATTCCTCGTCGCACAAGCTCTCTCAATCAATGTCCTCAACCTCGGCCCTTGCTGAACCGACCGGGCGGCCCGCATCTTGGTTCACCCACACAGACCAGAGAGCCACGTGGACCTTTTGTGTCATCAGCAAACGCATTGCCGTGCGACGCGCTATTTCCCTGCCTTTGCTTTTCATACCCGTCTGTACGACGCACCACCATCCACCATCACCATCTCACCGTCTCCTCGGGCGTCATCCTGGGCCCCCCGTAGCCTGTAGCTTCGCATGCTTTCAATAGACCCAGTCCATGGTGTGAGTGAGCCGCCGCCGAAGGCGCAACCGTGCGCGCGCCAAAACACCAGCAAGCCGTGTCCGACGGTCAAGCCATGCCCCAACCCCGACCGTCATCGTCGTCGTCGTCCTTTTTTTATTTATATTATATTACTTGTCTCATCACCCTGTGCGCCTCTGTCCATCATCATCGACGCATTGCAACCAAACCGGGTGAACAGTAACAACTTACGTCCAGATGCCCCGACTCTGTGCGACACTCCTCCTCCGCAGTCATGTCAGACTTCTCCGCACTTCAACCTCGTTCATGACTCTCCCATCCCTGTCCCTGCTGGCCGGTCAGCTGCCCTACTAGTCTGGCAACCCGGATCAAGCTGTATGCAAGTCACGGCTAACCATTCTTGCCATGTCCTCCTCCTGGCTACGGTCCAAGAGACCCGAGATAATGCAACGTCGAGCTGCAGCAAGAGCGCCGTCCCTGCTCCTTGGACACCTTGCTTTGGGAGCATATATAGATCCCCCATGCACACAGGGAATGGAATGGAATTTCGAGTTGCACTGACCAAGCCCTTGGGCTGGTGCACATTGTATATTGACGACGAGAGAACTCCGCCTTGTGCGTGGACGAAAGAGCCTCACCCCGGCGCCGTGTCTAGTACCTTCACTCCCTAGAAAGCCCCCTTCCTCAATCCAATAGTTACCGGGCATTCAAAATTCCCACTATCCATCAATCAACGCCGGTACCATGCTTAGCTGAGTGCTGGCTACTCAAGAGGCTGCACATCGTCGAGCGCGACAACCGTCTTGCCAAGTGGACTGGGCTCGCCCATGACATTGGCCCCCTTGGGCGATTCACTGCGACGTCGCTTGGGGCTGCGGATTTCAACGGTGAGCGACATTTGCCGTTTGACGCCCCCAGCCGTGCCGGCTTGGCTCGGCGTGGGAGAAGGGTATGCTATCGTCGTGGCGGGCGTCGAACTGCCGCACGAGGACCAGAGCCCCGGCGCCGGCTCCGACATGGCCGACGCGTCGTCAACCATGACCACGGGGGGCTCTGTTGCGAGCATTGCCTCGGCCTCGTCCACGCTCTCGCCATTGTCCACCAGCTTGATCGGCTCACCGGAAAACCCGCCGCCCGCCTCGAGGCTCTCCGCCCATGCCTCCCGGAAGACAATACCCAGCGCAACGGCCACCTCCCTTGCCACGCTGTTGCCCACAATCTTGTACTGCGTGGCCGGGTTGCCCAGGAGCACCTCGTCGTCGCGGACGCCCTGTGCGCGGCGTGCCTCCATGATGGTCATGATGCGATCCTCGCGCCAGTGCAGCGAGCGCCCGTTCTTTCCATCGCACGGGTTGTTCGCCGTGACTATTGTCTCCATAAGCCGGTGTGGGTAGAGGCGTCCGTAAGCATTGGAAAGGTCGCCTGTGGGGCCGACGCGGCTTTGGCGGCACTTAACCTCGCTCGCGTCTCTTCCCTCGGTGGGCGCATTACGTCTAGACAGGACAAACAGTGCGTGCTCGGCGGGTGTCAGGATCCCGGCACCGGGGGCGCGCTTCGAGCCCATACCAAACCAGGCCTGCGCAAAGTTTATGCCCCAGGGTTGATTCGGGATGAGCGAGATGCGTGTTCTCTGTTTGCGCGTTATTCCCAGAGAGACACGATGGTCTGGAAACGGGACACATATATCTGGCTTCGCATCTAGGATTGCGGGCAGGTCCGACGTCGCCTGCTCCGCGGTGACAAACTTAAAGGGCGTTGCCCGCGGCATCTCCCTCACCGCCATTGGCTCGCCGGTGGGCAGCATTCCCAAGCCTTGAGACCTCGTCTTTGGGGGGTGCGAGTGCGTCATGAGAGGCTTGCCCGGGAGCTTGTAGCCTGGCGCGGCGAAGGCGAGAAAGACGCGGGAGCGGCGCTGGGGCGACCCGCAGGACGAGGCGTCGAGGAAGAAAAACTGCGTCTGGTAGCCGAGGCCGACTGCGGCGCAAATGAGCTGGCTGAAGACGTCCTGGTCGCGGTTGGCATGCTTGTGTACGATGCCCGGGACGTTCTCCAAGAGGCCGTACTTGGGCCGGTAGAGGTCGACAAAGGATGCAAAGGCGGCCACCAGAGACTGATTCTTGCGCTGCCGGACCGTCGTCTTGTCGTTGGTCAGCTGAGAAAACCCCGGACACGGACTGCCCGCGGAAACGAAGTCGACGTCGCCGATGGCCGGAACGCGCTTGGAAAAGTTGCCCTTGATGGCGAGGCGCTGCAAGTCGTCAATGGAGCCGAGGAAGGGCGTCACTGCCTCTGGATCCGGCAAGTTGGCCATGTACGTGTGCATGGCCTTGCTGTCGTAGTCGTTCGCCCAGTTCATCTGGATGCCACCACCTTCCTCGAGACCCCTTCCGAAGTTGCCGCCGCCGCAGAATAGGTCGATTCCACGGAGTTTGGGCATCTCCATTTCCGGATCGTAGCCCTGTCGCATGGTCGTGGGCCCCGATTCAAGGGGCACACATCGCGAAACACCGTCTTCGTCCACGACTTGCTGGTGGCCAAGATAAAAGCAACCACCCACCCCATCACGGTCGTATGGAGGCGGGATGGTGGCACCAACCGCAAAGAAGCGGACGTGGCAGCGGCCGACGATCCGGTTCTCTCCGCATTCGATGAAGAGCTCGCTGTACACAAGCTCGTTGGGGCGGGCAGTCTGGGCTTGTGGATCGACCTGTATGCGTCGAAGCAGCCTTCGGAGCCGGTATATGGTCTTGCTGAGTTCCATATAGGAGATGACGAGCTCGCAGGGTTCGGACATGCCGCTCGCAGCATCGATGCATACCAGCAAGGTGTCTCCAGTTCTGTATTGAGACGATCGGCTTTTCTGGCCCGTGTGCTCGCACCACCTGTGCTGGGCGTCCAACGTAACCCACTTGCGCTCCTCATGGACGTAAGTCTGCCGACAAAAGAACTCGGCGTTTGTCGCTGAAGTCGCGCCAAATTCGACATCGTGGACCCCCAGCACCTCGTCCTCGCCAATCTTGTGATTTTCGGGGCACGAGCAATGGTCCGACAGAAACAACTCGTTATTCCAGGGGTACTTCATCAAGCCACAGAGCGTGTCGACTGGCCGATAGTACCAGATGACGTCGAAGGCTCGCTTGCCACCTTTCTGGGTATACACCTCCTGGACCAGCGCGAACCACCGGTCAACGTCGTTGAAATCCCTGGAAACCTCACGTTTCCACATTGTTCCCGACTGCTCGCCGTCTCGGTGCGTGGAAATGGTGTCCCCTGGCTTGATGTTCTTGATTCGTGCATCTGGCGCGGTGGATACGCTTTTGGGGGACTCGTGGAGGGCAGCAGGCAACTCCAAGTGACGCTCTCGGATGAGCCTGTTTCGCAGGTTCTTAGTCTTTGCGCTGATTGGGACCACCTCCAGCTGATCTCCAAAGGGCATGTGCTTAAAACAATCGTAGGTGTACTGTGTCACGACCGTTCGAGGACTGGCGGCGGCGGGCTGCACTTTGTAGCGACTGAAGTTCCAGGTCTCAGACCATATCATATGGAAATATGTGCTCGCTGGTCCGAGAACGCCGATGGCTTCCTTGTGCAGAAATGGGAGGTTGGCGGCAATGGCAGTTCGGAAATCCTCACACGGATGTTGTTTGAGCCACCTCAAAAACGCCGGCGCGTTCTTGTGTCTTCGCTTGAGCCATGTGCAAAACGTGGTGCTGAACAGGCGGATGGAGACTTTTCTCTTGTGGTCTTCCATGACCTTTAAGAAGTCGACAAAGTGCTTCGCGAGGTCGGCCACCCACAGCGAGGGATGGTAAAAGCGCGAGTACTCCTTTGCTGGTTTGCCCAACCTGTAGTAGATGTTTCGGTGGCGGTTGAGTGCTGATTGGAGCCACACGTCGCCTTGAACCGTGTGCTTGGAGACATCGCCGTAGTTGTCGATTGGCATGGCGAAGATGGGAACGCGCCTCACAAAGATGCTGCTTTGACCGCAAACACTTAAAACGCCGTCGAAGAAGAAGACGCCGAGTTGCAACTTGGTATCAAGATGGTGCAACGGTCTCATCTCGCAAGGATAGGTTTGCGTGTCACAATAGACGGCGAACTCGTCGAGGTTATACTCGACGAATTCAGCAGCGGGCTTTCGAAGCCGTCTGCGGACTGAAGCTAGCGTTGCCAAAGCCTGCGATTCAGGCATTGTGAGCACAGGTGGTTCGAAAGGCTCGTAGTAGGACCGAGGCGTCAGAAGGGCACACTCGGGGATTTCCACGCGTACAGAGCTGCTCTCCGGAGGCGGAAGAGATGGCGCAATGGGCGAGCTGCCCGTCTCCGGGTGGCCTTGGTTGATTGTGTCTGCCGAGGCTTCAGGGAATGCGCCCGAGTCGTCATCGAAGGCTCGTTGCTCTCCCGGGACTGATTGTTCGGGCGATTTGACGGGAAATTCTGAGACTTCGCCGAGGTCTGCTGTACACTTCACAAGGTCTAGCGTCCCACAGCGATGATTGCTGAGGTCCATGAGCAAGTCGACGCCGGGGAAGCCGTCTCCCTGTGGCTCAAAGTCAGGCGCCCCGACGACGTTTTCCGCATCGTACATTACCGGCGTCTGAAGTTTGTGAGCAGAGAGCAAAGATAGCGAGATAGTGAGAGGCGAGGGAGGAAACATACCATAATTTAAATGTGAAATAGCCTCCCCGTACAGCATCGATCTCATGCTGCGGCATCTAGACCCGCAGGGATGTGAAGAGAGCGGCGAGATGCGAAAGCAGAGGCGAGGGGGGAGGTCTAATGCATCCAATGCAGTCCATGAACGAGGAGATGGTCGGGCAAAGGCTGTGGGGGCGCGTGTCGCATCGCAAACAGGGAGGGCGTGAACGAGGAGCGCAGGGGCGTCGACAGCTGGCGCTAGAGTTACGCGCCGGCGCAAGAGCGCAAGAAACCCCAAGACCCGTTGAGGTCAAGGGAGGTCAAGGGAGGTCAAGGGAGAGACAATGGGGCGGGAGTGATGCTGAATGAATGTGACTACCAGCTACAATAACCAAACGAGGACGAAAAATAGGAGGGAAAATCTGCCGAAGATGCCAGCTGGATTTTCGGGCAGTTGGCGAGGAGGAGTCTCGAGGTACAATCGCGGGTACATCCATTCACACACGCAGCTGATTGGTGCGCATCGCATCCGCCTTTCCTCTTAAGGACATGCCAGTTGCTGAGGCAGTTGCCACGATTGCCATTCAAGCTCCTTCATGAGTTTGTGTGGATTGTCATAACTTCATCATCTCGAGCCCCGTCCGCGGCTGTCACGGAGCACCCAAAGCCCCAAACTCCGCAATATGCACGCTTGAATAACAATGATCGACCGTTCAGGTGCACTTCCAAATGACTCAGACCCCGTCGCAGCCCCGCGACAGACTCGCGACAGACCAGTCTGGTCTGTCAACGCCGCCGGCGGAAGCGACTGTTGTGTCCCGGCCCCCCCTTTGCTCCCGAGTTGCGTAGCTTGAGCCTCTGGAAGTTGGCGTGCGCCAGCTCGTTGACCTTTCTCACCGTCTTCTTGATAGGGCCCTCCTTTGCCGCCTTTGCCTTGGGCTTTCTCGTTGGATTGACGTCTTGGAAATCTTGGTCATCCAACAGCCCTTCAACTTGCCCGCTCGGGCCAGCGGCATCAGGCCTCGCTCCCAAGGTGCTGTCTTCATCGGCCTCAAGGCTACCGCTGCTTTCAGCCATGTCCGTAGGACGCTTGTTCCACGTCGGCTTGATGTTGACCCGCCTGGTTGTCCTCTTGGGTGCCTTTTTCTTGTACACTGCCAACGGATTCCCGTTTCGATGCGACTTGTCCTCCTCTGGACTGTCGTACAATCCCTCGTCGTCAAACCCGCCGAGCGGGAGGCGCCTAGCTTGGCTGTCTGGTTCTGTCGGCATTTGTGGTGGACGCTTGACCGGCGCCCCGCCATCTTGTTCGTTTTCTGCCTCGCGTAGAGCTTCTAGGTCGTCATCGAGCGTCTCTTCCTCCACTCGTCTGAGACTGGCGACAATCTCGCTCAGGCCGCGAACGAGTGGCTTCCGCGGCAGTTTCAACGGGGCAGGCATGTCGAATGCGTCATTCTCATTGAGTGTCGGAAGCGTGTTCCTCTTCAGAAAAGCCGGCGTGTCAAACTGCAGCTTCGACACCGACGTCGGCGTTCTCCCGCATCTCGTCTCTCCTCGATTCTTCATCGGTGTCATGGTCGCATTCACAAGATGCCGCTTGCTCGCCGACATGGGCGTCCGGGCCAGTTCCGCGTCGCCGTCCACGTTTTCGCTGCCTGTGCGCTTACTCGGCGTCGCGTGAATGTTGTATCGACTTGCCGGCTTCTTTGCCGCATCCTTGTTCTTCTGCGACGGCGTCCCGAGTTCCCGTTCGACGAGCAAGTCGAAGAGGCCGAGCACTCGTCCATCCTTTTGCGGCGTTGGGCCTAGTGATGTGACCTTGGCGGGGCTGAAGAGCTTTCTCGAGATGCCGGGTGAGTTCATGAGCTCGTCGTCTCGGGCGCGGTCTCGATGGGGAGTTTCGGCGTGCCTGGTTCGCTTGAGGGGGGTCTCGGACGGTGTAGGCTCGGGTCTGCGCTTCTTGGACCTGGGCTCATCGTCCTTGGCCGGAGGCGCAGGCGCCTTGCCGGCGAGTATATCCCGTACCTTGCTGTATTCCTTGTACTTTTCGGCTGTAACAACACAGTAAGATGCTGGCCCAAATTTTTGGTTATCAGAAGAGCCGGCCTACCAATGCCTGGGTTGTCCTTGATGTCCTGCCGGCCCGGCTTGCTGCCACGATGCGTCCTCGCCCAGTCATTCTCCCAGGTCTTGAGGTGCGCACGCAGGTCCTTGGCCTTTGCTTCGTAAAGAAAAGTTAATTCCTCGTTCATGGCTGCTGCGGCCACGAGTTGCAGCAGTATCAAGAATCGCTTTCGTGCCGGACATGCAGCGTCTGGGGCGCCTTGCTCCACAGGCGCTGAGAGCCCTTGGTGCTTCAGGGCAATAAACGCACCCGACGCGTCTCACTCTAGCACGACGCGTGGGCAGCTGTCGGGTTCGCGTCACCACCCCTGTAGCGGGATTGGCCCCTCACTACGTACTTGCCCCGGCACTGCCCTGTAGCCCCACCAGATCAGGTACACTCACTGGCCTGTACAGCAGGGCTGGTGCCGCTGTTCAGGCTGACTAAGCCAGACTAGCCCCATCAGAGGCACCCACAACAAAACAAAGCTGTACGTGCAAGCCCCACCTGCTTCACATTTCAACCTTCGTACTTGGTGAAGCATCTCGACCTCCCCAGCTGAGCCGATCTCGCCCCCAGTTTCGCGACGCTGGCTGAGCACCGGCGTCTGGGCTCGAGTCCAGCCATGGATCCCGTTCCGCCGTGGGTGTTGGACAGGGAAGAACGGCTGGAGAGACAGAGACAGGACGAGCAAGACGCCGCGGACATCGGACGCTGCGTCGTCTGCCTCGACGCTCTCGCCGAGCCTTGCCAGCTATTCCCCTGTGGCCACCGAAACTTTCATTTCGCATGCGTTCATTTCTGGTTGCTTCAAAACCCAGGCCGTATGTGTCCCATTTGCAAAGCACCTGTTTACAGAGCTGTCCATGGACCAGCCGACCTGCAGCAAACCCACGAGTACGGTCCCCTCGGTATGAGACCGCCACCCAATATGACACTCGCCGATGCTCAAAGGGGAGTCCAGCCACCGCTAAACACTGCTCTCCAGTTTGGACGAGCTCGCTCTCACACTCGCGGTCCACGACCCTGGCGAGCCAGGGTGGAAAGGGACGAGCCTGCCGGCCTAGCGTTCCGGCGCGACGTCTACCGCCGTCTACGCTACTCGATGCATGTCGGGTCAAATCCAGTATCTCGCTACCGCGAACTAACGCGAGACAGTTTCCGCAACGACGATGAACTGCAGAGACGCGCCAAGACATTTCTCCGCCGAGAGCTTCGAGTCTTCAGCTGGCTCACAACCCCTGACGCCGACGACATCACGCCTTGTGTTGGAGAAAGCCCTCAGACTTTCCAGGATCGGAGGCGGGCTACAACGGTCGAGAGGCTGCTCGGTCACATCATCTGGCTGTTGCAGCACTTCGAGCTCCGAGGCAGCGACGGAAGCGTCGAGGATGTCGTGACCACCCATCTCGGTCGCGAGAACACCAGGCTTCTCCTGCACGAATTACATTCCTTCCTCCGCAGCCCGTACTCGGCACTCGAAGATTGGGACCGCGTGGCTCAGTATTCTAACAACTCCGAGGCAAGAAGCGGTGGGGTCGACCTAGTCAGGGACCGAGGTGCGTCGACTGAGCGAAGCGCCCATGAGCAGCGATCCGCCACCAACCGCGATAGAAACAGCTACCGACCGAGGGATAGCCTCGTTCGCCCCGAGGCAGCGAGACTCGGGTACAATAGGCCGAGTGCACCCGCCAACGAATCTCATGCGGTCTCTTCTCGTGGCCCGTACCTTGGCGCATCTCCCCGGGACAATCGGCGTAGCCGCAACTCTGGTAGCGATGTCCCTTCAGATGACGCCACTCGTCAACGTCAAGATGATGGCGAAGAGACCCCTCGGCTGGCTAGCTTCGTCGTCAATCTCTGTGGTCCTACCAAGCGTTGAAGCCGAATCGCATTTGAGCAGCAAAGGCTTCCCCCTTCCTGTCTCTGGGGCACTGGAAGAACGAGATGTTATGGTTGTGATACCCCAAGAGGGCAATCTCAATGACGAATGACGGATAACGATTGATGTCTAGAATAGCAGATGATATTCTCTGCGTGTATTAGAGTCTAAATAGCTTCGGGTCGAATACGCCATGGCAGCAACTTGACCCGCCGTCCATAGGAAATTTTGAGGCCGCCGCTTCCACAAAGGCGGGCGGCAGGTGCCTTGGTCCTATTTGCGTGATGACGTGTAATTATTTAGTTCTGATTTTGAGTCTCTTGCTACTTTTCAGCCCGTCGTGTTGGGTTGCGGAACCCAGGCCATCTCCGCAAGAGCTGTTCCGCAGCTACTGTTCGCATGTGGGCGGAAGTCCGCCTGTTGGCGCGGCTTGATGACGAAACTCCACTAACGGCATTGCGCAGCTCGTAAACGCCAAGGCTACGACTATTGTTTCGCCTATTCAACGTTTGAATACAATCGATCCGTAAAAGGTCCAGTATATAAGCAATCATGCCTCATCCATCGACTGCCAGATGTCTAGCCAATGTCCGTCATCGTCCCAATAGTTTTCCATTATAAACAAGCAGCATTAGCCGCTCGCCCTGCACGCGATCAAGACAGCGCTCGCAATGACGCACTTTGACATCACCATCATCTCTGACACGGTATGTCCCTTCTGTCACCTCGGCAAGATGCGCCTGGACCGCGCCATCAGCCTGTACCGCAAGACGGTCCCCGGGGGCTCGTCCTCGACCTTTACCATCCGCTGGCACGCGTACCTGCTGGACCGCAACCCGCCGGCCAAGTCCATGTCGGTCCTGGACGCGGCGGCGGGCCGGTTCGGCGCGCACCGTCTGCCGGCCAAGCAGGCGCGCATGGCGCAGCTCGGCGCGCAGGAGGGGCTTGACTATACGTTTGCGGGCCGCATCGGCGCGTCGCGCGATTCGCATCGGATGGTACAGCTGGGGGTGACCAAGGGGCTGGACGTAGCGGACCGGCTCATGGGCGCCATCATGGGCATGTTTTTCGAGGAGGGGGCCGACATTACGAGCTGGGATGACCTTGAGACTGCGGCGGCGAGGGTGGGCATCGACCGTGACGAGGCGAGGAGGTGGCTCGAGGATGGCGAGGGCGGTGAGCAGGTTGACCGGGAGGTGGCCGAGGCGTATCGCATGGGCTTGAACGGCGTGCCCAAGTTCATCATCAACGGCGCGTACGAGGTGGACGGGGCTGAGGATGTGTCTGGCTTTCTGGCGCAGCTCGTGGCGGCCAAGGATGCGGCAGAGGACGGCGTCGCCGCGAAAGAGAGACGCATACGTGCCGTATGCGGTGCAGAGAGCGGCTGCGTCTTCTGAGGCCTCATTTTGCTTGTTATATAAAAGGGGGTATCATAGCACGTCAACTGTTGGTCACGTCACATATTCAAGAGCCCTCCGAGGTCTTTGTCCATGGCCAGTAACCTTGCCTGCAGCTCCTTTTTCTTGAGCTCCATCTCGCGCGCCTCGTCCTCTTCTCGGCGCAAGTCAGCCTCGGTCCAGAGCTCGCTCTCGTCCTCGGGGGCTTGGTGTTGCTGCTCGTCGTCGTCGTCGTCGCCGAGCCAGCCCTTGTTCATGCTTGCAAGCTGCTCGGCCTGCTCGGCGACCTTTGCTTCGTAGTAGGCGGTGGTGTTTTTACCGTTGCGATAGCGGCTTCGCAGGGCAGCGATGCGCTCGCGGGCGCCGGGCAGCTCATAGACGCCGCAGAGCTTCTCGGCGCCGCGGAGCAGCACGTCGACGTCGACGTCTCCCTTGCGATCGGCGCGCAGCTGCTCGTGCATCTCGCCGCCCAGGACGGCGGCGACGGCGGTGCGGCGGCGTGGGTGGGTGGAGCCGCGACCGGGGCCGGCGGCCGTCACCTCGCCCTCGGCGACATTGAAGACGGTCTGACGGCGGTTGGCGGAGGGCTGGGACTCGAGGTCGGGGCTGCGGAGGGAGGCAGAGGGGGGCGGTGGCGGCGGAACGGAGAAGAGGGCGCGCTCATGGGCTTCGGTGTCGCGGATGAGGCATGTGATGTCGTGGCTGGACAGGAGGGCGTTTGTGAATATCTTGGGAGGAGGGAAGCTATTGTGGGTCAGCGAGATGGATGGCTGGCAATGCGATTGGAATGCGCGACGTACTGGAGGGCGTCGATGCCTTGACAGGAGTAGGCGATTTGTTCGAGGTGGGCGGAGAGGAGAGACATGGCGGCCGTCAAGGGAGAGGGATGGCTCGAGATGGCTGTGTGAAGCGGCATGTAGATGCAGATGGATGGTGAAGAAAGTTTGACGCGGGGGCGGGCCCGTAAAGTATTCGGGCCGCGTCCAGCGCGTCTTGGTGCGAGAGAGAAAAGGGACGGCGCTTCGAGCACGGCTTAGTGGATGCAGGGCCCCATCTCGAATAGCTGTAGTCGGAGTGTCGGTCGCAAGGCAGCAAATTATTATACATCTCAATTTCTACGGAGTAGACGGTTGACTGACAGAGTGAATGCCTTTCGAGTCTCTCCGCTGGCTGTTTGGATTGTGCTGCGCCGGTCGGTCGGAGGTACCATGAGCAAAGGTACCTACCTACCTTACCTAGGTACCTACCTACCTACCTAGGTACCTACCTACCTACCTAGGTACCCACCCGTTGAGGCTAGGTACCTAGGTACCGCAAGGTAGATAGGTACCTACCTAAGTCGGTAGGTGGCCCCTTTTCTTAGGCTTCCTCCTTGCCTCTGAATCTCTACACGGTTCCCTGCCTTTTACCATGCTTCGGCAACGGTCGTCATTTAGATTCGTGGCTTGCGACCAAGTAAACGGTCTCCTCGAGAGCCGAGCACACACGCGGCCCGAATGCATTCATTCAGGCGCCCCCCCCCCAGCCAGGGAGCACTGGAATTTGCTGGCCTCGCGAGTTTGCGCCAAGTACTCTGTACATACTGTGCGTTTGCAGATCGCCCGGCTTGGCCTACCCACAGGTGGCTCCTCACCAGCAGAACGGCCCCACGACCCCCTTGTCATGGTTCCCTCCCCGCCTCATGATGCACCCGAGAGTCTCGATATTCTGTCTTAGTGGCTTCTGTCTTTTTCTTGGCGGCCATCTCATTCTCACGGACTCCGTACCCTTTTCTCCCATTGTTAACTTACTTATTCCGCCAGCTTCCCCGAGGGCCTCCACTCCGTGCACGATCCTCCCCCTTTACTGCGGGCGTATGTAATCCGAGCTACCTCGCTCCTCACCCATCTTCCCTGGCAAGCCCGGGTACCTACCTGCCTACCTCGGTGTCCATCGGCCAACTCATATCAAGCTCCCCTTTCCACCAGTCGGTAAAGCCGCCATCCGCCGCCACCTCCTCTGACCACCGCTGAAACTGCCACCGCTGTCCACTGCCGTCCACTGCCGTCCATCTCGTCTCTCCTTCGCCCTGGGATGCAACACCATACCTGTGTCCTGACGGCTGACCTTTGCGTGCGAGAGGGCGCCGTCTAGACCAGCTAGCGCCCCTTATTCCCCGACCACCGGCCATTCCCGTCGCCACCTGCGACCGCTCCGACGCATCTTCCTCACCTCGAGCCTCCAACCTCCTCCCCCCTGCCCAGTCCGCGGGCAATCCTCCAACATGGTCAAGAAGATGCTATCCCCAGGCCCGTTTCCGCGAAGGCCTTCGGGCTTTGTCCGATACCTTGTCGTCTCCGTCCTGCTCCTCGTCGCCTTCTTCTCTTTGCACCGCAGCTCTCGCGACATATACGTCTCCTCCGCCATATTGCGCCGCCCCTTGCACGACACGTCTCTGAATCCGGGGTTGGCATTTGAAAAGATTGCGTCAAAACCTCACCGGCCCATGTTAAAGCATCAGCCTTCCGCCGACGAGCCCAAGGCCCCGCTGCCAGTCAACCCCGATCAGCATCACCACCCCATCGACAAGTTGATATACGATGCCCAGCACTCCTTTGCCGAGCTCATGTCCAAAGAGTCCAAGACGGTAGAGCAGGCTGCCGAGGCATACCGCAAGCGCCGCGGTCGCCACCCTCCCCCGGGCTTCGACAAGTGGCACGAGTTTGCTCGCTCGCACAACGTCGTCCTGGTCGAGGACTTCTTTGACCAGATTCACCACGACATCGAGCCGTTCTGGGGCATGGAACCCTTGGATATGCGGCGCCGAGCCAGCCAGGCTGAGATGACAATCAATATTCGAAAGGGCAATGCCTCGGCCGCATCAGACTGGTTCTGGACAAAGATATGGCTCGAGATGATCAAGGAGATTGAGCACGGTCTCCCCGACATGGACATTGCCTTGAACGCCATGGACGAGCCCAGACTTGTCGTTCCTTGGGAGGACATCAACGGGTACATGGAAAAGGCAGCCAAGACGGTCAAGCTGCCCGACGCCAAAACTGTCGTGTCTACGTTCCAGACGCTCCCGGCTCCCCAGACGGACGAGCTGGGCGTCAAGGTCCCCAAGATAGAGTGGGAGGGTACCAGTGAGTCGACTGATTCCCAAAACTGCATCAGACTGTGCACGGGCGTCCGAAGAGCTAACATGTGCAAAGAGCCGTACTGGTCCGTTGCCCGCCGCGGTTGCTCCCCAGACAGTCCCGCTCGCGAAGCCCCCCTGCAGGAGTCGTTCGCCGATCCTCCCGTCATCTGCAACAAGTACGCCGCTCAACATCTTCACGAAGGCTACGTTGCCAACTACACCAAGTCCAACGAGCTCTGCCACCAGCCGGATCTACAGGGTCTCGAGGGCATCCTCATCGAGCCCATTTCCACTAGCGCGACCAAAATCATGTTCCCCATGTTTGGCGGCTCCAAGCTCACGGTCAACAACGAAATCCTCCTGCCCGCGCCCATGTACTGGAGCGAGGAGGAGCGCTTCACTGGCGGCGGCGCTCGTGGCGCTCGCTGGGCCGACAAGAACAATACGATCGTCTGGCGCGGCGTTGCCACTGGTGGCAAGAACCGTGAGACCAACTGGAGAGGCTTTCAGCGCCATCGCTTCGTGTCCATGGGCAACGGGACCAAGATCGGGCTGGTCGAGTCGGGCAAGGCGAGAGCCGAGAACTTTGTCCTGCCCAGCGACGAGTACCACGTGAACCCGGCACAGCATGGCAAGCTGGGCGAATGGGTCGCCGAGTTTTCCGACGTTGCCTTTATCGATCTCTTCTGCGACCCCCCACAGGACGGGGGCTGCAACTATACCGACTTTTACTTTGAGCCCCAGTCCGCCGTCAAAATGGCTGAGCAGTTCAACTCCAAGTTCCTGCCAGACATTGACGGCAACTCGTTCTCGGGGCGCTACCTCGGATTCCTGCGGTCGACGTCGCTGCCTATCAAGGCCACCGTCTGGCGAGAATGGCACGACAGCCGCCTCGTGCCGTGGAAGCACTTTGTACCCATGGACAACCGCTTCTCCGACTACTACGGCATCATGGAGTACTTCCTCGGGTACAAGGGCCGCAACGACCACGACGCCGCCGCCGAGAAGATTGCCACCGAGGGCAAGGAGTGGGCGGAGCGGGTGCTCCGCAAGGAAGACATGTTGGTATACGTCATGCGGCTGCTGCTCGAGTATGCGCGCGTCCTCGACGACCGACGAGAGACCATGGGCTGGGTGGCCGACCTCCTCAAAGATTCATCTCTGAAAGAGTCACGGTAGGACCGATGGCTTTGACTTGAGTGGCCAGAGAGCCGAAAGCCGTGTACAATTTTTGGTCTTTGATTTGGATATTGACTTGCGGCGGCGTTTGGGCGTGCACCAACTACCCCTTTTGATACCAGCATTCAGCTAGAATGGGCGAGTGCCTACAAGCCTACTTAGACAGTTGAAGCACACTCAGGGGCATGGACAGGTAGGAGTTACTGTTGGGTCGGGACGTTTCAGAGGATAAATGGATGATTAGGGCCCTGCGGGCTGGTGTTCCTACACTCTGGAGACGCAGGGAAAATCAAAGTTGACACGTTCACGTCCGTTGGCAGTTTGATATGTCCGCAACTCCCACTCGCTCATATCCCCATGCTGCCCTGTCTCCACCACTTCAGTTGGCGCTGCGCAGCCATGCTTGGTCCTCCCACATCTCTTTCACTGCTCTTCTGGATTCTCACGGCGGTTCTGAAGCTCGGCCCGATCTCTCTCGACAATCTTGTCGGCTGGGCTCTCGTAGTCGAGCGGTAAGGTAGGCTCTGACAGGTCCCCAGGCCACAGGCACTTCACGTAGCCGAGGCGGCGCAAGCGACTCAGGCGCGTCCTCAGGTCGTGATAGTAGTCGTCGAGGGCGTGATCCTTGAAGTAGCGGCACTGGCCGCTGGGCGCAGGACGGGAGGAGTGGCCGTCGACTTGGATGGAGAGCCAGTATTTTGCTTGCCAAGGGTGGAAGCCGACGCCGACGCCGATGGCTGCGGGAGCGTGGTATATGGGGCGGTATACTGCGTTAGGACAGACGGGTCATCAGCTTTGCTCTTCCGTCCACGCGAGAGAGAAAGGGGAGGGGGGTGTTTGGAGAGCGAGGAGGTGAAAGCACCGCAAACGCACCGACAGAGGTCTTGTTCGTCTCGGGATTGCGACTCTCATACTCGGCGAACAAGGTGCGCTGGGGGTTATACAAGCGCCGCAGCAACAAGGCCAGCATGCGCACGAGGTCATCGCGACCACCGCCCGAGAGAGAACTGCGGTGGACATCAAAGACGCCCTCGAGGGTGACGCTGACATTGGTGCGCACGGGGGCGCGGTCGTCGGCGAGCATGATGGTGCCCGGCACGGCCATGGCACGGCGGAAGCACGCGCGCTGATCGGACGGGCACGCGCGCGTCACGTAGTCGACAAAGTCCCACGGCGCCATCTCGAGCGGCCATGCGCCGGCGAGGTCGGCGATGCGCACGATGACGCTGGCGCGCGGGTCGAGGTGGTGCCACAGCTTCTTGCAGCGGCTGTAGCGGTCGAGGAAGTTGGCGTGTGCGGCGTGCGAGAGGAGGAGGAGGAGGAGGAGGAGGAGGAGTGGTAGCAGGTGCGTGAGGGAGAGGGTGCTGGGGAGGTGGCGTGGCGGGAGCATTGCGGCTGTCGTGGACGAGCTGGGGGGAGTGTTGTGGGTGTGCGGAAAGGGGGTCGTGGATATTGTGCCTCTTTTCAATGCGGTCCTTGTCTCGCGGGCGCTCAGGGGGGAAGAGGCATGCGCACGAGCTTCACCCTGGCCTTGCTCCCTCTCGTCAAGATGAGGTGTGAGAAAGAGCGTGGAAAAGAACAGAGTGGACAATAAGAAGGGGAGGGAATAAATCTCTGTCGACGCATTCGTGGCTTCTGTACCGACAAAGTCAATGTTGAGCTTGCTGCGATACCGTTGAATGTGCTTGTCTTGGTCCATCTACCCAACCGCCAGATGCCTCGCCGACGCCCTGCCAGCCTCTATAGAGTACAAAAATGGTACACACGCTCATGCCACGGCCAGACCGAGCCTCTCTGTACGCTTGCGCCATGGCTTCAGAACATGACGCCCATGGCGCCAGACTTGCCGTCCTCCTCCTCGGCGTCGGCGTCGGCCTCCTCCACCATGCGGCCCAGCATCTGCACATACGTCGGCCGAAACGGCCAGTCCATCCAGGCCTGCACAATCTCGGCCCACTGCTCCTCGTTCATGGCGCGCGACACCATGGCCCCGTGGCCCGTCAGCGGCGAGCCGCCGCGGTCCGGGTCCGTCAAGCTGGGGCACTGGGCCACGAGGTCGCCGAAGCCGCCCCAGAGGCCGTCCATGGCCTTGGCGACGGGGAAGAGCGTGTGCTGGTACCAGAAGCGCAGCATGATGTCCGACATGTCGCCGGACCGCGAGCTCGCCGGCCCGTACTGCCGAAAGACGGGCCGCATGGCTTTGGGCTGGATGTCGAGCAGGGCCGTCGGTGCGTTGGGGAAGAAGTCGGTCGGGAACACGCTCAGGGGCTCCAGGGCCCTCCTGTCCCATAGCATGGCGGGCGGGTCCTGGCGGAAGAGAATGTAGTTGTCCTTGATGCCATTGAACTCGGTGCGCATGTTCTTCTTGAGGTTGCCTATTCGCTCGTTCCACTCTGCGTTTGCCGTTTCAAACTCGCTCGGCGACGAGGCTGCGAGCCGTGAGATGTCTCTGAACTGCTGGAGATATTCGAGGTATTGGAGAGCCTCGCCCTGCACCAGCTTGTCCCGCGACCGCAGGATCCTCAGCCGCTTCGACGTGGCGTCGTTGGATCCTCGCCGCTGCTCAGCCCGTTCGAGCTGTTCCAGCTCCCCCTTGAAAGGGCGCTCCAGCGTCGGTGGATGGACGCCAGCCAGCATCTGCCCCATGAGCTCCGGCCTTTGCATACACTCTTTATAGGCCTTGGTCATTCTTCTGCTCGGCATCTCCAAGCCCTGCGCCGCCATGCGCTCCACGGCCCGGTATCCCGACTCGGTACTGACCCACCAGTCGCGCAGCGAGCATCGGTTCTCGGGCACATCTACGCCGGCGACCTCGTGGACCCACTCGCAGGAAATCTCGGCCTCAAAGGCGCTGCGTCTGCGCCGAGGGAGCGAGCGGGGGAGGATCCTCTTCTTGTCCTCGTCGTTGATCCAGATGAGCATGCGGACCAGGCCGTACTTTTGGAACAAGCTCGACGTGCGGATGCTCGACAGGAGCTGGTAGAGGACCATTGTGCTGACGCTCTCGAAGCCGTGGAACGTCTTCTTGGGGAACATGGAGAGGTTGGCCGTGACGAGGAGCGTGTCGTTGCGGCTTGGCACATCGTCCTTGTCCCTCTCCGTCTGGCCGGGCAGATGACTGTGCATCATCTCGAGCAGATCCTTCCACACAATGCCCGACTTGGGTACCAGCTCAACGTTGTCCTGCTTGAGGAGCTTGGACAGAAAGGGCTTGTAAAGCTCTGCGTCGAGGTCCATGAGAATATGCTTGCGTGGCTGAAGAAACTCGTGCAGCTTCCGGCTCCACAAGCCCACGCCGGGGTTCAAGTCGACCAGATCGCATCCTCGGTGCCGCTCAAGCGACGGGCCCAGGTTCTTGACAATGCTGTCTGTTGCGCCTCCTGGTCAGCCTCGGGCTTAGGACAGGGGCATCCGGCGAATCTTACCGCAGAGGCTCGAGCTCACAATGTTGACCCTGCGCGGGTCTACCACGCGCGGAGCACCGACGTCCTTGCGCGCGCGCCCGCGTTTCCAAATGTTTGTATCGTCGAGTTTGCGCGCCACGACGCCTTTGACATTCAGCATAGGACCTCCCCTCTTGTTTTTCTTCTTCGTCTCCTCCTCTTCCGCCTCATTTTTCTCTGTCGCCCGCTTTTCCTCTTCCGTCTCTTCTCCCTCTTGCGCTTCGTTTGTCTCGGCCGTTTTCTTTGTCTTTACGGTCTTTTTTCCCGTCTTCTCTTCCGTCTTCATTTTCGTCGTCCTTGCGGGCGTCTTTGCGGGCGTCTTTGCGGGCGTCTTTGCCGTCCTCTTTGCCGTCCTCTTTGCCATGGTTTTCCCCTCTGCCGTCTCTTCGCTCTCTTCCGCCGCCAGTTTTGCCGTGATTCCCTCCGTGTCTTCCGCCGGGGTTTCCGTCTTTCTTTCCGTCGGTCCTGCTGGCGTCTCTGTTGCCATAGTTGCTGTCGCCTTTCTCGTCCTCTTCACCGTCGGCTTTACCGTCGTCTTTGCCGTCGCCTTCGCTCGGATCTGCTGGGCCGCGATTGGCCGACAGGCCAGCCTTGCAAAGGTCGCATGCCCATTTCGGAGACTTGCCAACATGAGGTTTTGGCAGTTGGGCCCGAGAACATAGCTGTTCCGCTGGTGACGTCCTGGTAGTAGCGCAAAGCGGCTTTTGATCAGGAAATAATAGTACGACGGAATTATTGCCAGTTCAGACCGCCCGGCAGTTTCGCGGTGCCGCGATAGACGGCGCTTGGCCCATGACACGCCAAGGCTTACCCTGTACCTTGACTGTTTTCTAGGAGGGCCCCCAGCAGTCCCCATGAGCTGGATTGGCATCTGCTTCTGCTCATGTGGTGAATAGACGCCTTTGGCAGCTATGCTCGGATCATGACGATACAGGAACCATCGTCATTCCATCACTGCTGTCACGAAATGTATAGGAGTCGTGCTTGAAACTGAAGCAGCTGCTTGGTGAGGCCTCAACATGAACTTTGCTCAAGAAGTGCAAAACAACGACGGTCCAGGCCGCAAATCTTGTCTTCAAACCGTTGCCTACTTCCCGATATGTTTCCCCAGCACGCGAGTAAACAGAGGCTACCGACGCCGCTCCCGAGAACCAACGTGCATACGGTAGCTCGCCCAGATGCCCAAGATGAACTCCTCAAGACGCCGTCATACCACATCGTCGCAGAAAGACAGAGAAGCCGCCGTCAGGCGCCCTCGCTGCCAAACTCATTTGTCCACTCAATCTGTCTGTCGACATCCCCCTTGGCCACCGTAGGATGCGAATCCTCCAGCGCCATTTCGAAATCCTTTAGCATGACATCAGGGGCAAGCAGCTCGTCCGCGTTGACGTCGTCGTACGTCATTTCAATGTTTTGGGCATCGCCAGGCGAACATGGTGTAAGCATCCGCTTTCCATCTTTCATGACCTGTGCCGTTGTCAGTACCGAGCTGCACGCGGTGCGTGGGCTACCACGAACCGGCTTGAAGTGCGTGGCCTGCAGAATCTTGCGAACAGGGCGCATCAGGGCATGCTGAACCACGTTGCTGATGTCGCTGCCCGAGAAACCGTCAGACTTGGAGGCCAGGACGTTGAAGTCGTTGGCTTGCAGGGCAGTGTCGGTGTCGCCAATGGCGAGCTTGAACATCCTTGCCCGGCCATTGACGTCCGGGAGCCCAATGTGAACTCGTCGCTGGAACCGCCGGCGGATGGCGGCATCGAGTTGCCAGGGGATGTTTGTTGCTCCAAGCACGAGGATCCCCTTGCTGTCGTTGCCGACGCCATCCATCTGAACGAGAATTTCCGTCTTTATACGGCGAGAAGCTTCCGACTCGCCTTCGCCGCGAGGGCCGCATAGAGCATCGATTTCGTCAATGAAAATTACCGACGGCTTGTTTTCCCTAGCCATTGAAAACAGGAGCTTGACGAGCCTGGCGAGAAATGCAGTGTTCAGCAGCGAGTTCAACACCTTGGCCCTTGGTGATCTGCTTACCGTTCGCTTTCGCCCATCCATTTGCTCACCAAGTCGGAACTGCTGATGCTGAAAAAGGTGCTGTTTGCCTCCGTGGCCACTGCCTTTGCGAGGTAGCTTTTACCAGTGCCGGGGGGGCCGTAGAGCAGGATGCCCTTCCACGCCTGTCTCTTGCCTTGAAACAAGTTTGGAAACTTTATGGGCAGCACCACGGCCTCCTTCAGAGTCTCCTTGGCGCCCTCGAGCCCCGCGATATCCTCCCACCGGACGTTTGGCCTCTCCTGCAAGATGGCGCCAGAGAGCGCGTTGCGGAGCTTCTTGCTGTCGTCGTCCTCGGCGACGCCCTTGCTCTTGCCCGTGCTGGAGCCATTGACTCCCATCAGGGCCTTGCCGCCGTTTGCGTTGTTGTCGACCTCGGACTGAAGGAACTGCTTGAGCTTCTCGGCGCGATCGAGGTAGGTGGCCATCTTTTCTTGCATGGTGGCCTTGAGTGCCTTGTTCTTCTCCCACTTGAGCGCCTTTACCCAGAGCTCCATCGACGACATGTAGAGATCAAAGGCCTTTTGATACTCCTTGTTGTGGTCCGCGGCGATGGCCTTTTGGACCTCGGCGATGGCCCGGTCGCGAAAGTTGGTCGACATGTCGAAGCCTGCCCGCCTAGGTCGTGGTTGGCGGATGGGAAAGGGGCCGCGGGGGGGTAGCGAGCCTTTGGTGATAGCAGGCCCAAATCGCAGGGTCAAAAAGAGGATTGGCCGAGGCGAAGAGGGCAGAGAGGCGATGCTGCTCGGCGTGAGGCAGACGGTTCGATGTTGATGTGGCGGCGAGTGGACATCAGCTGGGGTACTTTGAGGCGCCTAGGATCGGCCGAGTAACGCGTACCTACCCTTGTACCGGGGAGGGAGGGGCTCTTATCCTTATCAATTTGATGGCCAGTGGGCCGTCGTCTGCCTCATCGGCTTCGGACATGAACAACATTTACCTGAGAAGACAGGACAGGACGGCCAAGGACGACGCGCCAGTTGCAGCGGTGAAGCAAGCCAGACAGGAAAGAGCCTGTGTGTCTCGAGTGCTTTGGCGCAACCATGGCTGAGGCCCAAGCTCTCCTCCAGTCTCTCTCCGAGGACTACCAGAAACTTCAGCAAGGTGACGACGTCTCGTTCGCCGAGCACCTCTATCTGTTGCTAAACATAACCCCCAGACCTACAGAACCATGTGGCGGCAAGGCAGAAGCTAGAAGGGCAGAAGCAAGAAAACCTCGGCGTTCAAAAGGTAAAACGTGACCAGCCCCAACGTGCGCCCTGGTTGACTGACGAGACGGCAAGGAGTTTGACAACCTGGGTGACGACGAGACCATCTACAAGCTCGTGGGACCAGTACTGCTTAAGCAAGATAAGGTGGAGGCAGAAAGCACGGTCAAAGGCCGGCTTGACTTTATTGGCGCCGAAGTGTTGGTGAGCCTAATCCCCGGCGTCAGATCTGATGGGCTGACAAGCTGCTGTAGCTCGAGACTGGAGACCCAAGTCACAGAAACGCAGGAGAAGCTCGAACGAAAAAAAGCAGAAATTATCCAAGTACAGGCGAGCGCACAGGGGGCGGCAGTTGGCCAGGGCAAGCAGCCGACTCAATGAAACCGGTTGGGATGGAGGTGTTCAATCTATAAAACCAGGCATTCAAACCCATGCCGTCATGGCCAGGAAAAAGGCGGCCAGGAAAAGCAGAGACGGCCTCGTGGGTGGAGATTTGGAAAGCTTGCGAATCTCTTGCATTTGTCCCAGTAGAGCCATTGGGTGAGGGAGAGTGCCCACGGTGAAGCGAGCGTGGGAGATTTCGAGAGGCCGCACATCTGCCAGCGTGACTGGGAGTTTTCAAGCGACCATTGACCATAGTTGGTAAGAAAATACCTGCAGAATCGACTCAGTGGTGAGTCATATTACAGCCTGACGAGGAGGCACTGTTGTTTGCAAAGCTTCGTGATTTGGCGGGCCAGCACACCTCAGGCGCTGTCCAGTTGGCTCAAGGCTGCCATCAGGGCATGTCGGCGGCCGAAAGTCGGCGGCGGGGTACCTGTACGACCTGACCTGACCTGCCCCTCCATAGCAGCACAGGGCAGCTACACCACGTCACCCCGCCCGCCGCCACCTGCTAGAACTGGTTCCAGCAACGCGTCACAGCATCCGCAACCATTTCATACATCCGTCTGCCTGCCCATCGCGCACCTCGGGCCACAAAAACCGCCATGGGAGTACGAACTACTGGCCATCTCAGCATCATCTCCGCCTGGTCCACCTTATTATGCCCCGAGCCATCGTGAGCGCTTGTCGCGCTGCTAACATTGCCAACCCAACCCCAGTTGACGTCGTCGTCGCAGAGGAAGATGGAGCCTCGCTCCTCGTCGCGGCCGCAGTCGGTCGCCGCCCTGGCTGCCCAGGCCGAAAACTTTAGATTCAACACAAACATCCCCTTCAAGCACTGGACCAGGGCCGCCGAAACCCTTCAGCAAGAGGTACGACCCCCCTTGGCCCTCCTCCCGCCGGTCGTCTCGAGCTGACCGTCGCACCAGGCCTCGTTTGCCCGCTCCGACGGCGACTATGGACGAGCATACATGATGCTGTACCGCCACTCGATATTGGTCCTCAAATGCCTGCCCACGCATCCCCAGTTCAAGGACCCGGAGAGCCGCAGGGCATTCCGACCCTTGTCGAAACGCATCGACGGTGTCCTCGGCGACCTGGAGCGCATCAAGCCCATCCTGGAACAAGAGCATGCCGAGTGGGAGCGCACGTCGTCGGAAGCCGCCCATGCTGCGCGCCAACGCCCGGCTGCCCCCTCTAGCTATGCAGACTTTGCCGCTCGCGACCCGAGCCTCAGTGGCCCTGCAAAAGTGCTCGACGCCTCGGAACATCAGGAGCTGGCCGTCGACTTGGCCCAGCAGGAGCTCGCCCGCAGAGACAAAGCCAGAAGGGCGTCTAGGACCAGCCGCAGCCCCGACTATCAAACCTCCATGACACCGGGACATGGCGAGACGGCTTTCCACGACGGCAGATCCCGAGTTCCCGACGAACATGACCTTCAGAGGCAGATGGAAGCAGCTAGGCGAGCCATGAGTCTCGATGAGCATGCAGACAGCGATCCAGGGAAGTTCCGCGACCACACTCCAGCTCACATGACGACTCCGATCCAGTACAGCTATCCCTCGATAGCCAAGTCTAGGCCGCTCGAGTTCGATGATTCCCAGCGTCAGCAGCGCCCGTCGCCGGTGCCCGGACCGAGCCGGCCACCAAAGGAACGCCTGCTCTCGCCGGATATTCCGGACGTGAAAGATGGCTCGGTTCGTTCTTCCACTTCAAGCCATCAGGGGCCCGCCGTTCCGCGCAAAGTGCACTGGGACGATGGAGCCCCGCTGATTTCGACTCGTCCCTCTGCAGCCACTGACCAGCCTCCTCGACCGCCAAAGGGGCCCTTGGACGGACCGCCGCTCCCAAAGAAAGAGCGGCTTGCGTTCAAACCTGGAGCCTATCTCGAGAACGGCGACCCTATCCGCCCCGTCTTCCTCCCCAGCAAGCTTCGGTCTGCGTTTCTCGAGATTGCTTCCAAAAACACCCGAGCCGGGTTGGAAATGTGCGGGATCCTCTGCGGTACCCCAGTCAACAACGCCCTGTTCGTGCGATGTCTCCTCATTCCCGATCAAAAGTGTACCTCGGACACTTGCGAGACGGAGAACGAAGGTGCCATGTTCGACTACTGCGCGAGCGAGGACTTGCTGGTTCTGGGATGGATCCACACGCACCCAACGCAGACGTGCTTCATGAGCTCTCGCGACCTCCATACACAGGCGGGATACCAGGTCATGATGCCAGAGAGCATCGCCATTGTGTGTGCTCCCAAGTTTAAGCCAGAGTAATTGCTTCCTCGGTTTCCTGGGCGTGACATGCCACAAGCGCTGACCGGTCACAGGTATGGAATATTTCGACTTACCCATCCGCCTGGACTGGACCACATCCTAGATTGCAAGCATCAAGATACCTTTCATCAGCACTCGATTGGCAACATCTATCGCGACACGGAGCAACCACACGGGCACGTCTACGACAGCGATAAATTGCCGTTTTACGTGCATGATTTGCGAACGAAGTAGAGGCATCATGGAGAAAGTAGAGACGACGAACGCCCGAGCTTCCAACCTTGAACTTGGCGACATCCAACGCCTGCAGTGACGGAAAGCTGGACGGCAGAGGGGGAATTGCCCGGTGATGGCTAGCACTGCGAGGGAGGACGGTGTACCCGTACATGCTGGTCTTGGGCTGTTGCTATCTTGACATGACGAAACGAGCTTGGAATGGAAGACGACGCCGGACGCTGGGACGCGGCGGTTAATGGATCTTGGCCATGCCAACCACAGGCCGGGCAGCTCGCGCTTGCTCAGCCCCAGAGCTTGGCGGATGAGCCATGTGAGGGGGCTACGGCTTTGGAAGGGAGGCAATTGGCAGAACCGGGGTGCTATTGAGTGAAGGAGATTAGAGGCCCGATTGAGGCCAACGGAGACGACTCCACCGGCCTCGACACGGTAAATATCCAGCTAAGAGACAGCTTTGTGCGCTCGACGTGAAACGTCGCATCGCCCGGCAGGCGAGTTTGTGTGACTGGTATTTATTTGCGAAGGCTGCTGGAGGTGTATGCATTGACCTGCGCCGTATGGACCCTACCATACATATCGACACTGGCCAAGAGCGATCGATGGACCGGTGGTGATGGCCATGCTGTTTCCAGCTGATTGAGCGAGAAGGGAAGAGCAAAAGAAAAAGAGAAAAGGAGAAGCATTGCTTTGCTGCTGAGACGCGTGTCTTGCTGCATGTCTCAGTAGTGGGCAGGGCGTGGCTGGCTCGACGAGAGTTGAGATGCGGAGTTGCATCTGTGCTACGTGATAGACCCTGCTCCATGTTTGCTTCTCTGAGGTCCGCCGCACAAAGTGGCCTCGCAGGGATTGGCATGACCAATGGAGAGCGCGGTGAATTTAAAGGTAAGACCTGTGTTTTGCCCAGCAGAGACATGTGATGGCGTCGAGATTTCAGCTCTTGCTCTGTTTGGTCAGCTAGTCTCTCGGGACTCGAATGCGACGGCGGGACGGCGATGAAATTCTGCGAGCCCGGCATAGTTTCTGCTCTACCGTATCACTGGCTAGCCGCGGTCAAAGGGTCGTGAAGAGGCTGCGGTACGTGGCCGGCCGTCTGATCTCATTGCTGCCCGGCACCGAGAATGACGGAGACGACATGGCCATGGCCGTGAAGCTCGGTTGGTTAAACAGCTGATGGGTCACTTTGCCGATGCAACTTATTAAGAGCAGGGGGCCGGGGCGGTACCGAGCAACTGTATGTAATAAGAGGACGTACGATATGGAGAGGAAAAAGCAAAGGGGACAAAAGGGACCAGGGACAAGGGAAAAGATGTTGAGCTGCGGCAAACACACGGCATCCCCAACCGCGGAGAGCGAGCCACCTTGTATAGGCACATGATTTCGGCGTCCATGGGTGGTCGAGGGGCTGTAGGCTGGCGCTCACTACAGTACTACACTACCTCTGCTTGTTCTGCCGTCTTCTGTATGTACTGTACAATACCAGAGCAGTCTGCTGCTGTGGGCTCATGGGTGCATATATACTGCAACTACAGTATTATTGCCGGCCCGAGCGAGACGCGGGAGCGAGACGCGGGCTGAAGCGGGGCCCCGGTCCGCCGGCATCGTGCCCCGGCGCCGGAACTGCCCAATCTCGCCAGATGCAGATTACGTCGGCCAGCTACCTCATTCGCCACAGCGAGGTGCTTTCCCCAATCACCGTCTCCCGGCGTGCATACCGTAGCGTGTCCGGCAGCAAAGCTGAACTGCACTTACCGTACATCTCGTCGTGGGAGCCGATGCCACCACCACTTTGCCGCCCTGCCGTCCAGTTGTCCGATTCGCCTCATGCTTTCGCATCCAAGTCCGGGGTAGCACCAGCCGGGGGGGCTCCTGAGAATCCAACGCTGGCAAATTACCTGGTAATTATCCGCGGGCCAGTTCTCGCGCTGAACTGTACTGGTTCCCTGCCGTGCCCTTACACTCACGTCTTTGTCGAGGAATGCGTCGAGCTCGTGTGAATACAACCCAAGGGAGGGTACGAGGGAGACCCCGGCCACAGATCCGAAGCTTGGATCCCGCTAATGTGCCCAACTTGGAAATGATCAGATGCAGGGGCGGCCAGCCCGACATTCCATCATCTGGGGCCCTCACATTGTAGGCCCTATGTATGCATGGGTGCGAGTCTAGGACAAGGCCACGGGAGGAGACAGGCCATTGCATGTATTGCATGTGCGCCTGTAATGCTGCCATACATAAAAGACGGAAGTCCCGCGCCCCCGCGCGTGGAAATACAATACGCGGGTCACGTCACAGACATCGTGAAGGAACAGAAGAACCATGTCGCCAGGAGAAGAGCCCAAGGCCGAGGGAGCTCACAACGGAGCTCACAACGGAGCTCACAACGGAGCTCAAAATGACATCCAGAACGGCGCTCAAACCAACGGAACCGACGGAGCGCAGGTCAATGGGCATCGGCGCCGCTCGTCGAGCGTCAGGAAAGATGGAAAGTCGCCCAAGGCGCCGCGCAAGCCCTCCAAGGGCGAGACGTGGTCTCTGTCGCACTATCGCCAGGCATCGCGCCGGCCACTCCCGACCGAGATGGGCGACGGCTCCTACCGAGTGCTCTTGAAGCGACCGACTCTGGTGCAGGATCTCCGCAGCATCGGATGGGCAGGTATATCGAAGCGTGTGGCCACCCGGCTTGGCCAGACGGCTGACATGTCGAGGCAGACCTCATGACTCTCAAGGACATCGTCAAGGCAAAGCTCAAGGGCGAGACCCAAGCCGACGACAAGACCATGGTCATGGAACGGACGATCCGGCTGGTGGCCACGATGCCGAATCGCTCGACCAGGCAAGAGGTTCTCACAAACGTCTTCATCGACCAGCTGTGGAACTCGCTCGATCACCCGCCGCTGCTGTACATGGGCGATGAGTTTCGCTACCGCCAGCCCGACGGGTCCAACAACGTAGGACCAGCCGTCACCCTCTCTTCCGTCTGTGTTGCTGATCGGCTCTGCAGAACCCCCTCATGCCCACGCTGGGCGCGGCCGGCACGCCCTACTCGCGCACGGTGAAGCCCGGAAAGGCGAACCTGGGCGCTTTGCCCGACCCCGAGACCGTCTACGAGGCCGTCATGGCGCGAGACGGATTCAAGCGGAACCCCAACAACGTGTCGAGCATCCTCTGGTACTGGGCCACCATCATCATCCACGGTGAGTGGGCGAGCATAGTGGCCCCTGAGCTCGGGCGGCGACTGATGTGATGCAGACCTGTTTTCTACCAACAGACAGGACGGAAACCAAAACGACTCTTCCTCCTACCTCGACCTGTCCCCCCTCTACGGAAGCTCCAAGGAAGCCGTCGACTCGATCCGCACCTTCAAGGATGGCATGATGAAGCCCGACACGTTTGCCGACAAGCGCCTGGTTGGCAACCCTCCGGGCGTGTGCATCCTCCTCATCATGCTCAACCGCTTCCACAACCACGTGGCCGGCAACCTGGCGGCCATCAACGAGCACAATAGGTTCCCCAAGCCGGCACGGGGCCTGAGCGACGAGGCCGAGGCGGCGGCGTGGAAAAAGCACGACGAGGATCTGTTCCAGACGGCCCGGCTCATCACGTCGGGCCTGTACATCAACATCACGCTCATCGACTACGTGCGGAACATCATCAACCTCAACCGCGTCGACACGACGTGGACGCTGGATCCGCGGCAGGAGATGGGCGTGGCCGTGGGCACCGCCAAGGGCGCCGAGAGCGGCGTCGGAAACGTCGTGTCGGCCGAGTTCAACCTGTGCTACCGCTGGCACTCGTGCATCTCGGAGATGGACGAGGCCTGGATCCAGGACTTTTACAAGCAGCTGCTCGGCGACAACTACGGCGCCATGGACCTGCAGACGCTGATGGGCGCCGCCCGCAAGTTTGAGACGACGGTTGCCCCTGACCCGGGCCACCGCACCTTTGGCGGCTTCAGTCGCGGGCCCGACGGCCGCTTCAACGACGACGAGCTGGCCGGCTGCATGGCCACGGCCATCGAGCAGCCCGGCGGAGCATTCGGCGCCCGCAACGTGCCGCGCATCATGAAGCCCGTCGAGCTGCTGGGCATCATCCGCGGCCGCAAGTGGAACCTGGCCGGGCTCAACGAGTTCCGCAAGCACTTCGGCCTCAAGGCCTACGCCACCTTTGAGGACATCAACTCGGACCCTGCCGTCGCCGACGCGCTGCGCAACCTGTACCAGCACCCGGACAACGTCGAGCTGTACCCGGGCATCGTCGCCGAGGAGGGCAAGACGCCCATGGTGCCGGGCGTCGGCATCGCCCCGACTTACACCATCTCGCGCGTCGTCCTCTCCGATGCCGTGTCGCTGGTCCGCGGCGACCGCCACTACACGACCGACTACCACCCGGGCTACCTGACCCAGTGGGGGTTCAACGAGGCCAACTACGACCTCGACATCAACCACGGCTGCGTCTTCTACAAGCTCTTCATCCGCGCGTTCCCCAACCACTTCAAGCGCGACTCGGTCTACGCCCACTACCCCATGGTGATCCCGTCCGAGAACCGCAAGATCCTGACCAATCTCGGCCGCGTCCAGCGCTTCAGCTTCGAGCGGCCGCGCTTCGTGCCGCCCTACATCGCCGTCTCGTCGCTGGCGGGCATCACGCACATCCTCGGCACCGCCGAGCGGTATCCCGTCAACTGGAAGGAGGGTCTGGACCAGCTCATGGGCCACGGCGGCCGCGGCAGCGAGAAGGGTGACGACCGGAAACGCCTAGACGCGCTCGTCTACACTCACAGCTGGAAGCCGTCCATCAAGGCCTTTTACTCCATGATTGCCGAGCGGCTGCTGGCGGAAAAATCGCGCAACATGGCCGGCAAGACGCAGTGCGACGTGGTGCGCGACGTCGGGAACCTGGCTCACACGCACTTTGCCGCTCGCATGTTCAACCTTCCCCTCAAGTCCAAGGAGAACCCCAGGGGCGTCTTCTCGGAGCAGGAGCTCTACACGGCGCTGACGACGCTGTTCATGACCGTCTTCCACGACCTCGACCCCGTCAAGTCGTTCTCGCTCAGGCAAACGGCCAAGGAGCTGGCCTCGCAGCTGGGAAGCATCGTCGAGACCAATGTCAAGATTAGCACCATGCTCGGCACGACCGGCCTGTTCACGGGCAAGCCCAAGGATAACACGCTGGCCGCCTACGGAGTCAACCTGATCAAGGGGCTCTCCAAGGCAGGACTCAAGGCGCACGACATTGCGTGGGGGCAGATTCTCCCAACAGCGGGCGCCTTGGTGCCAAGCGAAGCTCAATTGGTGGGTGCTGACCTCTCATATTGTCTCGAATACGCTTCGAGTTGCAGAAGAACAATGTTTCAGTTACTGACCCTTCCATCACATAGTTTGCTCAAGCCGTCGACTTCTACCTGTCGCCTCAAGGACAGCCGTACGTTGACGATATCTATCGCCTGGCCGCCCAGGGGACGAGCGACGATGCCGACGCCTTGCTGCTCGGATACGCCCTCGAGGGCATCCGCCTGTCCGGGCCGCCCGGCTTCTGCCGCAAGGCCTCGGAAGCCGACTCGTTCGCCGAGGAGGACGGCCGCCAAGTCGTGATCCGGCCGGGCGACCGCGTCTACGTCTCGTTTGACACTGCCGCCCGCGACAAAATACACTTCCCCAACGCCGACATGGTCAATCCGCGACGGCCCATCGACTCGTACGTCCACTACGGCGCCGAGCCGCTCGCGAGCCTCGGCAAGGACGTCAGCCAGGTGGCCCTGGTCGAGCTGTTCAGAGCCCTGTTCCGGAAGAAGGGCCTGAGGAGAGTCCCCGGGCCCCAGGGGACGCTGAAGAAGGTGCCGGGGCCGGGAGGGTATGGGACGTTCTTGACGGAGGATTGGGGGGACTTTTGGCCGTTTCCCACTTCTATGAAGGTGATGTGGGACGACTGAGAAACCGGCCGTGGGATCCGGTGTCGGATGTAAGCGGTTGCCTACGTGTAGTGCTTTGTAACGAGTCGTTGCCTGTGCTCTCTCCCCAAGCGTGTTCGTATATTCAAGGGGATTTACTCGGCATGTTTTGGGTCCGTTGTTGCGTAACTGGTTGAGACCCATCTCAGCGGATTACTTCGTCCATTCTCATACGGGAGCTATACTGCGAAGAGGATATTGCTCCCAGAAATGCATTGTGATCCCTGAATCGCTACATAGATCGTGTTGGCCGCCTACCTAATGCGTGGCAACGTAATTACATGGTCCAGCCTGAGCTCATCTCCCCTACTTGCCTCCAACAGACTTGCAGAGCTTCTGGGTAGCCTCGATTACTTTGCCTAAAGGGCCGTTTGTTAGTATGATGCGTTGCTTTCGACTGCAAGTCCATCTCAGCCGACACGAGGCGCGATGTCATCTTACCTGTCTCGGCACCACACCTCGTAATGACGCAGCTGGTCGCGTCGTCGCGAATCTTGGAGAAGTTTTCGGGCTTGCAGACACAACGCAGGTCCGTTGTCTGGCAGGAAGTCTTCTTCTTAACGGAGGCCTCAAGGCAAGGGACGGCGCAGGCGGGTATGTCTTTGAGGCTTTGAGCCTGCACGGCGGCGGCAAAGACAAGAGCGACGACAGAGAGCTTCATGTTGGGTGGTGGGGGAATAGGCGTGAGCTGAAGGTTCGACAAGGACTGTAAGTATATGCGACCGATATATGGGGCTTGGAGGGAGCTCGAGAAAGATGAAGAGCGGCAGCTGAGGCTTTTGTACTGGGAAGCATCATGGAATGGGCCCTCTGATCAACAGCCGGGGCCGCGTGACGTTGAACATGGTCATGGATACAGTAATGTCAGTAGCATGATCAACGCCCCTATTGCAGTGTGACTAGAGAGACGAACGGCTTGAGCAATCCATTGGAAGACTTGGAAGCCACGTTGAGCGCCGAGTACAACGGACTGAGTCGGACTCAACCCCCTGGTCTTGTTGACGGACATACTTCTCGTATGGGAAGCTCGAAGCCACGTATGACATACATTTATGACCTTGGTGGCTTCAATCCGAAGGCGCCTCCACCCAAGAATTACTTCCGCAAAGGCCAATCGTGAACTGAGAGAGCTGGCGTTGCGACGAGCAGACCGGTTCATGCCGGCACAGGCCAAATCGGTCTGCACCATTTGTTCGGCGAAGCCACCGCGGATTGCATTAGCCTCGCTCCATGGAACAGATGTAGTATGGGTACGAAACGACGTAGCATTTGGGTCTCAAAAGTCCTCCCCAGATGCAGTCGGCCTGGCGGGTGTCGATATGGGATAAGCCCCGTAGACGGGTTGTCTGAATCGACTCCGGAATCGCCTCAACATGCCGTATTAAGCACATGATCCGCGGAAGCCGTGTGGACGGAACAAAGGGCTGCTGTGCCTGACGTGGTGCCGGCCGACGGGCCACTGACGCGTTGATTCAAGCCATCCTTCCCTCGCTCTTGGTTGGACGCGAGGGTATGGTTACGTCTCATCGGGGACCACGGTGTGCACCTCAACGATTGGCGTCGGGCCTTTCTATTTGCGATCTGACGTTTGTTCCGAGGTCACGGCCGCATGGTTCGGCCACATGCAGCCATCGAGGCATGTGCAGTGACGCAGATGGGCCACCGCCTGTAAGCCACCGCATGTAGTCCATCGCCGGCCCATGACCTAACAGGAAGGCATTGCGGCGGAATGGATGCACTGCAACTCCTCGCTTCCCCTTTCGTTTCCGGAGCGGACATGTCCTGCCCTCTGAGGCGCGCATGGAGCTCTGGAGGAGTTGGCACTACCTACGTGTCCATGCCCCGAGACTCATGTGAAAGTCCCGGGGCTTCACCGTGCCCCTGCTGCTATTGGAGCCAGCCGATTGGCGTCCTGCCAAAGCCCCGGATCGGCGCATGCCGCGCTTTCTGGGGAGCGAGGGGCCGAAAACAAGCACCGACAGCCCTCTCTCCGCTTCTCCGCTCCCCATCTCCCGCCTCATCCCGTCCTTTACCTACCCAGGGCCCTCTTCCGCAACGACTCTCCCCTCAATACCACCACTCTCTTCTACTGCGGGGTTGATTGATGCCAAAGTGCAATAGAGTTGGCACATGACCGTGGCATGACCACTGCCAGTGTCGTGGAACCGTCAGCGAGCTCTACGGCATTGAGTTTGAGACATTCGTGACGGGGCTCGGGTGCATCAGATACAACTCATACGAATCTCGTAGAACGAGCATGCATGTTAATTTAAAACCACGTGTTATATAGCGAGGCAAGCTGGATATACAACTCTTGGTAGTGGGATGGACGTCTTGGCCCAGGGGTAAGGCGGAAGGCACATGTCCATACTCCATAGATACTACGGGCCGGTAATCTTGTAAATCATCACGTCCACTCCAAGCTCTGTGCAGCGCAGATGCTCGTCCTCCTGGTGCTTCGAGACTATATGTAGGGGGCGGGTCTCTTGCCATGCCATGATGAGGTTCGCGATGCAGAGGCCTGGCACTCCGGCTGAAGCCGCAATGAGCCGCCTCAGCCATAACGAACACCGGCAGCGCCCTCCTTGAACCAGTCATCCGCGACCAGCGACTCCTCCGTCGACGCGTAGTTGATGATGATGCTCTTGGTCGTCGTGTAAGCGTGATAGGCATCCAGCCCGTTCTCGCTGCCGACGCCGCTGGCGCTCGTCGCACCGCCCCACGGGCTGCTTGGATCGTTGCGGTGGTGCGTGTTGACCCAGACAATGCCGGTGTCAATCTGCTCCGACACCCTAAATGCCTGGCTGAGGTCCTGGGTCCAAATTGCGGCGCCGAGGCCAAAGTCGCTGTTGTTGGCCAGCTCTACTGCCTCGGCGTCGGAGTCGAAACCTACCAGGACAATGACAGGGCCGAATGCCTCTTCTCGCCAGAGTCTGGTGGCGGTGATGCTGCGCCCGGAGGCCGATGCTATCACGGTCGGCGGGTAAAAGTAGCCCTGGGACAAGTCGGTCCTGTCGAGGGACGAAAGGCCGTCCATTCGCCGTCCGCCGCAGACCAGTCTTGCCGCGCCGCCGGAGAGGGTCTCGCCCACCAGCGTCTCGACGTTCTGAAGCTGCCGGGACGATATCAGGGGCCCCATGGACGACTCTGGATGTGAAGGCGAGCCAATGCGTCGAGCAATAGATTCGCTCTTGGCCCTCAGCTTCTCCTCGAGCTCAGGAAGCACGGCGCTGTGCACAATGATTCGCGTTGCAGCCACGCAGGTCTGACCTGACGCGACAAAGGAGCCAAACGCGATGCCGTTGACGGCTGCATCGATGCACGCCTTGTCAAACACCACCAAGGGCGCCTTGCCACCCAACTCAGCCGTGTAGCGGGCCAGGTTTCCTCCAACGATGCATCCGATGGCCCGTCCCGCAGCCGTCCCTCCCGTCACGTCGACTTTGCGCACAAGGGGATGACTGACGAGGGCCGTACCGGTGACGGAGCCGAGGCCGGGAAGCACGCTGAAGACGCCGTCCGGCAGGCCGGCGCTCTTGAGCAGCGGGCCCAGCAGCAGGCTGGTGATGGGGGTAAGCTCGCTCGGCTTCAGCAAGATGCTGTTGCCGGCTGCCAGGGCAGGGGCCAGCTTCTTGACGGCGATGAGGAGCGGGTGGTTGAAGGGCGTGATCTGGACGACGACGCCGAGAGGCACGCGCTCAAGCCAGTTGTGAAGCTTCCCCGCAGTGGGCAGGACGGGCCTTTGCTCGGTGCGAAGAAGGGCGGCGTAGTATCGGAACCAGCGGAGCAGAGAAGGAACCTGAGCCTTCATCTCTCGGATCGCCCTGCCCGTCTGGCGGACCTCGAGCTCAATGAGCTGCGGCAGCTCGAGCGACAAGAGCTCGGCTGCCTTGTCCAAGACGTCGGCGCGGAAGTGGCGAGGTGCCTTGGACCAGGCTCCGGACCGGAAGGCCTCGTGTGCGAACTGGACGGCGGCCTCGACATCGGACGGGGAAGCAGAATGACACCTGCGAGTTCAAAGAAAGCGGCCCGGAAGGGAGAGTTTAGCAAGGCGGGCTGGTTCGGTTTTCGAACTGCTCTTGCGGGGCCACTTGGACGTACTCGGCGAAGACACGGCCGGTTGCTGGGTCTTGAACGGAAATGCTGTTTATAAAGAAGGGCCATCAAGTCTCAGCAAGGGCGTGCTGCTCGTACAGCCAAAGCCGTGCTGGGGCGGCAAGGGGTTCAATGGGCCGGCGCACACTTCACCGTTGCCCGGCGTCTCGCGGCCGCCGATCCAGAGCGAGTAGGTGTCGTGGCCCGTCATGGCACCGGATTTGCGTATTGGCTTTGATTATCTGCGCCGTCTGTCGCGTGCGGGTTCGTGGTTGCGGAAACGGCCAGTTGAGGTCATCAAACGACATGCCGAGGAGTGAGGAGAGACACAGGCCTTGCATGCACACGAGAACGAAGCCATTGCCCATCCGTGATTACCCCGCAGCACGGCGGGTGTCGCGTGTCACTGCAGAGATGCCGAGCTGCCGCGGCTCCCTCTTGAGGTTGGTCGTTGATGCAACCCCGTTGACCCGAAGCACTGTCGAGAGTTCGCCTGCTACCACTCACCAGCACCGTGATGGGGAATGTCAGCCCGAGCTGCATTTGCTTGTTTACCTGTGCCTTTTCTCCCCGCCGTCTTATATAAGAGAGACCGAGATGAAGAGCCCAAGCGTGACTGCTTGAATGCTCAATAAGCCATCCGCTGATCAGCCCGAGCATGTTCACCGGGCTTTGCCTGCTACGGCGTGAGGTTGCACAACTGGTATCGACAGTCTACTGTCACGCTGTATTGTGTTGGCCAGAAGCAGATGGCAAGGTGAATTTCAGTGTCCTTGAATGAACAAGGGGAATGTTTGAGTAACTGTCATGAATGCTCTGAAGAAATGCCAAAGAGGCAGTTGAAGACCGGAAATTCAACATTCAATCAGGAAACAGTTTCTCAGTAGAGGTAATGTGTCCATCCATCTCTCTCAAGGTAGCTCTGTTACTCTGTCGATGTTTGTGCAAGTCTGGTCGGATTTTGAATTTACTTGTTCCATTAAATATGTGCTATTTGTTCATGCTCCCGCCCGCGAGGCATTGGAAACACTCAGAAGAGCTGAAACATTGAAGACTCCCGAGTTATCGTGTCCGTGATAACCACCAAACTCCATGTCCATGCCCTATATGTAGTAACGAATGGAAAGACCGCTGGGCAACATTCACTGTCGTATGCCGGCTCATAATCGCATCGAGATGCCATTCTTGGCCCAAAAATCACACCTCTTGTTCAGCGCATCGCCAAACGGCTCCATCTCAGCCTTGCCCCCGGTCTGGAAGACGAGTCGTGCCTGCGTCCCCTTGGACCACGGCTCCCATTTCGCAGTCTGGTTGCGGTCGGGGCTTCCTGAGCCGCCCTTGTTCGGATCATAGGTCCGGATAAAGTTGGTCCAGTATCGCTGTATGACGGGCGATGCCTCTTCGTTCCTGCCACCCTTCTTATAGCTCTTTGGCGGCTTGGGCGAATACTCGGGCCCCCAAAGGGCGTTGAGTTCGACCGTGTGCGGCACGCCGAGGCCCTGTTTCACCTGCTCAGGATCCTCCACGTTCCACCGATAGGCGAACGAGTTGTTGACGCCGGCGCCGGCCAGCGCCGAGGTGAAGGCACGGGACGGGCACATGTAGCGCGCCTCGCCGTAGACGTTGCTGACCTGCCTCCAGTAGCAGCCCTTGCTGGGACAGGTGTTATTCGGGTTTGGATACAGCTCGTTGATTTCGCTGAGCTGATCCAGGTTCATGAAGGGGTACTGGTCCAAGATGTACTGGTTGCTCTCGGCCAGCGTCGACGTGTTCTCGGGGGTGAACTGTGTGCCTCCGTTGCTGTCGTCTCCGAAAATGGCCGGCATCCTGGCAAACTTGCCCTGCTCTAGGAGCCGGTAGGTGTAGTCGGGTACCAGGTCGCCGTCGATGACGGGCACGTACATGTAGTTGGGGGCCGAGGCGGCGCCGGGGAGCGGGATATTGATGTTTTGCGCCTGCATTTCCGCGGCCGTCTTGTTCCGGAGGCAGCCGAGACTATCGCGGCCGACGCAACCGAGGCGTGTCGCTAGGTGACGGTACTGGTAGGCAGACGCGGACACTGTGAGCATCGTGGCAAACGAGGGCGACTCGGCAATGGCGCCGTGGAACAGCTTCTGCCCCGTCCCGTTGTTGGACGTCATGTGCAAGACGACGCTCTCGGCGCCGGCGCTGGACCCGCCGAGCACGACGTGCTTGGGGTCGCCCCCGAACTTGGAAATGTGCTTCTGCACCCACTCCATGACTTTGAGCTGGTCTCGGAGGCCGTTGTTGGCCGAGATATGCTTGCCGTCGGTGAGAAAGCCGTAGGGTCCGACGCGGTAGTTGAAGCTGACGACGACCATGCTGAAGTCGCTCGCCTTGATGAGCCCCGAGGCATTGATGTTGGGGTTGGAGTTGGTGCTGAAGCCTCCTCCCTGGACGTAGAGGAATACGGGCAGCTTTGAGTTGGGTGTGGCCTTTGTAGGAGCCTGCACATCCAAGAAGAGGCAGTCCTCGGATGTCTTTTTGCTCTTTGGGTTCGCCATAGTTGCCAAACAATACTTGCCATGCTACGAAGCTTGTCAGTGAGCGAACAAAGGAATGGGGCGTCGGGGCCAATCTTCCTCGAAGCCACGCAAGTTTTGTCGTTTAGCTTACCTTGTCTGCCCTTTGCAACCCACTCGTATGGGGGGGATCCTGGGGCGGCATGAACCTCAAGCTGCCCACGGGCGGCGCTGCGAACCGTATGCCGAGCCATTGGCTGATGCCGTTTTCCAGCGAGATGCCCTTGTACTTGCTGTACGAAAGGTCCACCGTCGTATTGACGGCTGCTGCGGTGGGCAGCAGCAGTGCCGCTGCGACGATGGAAGCGTTTTGAAGCTTCATGGCTGCGTAGGCGTACGCTTCGACTACGACTGGGGATAAGAGGGCTGCTCAGGTCACAACATTGACCGAAGGATAAAATATACACATATACGGCTAGAGCAGAGAAGCTTGGCCAGAGAAGAAGCAAAAAAGGCCGTGTCCCTGATTCATATTTATTCGCAGCAGACGTCAGCCTGTGCGCAGGGTGCAACTCCGAATGGGTGACACCGGCATCTCCGCGCCGAGGGCCCCCACGGTTTGTGAACCGAAGTGTAGGAGGGCTACTGCGCCATGATGACTACCTACATGCAACATGCATCATGGAGATGTGCGAGGGGAGTGGGAGCGTCAAATCACATCACCCACGGCGGCGCCGACTCGTAGCCCCGGACAGGCCCGGCCGATGTGGGCCGGCTCCACCTCTCCCTCCGGCGGCCTGCTAATTATCGCCGGTTGGATTCCCGGGTGTCCATTGTGGTGACAGACTGCCTTTGACGCTGAATTTGGCATGGCGGACACGCCATTATCTGTCAATGAAGGGCTTCTGTGTATGCCCTTGTCGCTGAGAACACACGGACCGAGACAGGCGAATTCTGATGCCACGGCTCAGCTGCTGAAGCAAACACATTTTGAGACTTTTTATTTCCCTCTCTTTCCAAAACCTTGATCCAGGGGAGAGCAGCCGCAGTGTCTTACGGGAAGGATACTGGGGAAGTACACGAGGCAGGATCCGAGACATGTCAGGAGGGACACGGCTCGCATTGTCGGCACGTGGGAAAGAAAACCCGATGGATACATTTGTGAAATTATCCTGGAAACTCGTTCGACATAATTTTCAAAGCTCCCTGCTGCAGGCCAGCCGGTACTCCAGATCGGATAGGGTTTAACTCGAGCAGCGTTTGCCACATAATGGCCATGACGCCACGCCATCTCTCCAAGTTCGCCCCTTTACGGTTTGGCCGGCCCTTGAAGCGCCACATGCCCCACGAGAGAATCCAACTAGGATGAAATGGGAATAGGGACACGCGAGAATTGTCTTCTTATTTGCCAACAGTTGACCCCTTACCGTCGAGTGGCTGGCCAACAAGCGCTTCGGTTCCTTGAATTCTAACTTCCATGGTTGGGATTGCACTCGACGCGAAACACGGACATATATACAGATATACACATATATATCTATTAATTGGTATTCGGATAGGCGAAGCGGTAGGGCAGAATCAGAGTCAAGCCACCACATTTGCGGGGGAGCATCGTGGACTACCATGCCCCACCCCCCTTTCGGTAACACCCACCTTTCGGTAGCGCATTAGGAAATATCCCCACCAAAACCCATCAATTTCACTTACACCGATTCCAGCCAGCTTTGAAGATATTCACAAGCCGTCACTTGGAGTAGATAGAGGATTGATTGAATTCTACTTTTCGATGGTTGAATGTTTGTACAGGGGTCTGTGGCCTGTGCGTACCTTGCACGCGAAATTACCATCCAACCCCCTAATCTCCTTCCGCCTCCTGACGATGATTCTTCTCGTTATTCCTCCACCACATGACCAAAATGACCTTAAAGCGGCCTCGGAGTATTTATACGGAGGATATTATGGCTAATGCGATAATTGATGTCACAAAAAACGGCTTGTCGCAGTACCGCGCCGCCCAAAAGTATGACATACCTCAGCAGTCTATTTCCGACAGACTCAAAGGCCAGGTAGCCCTGGCTGATCAGATCCAGCCTCGTCAACTCTTGAGTAAGTCTCAGGAAGCTCGCTTGGTTTCTTGGATCCTCCGCCAAGAGTCTCTCGGCTATGCTCCCTCCCACAGTCAGATCCGCGCATGTGTGGAGGCTCTTATGAAGCAACTGAACAACGAGCGGACAGTGGGGCGCAACTGGGTCTCTAAATTCATCAATCGCCATCCGGACATCAAGAACAAGCGTGGAGACGTCAGGAAGCTAACCGATTTAATGCTTTTACGCCTCGTGCGGTTCACTGGTTCTTCGATATCAGGAAAAGGAGTATGGATGGATTAAACCAGAAAATACCGTGAATGTTGACGAAGGCGGTATTATGTCTGGCTTTGGTGAGTATTTGGCTTGTCTTTCATTACTTTTACTAACCAGACTCTTTTTGCCAGGTTTGGATAGTCTTGTGGTTGGGAGTGCAGACCCAAAACGGAAGGCCCTTCTGAAAGGGCCACAGTCCCGCAACTGGACCTCATTTATTGAAGCTATCACCGCGGACGGCCGTGTCCTTACCTTGGCATTATCTTTAAGGGCAAAGAACTTCAGAAACAGTGGTTCTTGACGGAATTCGGCAAAATAGCCGACTGGCATTACATAACGTCGCCCAACGGATGGACGGACAACCATATCGCTATTGAGTGGCTTGAGAGGGTCTATTTGCCCCAGACGCGACCAGCCGATGCCTCAGATGCTAGACTGATCATATTAGATGGACATGGAAGTCATGCAACGGTGCGTTTCTTTATCCACCTCTGTAGGAATTACCGTTAACCGGGACCAGGATGCATGGATGGCCACATGCTTTTGAACAACGTTTATTGCTGTTACCTTCCTGCCCACTGCTCTCATGGCCTCCAGCCGTTAGATAACGGTGTATTCAATGCCTCCAAGGCAGCTTACCGGAAAGAACTTCAGAAATTGACCTGTTTGACCGATTCTGCGCCTGTTCATAAGGTCAATTTTATACGGGCATATGCTAAAGCGCGCGAGGTTGGAATGACGGCAAAGAATATATTGTCCGGCTGGAGGGTCACTGGGAATTGGCCGATCTCACGATCCAAGGCATTGCGGCATCCAGAAATTCACGCGGACATTGTAGAGACGTCTCCAAAGTCCGCGCCATTTTTGGGTTCTGATGATACGCCAAGAAACAGCCGCCAGATTCGCGATTTCGGAAAGAACAAGACTCCTGGCACCCGGAGACGATACGCCGTGATAGCTAGAGGCTTTGAAGCCCAAGAACAGACGCTTGCCGAGCACAGCAACAGAATCGCGAAGCTAGAGGAAGAAGTGGCCCGGCTGCAGAGAGGCAAGAAGAGGAGAGCAATTCCGAACCGGAACAGACGGTTCATGACTCTCAGTGAAGCTTTGGTGGCTGAGGAAGCCATTCCCCAAATTAAAAGCCAAGAGATAGCCGTTGTGCTGAATTCTGACACAGAGGAGGAGGCGGTCTCAGAGGTGGAGACAGCTTCAGTGATCGAAGTCAAGGTGGCACCCGAAGCCCTTCCAGTCACCACCAGATCCGGGCGAATGGTAAAAAAAGCGCCGGTACATATAAGAGCGTCCATTTCTCTACGGAATGATATAATTTTTGTGTTTATAATGTTAAGTTCTGATCATATTTCATGTAGTTCAAATGGTAGACTTTTGGTGGAGAATTTTTCAATTGCGCTACCGAAAGGTGGGTGTTACCGAAAGGGGGGTGGGGCATGGTAATTCGTTAGGCCAAGAAAAGCCACCAAATCTGCCGACGTCACCTGGACCCATTCCAAGGCTAAGAGGGCCAAGAAAAGCCTCGGATGCGAGGCCACCGCGGAGCTACGTGTGGCGAGCGAAATGAGGCCTTCTCTCCCAGCGTCTCTTTGCTGTCCTGTACCCAAACCACCACGAAAAGATACAAGAAGCTTCCACATGAGTGCCTTTCTTTGCGTGCTAACAATAGCTATGCCACTGGGTCCGATCTGACAGAACGACTTCCTGAACGAGCGAGGGAGAAAGATGGTTCTAACCTTTGGTAGTCGAGTCCAGTACAGATGATACTCTCGTCTTCGGGCATGCCTTATTTTCTCCACACCATGGTCATCTAGAGCAAGACGTGCAGTGCAAGAAACTATCGTCACTGAGAGCCGAGGATAAGTGAATTGAATTATTGATGGCAAAGCTCGAGCGACATGTGCGCGCAGCCGGGCCCCCGGTGGATGATCGCTCAATGGCTTCAAATAGCCACAACTCAACAAGAAGCCAAGTTCGGTGAAAGTCTTGTGTCCTCACGGCTATCTCCTCCTAGAGAAACAATACTTTGCCAAAGCATTCCGTAATGTGAAAGCTGGCCTTTAGGGGCGAGCTCCACGCCCCGAGCTCCTGGTTAGGGTATGTCGTCGGACTCACGACTGTCCTGAAAAAGTTCATCCTCCATTTTGTCCCCCTGGCCGCGCCTTTATTCACGTTGAAGAGGCCGAGGGGGATCTTGACGTTGCTTTTCCAAATATTTCCCGTCCGGTTGAGCTCTGTAACGGCACTGAATCCGTCCTTGGCCGGGTCCGTGACGAAGAAATGGTCAAATGGGGCATTGGCTGAGCGATCCTTGGACGGGTTGTAGACGAAAGCCTGGTACGTGACGTTGTTGGGGCTCACTTCAAACTCGAGGTAGGTCTGTGGGTCACCGGTACCCATGTGGATAAATGCCTCCATGACCTCATACGCCCATATATCGTCATTGGTGCCATGGGACTCGTTGAAGTAGAAGTTGACCTCGTCGTACGCAGTGAACCGCACCTCGAGATGCTCGTTCGTGTAGCAGAGGTCGACCTGTGTTCGGGGAAAGGGCTTGCGATCCGGCACCGACTGGGCAAAGTCGAGGGTGCCGACGCGAGGGCATGCCAGAGCATGAACGCTTGGCTGTTTGGAGGCACAGGTAGCGGCAGCAAGGCCAGCGGCCATGCTGGCAAGCCAGACGAAGCGGCCCATCTCTCAACGCTTAAAAGGGTTGCTGGCTAGGCTCTGTCAGGGTCGTGCGTACGTGCGACGAGCAAGGCGTGGCCTCTGGCGACGAACAGCCCCCCTTTATCTGTTTTATAGACCTCATACTCGTCGCTTTTCTTGGCGGAAGGGGCCGGACAAGATGACGGGGCGGGGGAAGAGCAGAGTGCGCAGGATGAGTTTGATGTGACGTTACCAGACTGAGGTATGTGTGGGCTGATGCAGTGAGGAACGATGATAGGTAGATGGAAGCCAATGGAGATGACATTAGGTAAATAAGCTCGATGAGATGGATTACCAGCTCCCCATTTACCGGCAATCACTGCTATGCCCCGCGTCGTGATCCATAATGCGGCTGAGTGTGTGTGAACCTGGAAAGACGACGTTTCATGTCCGGCCTGTCGTCACTTGTGTCCGGTCTCACGGTCTTCATGCTCTTGAGATGCGGGCGGGAAAAGGAGGGATTTTACATCAGCACTTGTGGAGATGGGATGTCAGCGATGTCATGCCTTGGAACGTGTCTCGATACGATACAAATGGGGGACCAGCACTGAAGCTTGCTTCAAGGTAAACGTCGCTTAGCATTGCAGCAAACGTTCGTTGATCAAGATTCTGGGGATGTCATGTCAACTCAGACCATACCAAAGTCTGCTTGTCGTTCACGGTTGCCCTATATGGTCATTCTTCCCCTCCATGAATTCCCATCTTTTACTCTGATCAAGCGCATTAACAAAGCTCCTCGGCCGCAGAAAGGGCCTTTACTACGAGTCCCTCCAAGGTGCCCGACTCCTCGATGCCCACGCTGATGCGGACGAGGTGCTCGACCACGCCGTATTTGGCAGCCCATTCGAGCTCCGAATAGTGAGCGAGTAAGGTATACGCGCAACAGAGCGTAAAGTTCGTCCCCAGGCTCGGACCCTTGGCCACATCCAGGGCATCATGAAAGGCTATTGCCGCCGCCGGCTTCACGAACCGGATCGACAGCAGGTATCCGTACTCGCCTCTGGCTCGCTTATACCGGTCGTAAAGGTGCTGTGTCGGGCTGCCCTTGGGGTAGAAGACATTCTCGACAGCTCGATGCCCGCGCAACCGCTCTGCGATACGCTCTGCGTTCCGGCTCGCCGAAAGGACGCGGCTCGAGAAATCTGCACTATTCTTGTCCATGACAACCACATCGAGGGGAAAGTACGTGTCCAGGTAGGCATTGGAAAACGTCGTGCGCAGCTTCTCGTGATGCCTCGACTGCGGGCTCAGCACCGCACTGCCGCCCATGACATTGCAGGCTCCGCTGAACATCTTGGTCAAGCTCGTGCAGAGGACGTCGCACAGCGGCGCCAGGTTCAAGTTGACCGAGGTCCCGATGGTATCGTCGACTACCACGAGGAAGCCATACTTCTTGGCTAAAGCGTACAGGCGGTCGAGGTCCAACGAGCCGAGCAGGGGATTTCCGGGAAACTCTGTATAGAGTGCATCAAAATGCACGCCAGACTGTAGGTCTTTCTCGAGCGTATCCATGTCAGAGGATGAGGCGTGGCCATACAGCACGCAGTCGAAGCCATGGACTTTGCTGAGGACCTTGAAGGTATCGACGTACAGGAACCTATGAATTGAAGTGATCAGTCGGGGTAGGTGAGGGCATCGTGATGCATGCCCCTTTCTCTGGGAGTCAACCTGGGCATGTGGCTGGAACCTACCCAAACACGGCTACTCGATATCTTTCGGACGCATGGCTACCGAGACTTTGCAAAGCCAATGCCGTGTGGGCCATGGCGGACATGCCCGTGGGATAGAGGTACACATCACTTACACCCACATTATTGGGCGCCGTGGAATAAAGGCCTGCGATGCGCTGGCGAAGAGAGATGGCTGCACTTTGTGCATCCTCTATGGGCAGTGTCTCGGTCTTACCGCCGTCACCGGCTTCATCGCCCTGCTGTCGAAGAAATGGCGCGTTCTTTAACCAAAAGGCAGCGAATCGACTCGAGATACCGAAGCCGGTATGCTGCCAGAACGCCTTTGCCTCGGGCCCCAATTGGTCGGGATACATGGCCACGAAGACGTCCTGGCCAGGGCTTGGAGGGCATGTCATTGAACTGTCAATTCCCGTTGCCCGGCCGTCGAAGCTGACATGAATGACCGCAATCGGCCCATGCTCGCGGACGTTGTTCTCGTCACGTTTCTCCAAGTATCGTTGGCAAGCCTCGGCCATTCTTTGGCTCGGAAACAGCATTGCGGCCTGACCACCAGCGACGTGCCCCTGTTTGCCAGAACCACGGAGAGGAGTCGCCGCAGCCCATTTGAGTAAGTTGTCTGCCAGATCCCGGACGATATGGGGCACATAGAACCGGGGATACCCAGCCTGAAGCCGTGAAAGCACGCCTGGGTCTCGGCTAGCCCAGCCCACTGTGTCGCTCCATTTCGGAAGCGATACGCTGACAGCCTTTGCGGAAAGAGTCAGCGAGCGAGATTACGGGCTGGGTCCGTCTAGATGTTGGTAGTGATTAGTGATTCTTACATGGTCGTCTCCTGGCGGGAGAGGCTCCCCCAGCTTGGTGCTCATGGTGCTGGAGAGAGCGCGGCTGGACGGTCACGCCACAGTACTCTGACGCGAACAATGGTTGGTCTGCCGATATTCAGTCGTCAGCGAGACGCACCATTTGGCAAGCCGCCGTGGGTGGGTGGGTTACTCGGGGTGGTGACGGCGCAGGATTTGCCGCTGCTCGCTACATCAAGAGGGGCGGGAGGAGAAGAGACGGCTCGCGCACGATAACAACGTGGCCGAACTGATGTATTATACTTTCTTCTTCTTGGGCCAAGGTGAGATGCGGAGTACTCCGTCAAAGTTACGATGACAAGGGTCCTTGACTCCGCACATCAGCCCAACTCCCCTCGGATTCGAATCGACACGCCGCCAAGCTGCAAGGAGCTGCTGCAGCTGTATGCACACAGCGTTGGAAGGTCTTTCCGGAGCAGAGATACGTGGATAGCGGTCCGGGCATAGTGAGTCGCATGCGTATACGAAGTAACACCAATTTACGTAAAAGCAGCACCGCAGCCAAGAAGAAAGGAGGGAATGAGATACCTGGGTAGACAGCGTTTCTGCTTGGTCTGAATGCTTGATGCCTACGGAGTAACTTAGTTCGTTGATTATTAAGAATAGGTGCAGGAATGGCCAACAGACAGTCGTACCGGGGGTCATCGAGTGTTTGTATTATTTGAGAAACGCATGTCGGTCGTTTATAAAGTTTATAATGGATCTTTATAAAGGGAGGACCTTACGGCCGGGGGATGTGTATTACCCTTAAAGATGGTGACAATACGGTAACCACAAACTGCGCACAATGAAGACTCTTAGAGCTGTTTATTACACCCACGGGCAATGTACCCATGCCTGCACTTATACATACCCGTGGTGCACGTTGCCTAGGGGCGCCAAGCTTCCCTTATATTTGTCGTTTTACCCGCTTCTTTACATCTCGCCGTTGCTTGGCACGCTCCTCTTCTCTTCTCGATGTCAATTAACCCACTCTTTTTCTGGGCTTTTGTGGGTGCTTAGGGTGGTGGTTTTGTCGCCGCAATCGTTGCTGACTTTGACAGCTGTAATTTATAGGCGCGATAAACCCTCCCCTGGTTGAAAGGAAAAAAGGTATGCTACCATAAATCCACTCGGATATTTGGCGGCAAGAGTGCGGTTGGCGAGCCTTGAGCATATGGGAAGGAAACTCCACTTGCCGGTGTGATGAGACTCAGTCTATTGGTTTCAACGGCGAAAGACACCCGTTGTCAAGAGGCTGTAGATTTACAAGTAGAGCAGACTATGTTAATACAATAAATAAATTACACGGGAGCATCTCGGGAAGACCAAGCCAGCACTCGGGAAAATGGCCTCGGGTTGCTCGTTTACGATAGGAGGAGATGAAAATAGTAGGAGTTGAATCATGTTTTTAAATAAAATACTTCGAACACCCGTTAAGTTGCCAATGCAAGGGGCTTAACGGCTGAATATCCAGCCCGAAGGGTGAATATCGTATACCTGCACTCGACTTTCTTAAGGGGTACCCACTAGAACCCCCCTTCCGCCTTCAGCGGCTAACCAGCCGTTCGAACTACTTCCTGGCAGGCCCAGTCTAACTATAACCCTATATCGTACCCCCTTCCTGTAGCTTGTAGGAAGACGACGTTTAGTCACGGTAGAGTGGTGGATACAGTGGATCGCTCAGCTGTTGACCCTGACGCCGTTGTTGGTCAGCGAGGCGCATCTTCATCCCTGTCTCATAGTTAGCCGTGAATGCAGTACGTAGGAAACGCAGGCGTATAACCTTCCGTCGGCGTGTGGTTATAGAGGCTCTGACGATCGAACGGCGCCTCAAGGAGTAAGCCTTGGAGCGAGGTAACCCGTGAGACGGCAACATAGCTAATACCGGCCTGGAAGTCGCGTGTAGCGAGATCAGTAACTATTTTATCCTTTGTTAGGCTCTGGCATTTGTGAACAGTAATAGCAAACGCCACGATTAGGAAACTGCGTGCGAGCGCAGGTCTCGTTGCCCACAAGGAAGTCCCGCCTGACTGGCAGGATGGGGTGAGATTTTCCTGCCCTCGTTAGTTGTTAGATACGGCGGTCCGTCGTAGCTATCAAAGTCCACCATAATAACGGCTGGGGGGTCTTCCAATGGATCGGCGCCTGCGCTCCAGGCGATATCGTATACAGTACCCTGAGCACCGTTAACTAGGCCAGCTGATTGCCACAGATTAGTCGTGAGCATCACCCTGGTGCCCTTAGCAACAGGGAACTTGTTAGATAGATTGCCAGCATTGTTGCTTGGTGCCTGCCCAGCGCCGTTGCCGTGATTCTTTGCCTCCACTTGTATTGCCGGGGCGTTGAGATGCACCATATGCTCGTGGTTGTATTGGTTGACCCGTGCCTTTGTAGAATACACTCGCAAAGCGGTCCTGAAGCCGTCAAGCTCGCTCCGCGGTAGCCTGGCCTGTACCCGATTGCTAAGGAGGTTCCAGGATGGTATAGATAACTTTACATCACGCAGTTCCTGCAACGCCTGACGGAACTGGGCCTGATCATCACCAGCCTGGCGCTGTGCCGTGGTCAGGAAGACGGTGCGGTCAAATAGGCGGTAGGCCACCTGCCCTCCTTTCCAACGAAGACAGGCCGGTGCTAGTCGAATACAGGGCTTTTGTCGGACTGGTGGTAACTGGAAGAAATCGCCCACAAGCACAACGCTCACACCACCAAAGAACTCGAGGTTACGCTGTGGAAAGGCTTGTCGCAAACGGGAATCGATCCGCGCGAGCTGCTCAAGCCCTAGCATGCTCTTTTCATCGATAACGAGGTATTTGATGTGCCGTAGGCGGGACTGAAGGGCGGCTGCGTCGGCCGGGGGAAGGTCGGTGAAAGTACCGCCTACTGGGAGGCGCAGCAACGAATGAATGGTGCTGCCCTGTATCTGGTTACTCGCAACGCCTGTTGGCGCCACGCGGCATATAGGGCTAGGATTCGGTAGGGCGGCTGCCTGAAGATGGGAAGAAAGCACCTTGATAAGGAACGACTTGCCTGTGCCACCACCACCATCAACGTGGAGAAGGATTTGAGCAGGATTTTGCGCCTGGAAGTGGCCCATGAATGTGTCGTACACGAGCCGTTGTTGCGTATTCAGCGTATTACGCCAGTGAGGGCCAAGGACCTCCACATCGTTGGCCATGGGGTGGCTAGCGATAAGGTCTTTCCAGTAGCCGTCTCGGAGTTCCGGATAAGTACCCACATGCTGTGTCCAGTCGTAATTGATGTCGATATCGCGGCGGCCAAGTAGGTCAAGATCTTCCTGGGTAAGGGAGTTGTCAGGTAAAGGGCGGCGAGGCGAATCCAGTCTTCGTCATCAAATTCTTCCTCCACAGGCAGAGCCTCGTATTGATCATCTTGAGGCTGTAATCGAGCCTCTTTTGGCCGACCGTAATGGTCATCACCATGACTGTGATGCTGCCAACAATAGGAGAAGGCCTCAGCGTGAGAACCAAAAAGCTGGCCGTCAACTGTGAGGAGATCATCAACCCGCCGATGTGGGTGGTTTAATGTTAGCTTTACACGACAGTAATCTGACCACTGTTGACCTTCTGGATCAGCCTGATAGCGAGGAAAGTAAACCAGCACTCGAGGCCTGCCGTTAATGTTGCCTGGCTGCCATTGCTTCCACGGAAGGGTCCCTAGGGCGGAAATTCCAGCATTTCAGGAAGGAGACGTAGCTTAGGTCCGCTAGGGCTTCCGGGCGTTGAGTGTACTTTTCGTAAACGTTGGGGGCCTCGTCCACCTCATCGCCGTCAATACGGAGGGAGCGGGAATGCCTGTCAGGATTACGACAGTCGACGTACAGGCAAGTTCGTGACCCTTCCTGTAACGGCAGGCCGAGGAGCAAGTGGCTGACCTCCTGCTTCGAGTAATCCCGCTCCGCAACCAGCTGATTGAGGAGCTTTGACGTGAAGGAAATCAAGGGGTTGTGGTCCTTGACCCGGGGCATCAGGGCCTTCCCAATCTGGGCAAAAGACTCGCTCTTCTTTTCCGACTTGGAGCAGTATTTGGCCGCGTAATCGATTACCTGCTGTAGACTCGTGCAAGGCGAAACATCTGTATTGGCTAGCCACGCAACGGTAAGCAAGCGGTTGTAGTGGTTAATCTGGCCATCGTTCCGCTCGCCCTAAAGCTCCAGTGTTTAGAGTGAGGAACCTTGTCAAGGAGGCTAGTAGGCGCTGGCCGTGAGGAAATCAAAGCGGCACTCCACCTGCTTGGTATGCTTATTGAGCTGCATGCAGTAGTTGTTGCAGCGGTGGCGTTGCACGCGGTTGACTACCATCGATAGGAACTGAACGGTAAGGGATGTTCCAGTAGATTACCGATCAGGGTTCCCTTCCCCAGGAGCCTGTATTCGCTGTGGCTCTGGGTTCACTGCAGATACGTGGTATCCCCAGATGCGAGCGAATTGCTCCGGACTGATCGTTGTCAGGATCTAAGTCTGGGTGGCCACTTAGCCAATATAGGCCGTGGTGGTGACTGGAACCCCTGCCCTGCCACTCGTAGCGGCCCCAAGAGTCCGTTAGGTTGAACTTCTGCTTCAAGACAATAGCCTAAACAGCGCATAACGCTTATGAAAGTGGTACGCAGCGATGTGGGCGTTGTCTCGCAGTAGTTGCCGGATAGAGCCATCCGCGCCGCCTCAGGAGCTGTTTGCCACTCGTCAAATCGAGGCATATGGCGGTATAGGGATTCCCAGTGGTAATCGGCTGCACTTGCAGTAGCGAAAAGGCCGGGCTTGCCTAGATTATAGGCATATGCTTCCAACTCCTTCCTTTGTTTATACCAATACGGCCGGGTGCCCTAATTACTGCGGCTTGGCGCGTGATCGACTGGATCAGGACCTGAGCCTCCGGCTCGTCAGGCTCAGCCATTGCTTCCTCTAGGTCGGCGCGTGTAAGGGGCTGACGGCGGCTGTCGCGTTGCTTGACGAGGTAGTCACTTCGCTTTCGGACCTGCGCACGTAACAGCGTGTTGAGGGCGACGAAGGCCACGTCTTATGGCGGGCGAAACGTCCGTCATGCCATCTCATCGCATGGGCAAGGTAGTCCTGGAACGTGATGCTCCGTAAACGAGGCTCCACGAAGTCGGCCTTGCCGTCAGGGTAGAGGGTAGGGAATGCAAGCGTTAGCAGCGGCTGGGAACGGTTGAATTCGTCGATGGGGGTCCTGCGAACTGAAGGCAGCGGCATCTGGTGGTGAGCCTGCGCGTTACACGGTATATGCTCCACATCAGTCATACGCTCAGGGTTAGGGGTACCATCAAGAAATCGGGACTGCAGAGCGTTCAATTCGGTATCGGTAACCTGCAAATTCGGGATCGCTGATGCATCGGCATCGCTAGGATCCTCTTCCACAGCCTCCTCGACGGGGCCTTTGGGGACCTCGCCGTCAGGTATGTCAGCCACTTGGCTGGCAATGGAATCAACTATGTTGCCATCAAGAGGAAGCCGGTGCAAGCGATTCTGACTCACGACGATATCGCGATAGCCCCGGTGGTGGCGCTGTAGGTAGTGCAGCCACGCCAACAGGCATGAGCGGCGTACCCGCAAATCGCGAGCAAACTGTTGCCGGAAGCGAGGGCTGCCCTCCATATTAGGAGGCCGCAGGAGGACGACATCTAGCTCTTCAGGTAGGACCGGGAGCTCTTCAAATAGCCTGCCAACATTGCGAAGGAAGTGGACAACATGACCGCGATATTTATATTGAGCGCCACGTACCTGCAGGACCTTCACATGTACGTGAACTCTAGCAATGAGCATCTCCTCGACCATCGTTAGATCGGGTAGATCGCTCGGGACTTCCCAAAGTCAAGGTTGTTCGCAGCGCTAAAGAAGTAGGGCTCGTTGGGGCCTTTCTTCCTGTCTCGACTAATGCAGCGGCTGCAGATTTTCAAGCTATTTCGCTTCATATCGAACCAACGCTCCTGGCAGCGAATGCAACTATGCATCTTGTCGTCATTCAGGGCAGTATAGAACTCGCGCACAAGGGCTCGATCCCCCTCACAAAGGGCAGGCAAGTCAAGGTCCCCTGTAAAAGGCGGATCAACTATCTGATCGAACTGTCGCTCTTCAGGCTGTGGCCGTGGCCGGGGGTTAATGTTGACTCGACGTGTATAGCGGCCGCGGCGACGACTCTGTGGCAGTAATGAAGGAGGGGTACGAGGCGATTCCTTCGGTATAGGCGTGCCTTGCACAACAGAAGCCGATGGGAGAGTGCCTTGAGGAATTGGCGTTTCTGGAATCGGCGTGCCCAGAACTACTGTTGGCAGGCCAAGGGTAGGAGGGGTGGGGAAGGTCCTCTACCGCGCTTGAGGTAGATGGCCCGGCAGAGGTCTAGGCAGTCCCTGGAGTGCGGGCGCCAGGGCACGGCATAACGTAGATGTGGCAGGGGTCGTAAGACTTGCACACACGCAGGCGTTGGCGCAGCCCGCCTTGGAGGCGTCAGGTTAGCTAGAGAATCGGTCCGTTTCGTGGCTCTGCGTGGCGATAGCCTCAAGGCGAAATTCCGCATTGCGGCAACGGCGGCTCGAGATTCGGTTACCCGTTCCTTTCGGCGTGCCTACAGCTAGCACAGTCTCTTGTAAACTTCGTAGGGTCCTTGACGCTTCGAAATTCGACTTCAGGCAGGTCTTGCTTGCAGGTATGGCAATTCCGAACTGCCTGGGGTATGTCGTCCTCCATCTGGCCGTATATGTATCCACCTCTTACCCTTCAGACTGCTAGAAGAGACAGAATAACCGGAGAATCTTGGGAGGTGGGCCGGCTGCCGAGGTAATAGGTGAACCTATAAACCGTTAGTAACATGATTAGTTTGATAGATTGGGCAGAAAGAGAAGCAGCCGCTATGTAGGTTAGTGTAAAGAGTGCCTAGCGACCCAGTAAATTGATGGCATGGATGGAAGAAAGGAAGAACTGGAAGCTCTTGGAGAGCCTGCCAAGCTGGCCAGTTACCTAGTCAACGCTCAGGGTAATTTTGCGGGCCTTCATTTGGTGACGTTATCGGCCGACCAATCCGCGCACGAGTTGAGCACAAGCCAGGCCAATTAGCCAATCAGAGGAGGTTTTATGCTCGAATCTTTCTGACTGAGTAGAACGCCCTTCGGGCTGAATTAACGAACCTAACCATAGAGGTATAGCTAGAGAAATTTCAGCGATGGCGTATAGCGTAGAGAATGACCGGTGATCAAATAGACGTGTAACCCGTAGAAATGTATAGATAGTAGTTTATGCTAATTATAGTAACTAGAAACCTAGATGAAAGTTAGTTGCGGCAGTTGAGTCTTGTGTTACAAAGGGCGAAATTCCAAAATTACGCATGACGGAATGTTCAAAACCCTAAGAGAACACATGATATAAACAAGGTTTCAACGACCCTACGGAATGCACATGCAACGTACCTATCGGGGTTTATAGTTGATTCGAGCAACCCGAGGAATTGACCATGCAGGACATTCTTATATGCTGGCACATACGATGACTCCTATCCAAACTGAGAAAACAGTGGTCTTGTGGCATCTATTGATAGATATAAAGAGGCCAGAATCATCAACTTCTCAGCTAGTCTCACCATAAGAACTCATCACTGGAACTTCACCACAAGCACTCGGACCCCTAAATACTTTTTCCTTTAAGACTCCATCATCAAATGAAGCCGTCGACTATCATTTTCACCATCTTCCTTGGGATGTGCTGATACGTATAGCAGCCGGTGATGAGTGGCTTCCGATATCGCCAAGAAACATTGATAACCGGCAGCGTGCTGATACGATGGGAGGTATAAGTTGTGAGTCAATCTTTATGACTTCAATGAAGAAGGCAACGGGTTGTCATAGATCGGAGCAATATACTAAACGAGGATAGTCGCATGTAAGTCACCAGTTTTTCTTGTGCAAATTTCAGCGACGGATGACAGGTTGACGCAATTTTGAACAGAGAATGAGTCTCTCATTACAGACCAAGCCCATATCAAGCACCGGCGACTAATGCGATGGGCGACTTTATGATGTACGTGACCGCTCTAGTAACTATACAGGAGCTACTAGACAGTTAATGGCATGTTAATACGATGCTGTTAAGCAAACAAGTGACCTCGGTGATAATAGTTAATATAGCAACACCAACATACGGGCTCCTGTAGTCCATGAGTTGCTCCTCGCTTGACATACATATTAGCAAGCATACTTACGATAGGCGACTAGGGCGTAAGTGGAATCATATGATCGCTGCTTTAATGGCTGGCTAGATGCAGTGGGCTAGTATAACGGGCGCAAACGAGTAAGTCATTTTCCTGCTGCCGATGAATACATTGGTATTTCCAGGCACGACCGGTGAACTTAGAATGTAAGTAGCTCCTCGGGCCGTCACAATTTAGGCCCCGTATGCTGATACGCTACGTGACGAAAG